GCTCATGGCCAAATCAAAGATATATCAAAGGGGTTAGCTCGAGCTCGACGCCAATAATTTACAAGAAATAACCGTCTGCAATGACAATGGGCCGCATGATTGGATCTAGTCCTACTGGGCGGCAGTGGTACATGGGCCCGGTGTATAATTGTCAATCTGGCCATCCACAGTTTAAAGCCCACCATACCTTCGCAAAAAAGGTTTAAAACCAACCAAACCCGTATTTGAATGAAAGAAGAGAGAGCATGCTGGTACAAAATAGTAGAGCTTGTGCTGGTCAAGGGGAAAAAAAATCCGGGAAAAGGACCTTCCTCCTTCCCTTCCTTTTCATTTCCTCCACTTCTCATCTCAAACCATTGAGATTTTACAAACTGAACAGCTCAGAGTTTATATTTTATAAAATTATGAATAAAATTGTTTTGAATTATCATAGCTACAATTTACTATAGTTTAATTATTTATTTATTTTTATAAAATTAATATTATTTTAATTTTATAAAAACATTGTTTTGAATTATCATAGCTACAATTTACTAGTTTAATTTTATTTATTTATTTTTATAAAATTAATATTATTTTTAATTTTATAAAATATGAAATCTGAACCATTCGAATTGTAATCCTATAATTGAGAGGGGAAATAGAGAGAATAGAGGAAAAGGGGATTGGAGAGACTCCTCTCCCAAAAAAACTCAAAACCAAAATGTACAGGAGGATAACGTTTTCATCCAAAATAAAACAGGTTAAAGTATATTTTTAGTCCTTTAACTTTACATAAGGTATCATTTTGGTCCATTAACTTTAAAAAGTAAACTCTTAGTCCTTTAACTCAAAAATTGTTAACAAAAAATAATGATACTGAGCTCTCGAATACCGGATAAAACAGTACGAATATTAAGTTTAATAGTCAAAATAAACACGATTGTTATAAAAAATCATCATTTAAGACAAACAATTTTGGAGTTAAAGGACCAAAAGTATATTTTTTAAAGTTAAGGATCAAACTGAAACCTTACATAAAGCTAAACGACTAAATGTATACTTTAGCCAATCGAAAATTATAGAGATCATTCATTGAAGGAGGGCTAGGAGACATCATTGATACTAGTTAATTTCCCCAAACTCTAAAATACTGGCGTAATTATGTTTGCTCCCCTTGTCTCGGAATCTGACGATCCTGACTTTAGTTTTGGATGTGATTTAAAACACGAACATAATTAATTTTTATAATACATGTGTATTTTGGATTCATTATCAACAATATGACGACACACTAACGATCTTATTATGATATTAACTTGCGTCTGACAATTAGTTCGACGTAAATATCTAGAGGCTGGTTGCTGTTGTGTGTGCTTGTATCGGGCCTAACAAGTTAGAAAGTGGGATTATCATCATGCTCTTCTTAAACAGGGTTGGTTACGACTGTAGGACCCAGTATTAGAATATCAAGCTCGTTGATGAATTTAAGTTACCAAACTTATCTTAATTCTGCTTTTTCCAATTCAATTATAACCGGTATGTATATATGTAATACACGCGTTGGCACAATAAATAATAATGATGATCATATATGTGATACACTCTCGGAAGATTTTCCACCCATTTTTCAATAATGCGGAGCGCTCGTGATGCACGCATTGGCACAAAAAATAGGTTTAATTTTACATCTGATTCTTAATATAACAATTTGTTTGATTTTTATTTTGATCCTAAATATAAAATCTCAATCTATTTTGTTTTTCGTATTTATTTATTTATTTAAAATAGTTCTCATAATGTTTCGTCAAATGGTAATTCTAGCTAGCTAATATACATGATTAGCAAGAGTATTCTAAGAAAGACAATACCTATTTATAAAAATAACTATTTTTTTAATTTATTTAAATTAGTCAACTAGGTCTTATATTAAGTATTGGGAGTAACATTTTATATTTGTTTCATTCTACCTACACACATATATAGCCAAATTTGACTATGAGCCTCGATCTTTTTTACTAGTTTTTGATTTACTACTGCATATATGGAGTGGAATTCTGATTATTTGAATTCTCCAATTAATTTTGATTCAAACAGATACGTCATAAAACTACAGACATTCTGAAGAAAAATGAGGTAACGATAAATATATGGAAATTAATAGAGGGGGATATTGAGACACATCACACACAACATGAACAGATGCTTGGAGGGTGACGTGCTTCAATTATGTGCCATTCATTTTAGTATCCTCCCATAAATGCTCTCCCATTCTCACCTAACGTCTACAAATGATAATTCGCATGCCAAACAATATTATCAGTACTTCATTTAATGCCTGCTTGTGTGTGTGACAAGTTCGTGCTTTTCGGTTAAAAAGGTTCGAAATTTTAGTTAAGTCATGAACAATATAATTTGCCGCAAGTTTGGTATAAGAACATGAATGATACGTCTAATTAATCATGCTAATTGAATTGTCGTTCACCATTTATATACGTCGCTTCTGTTCTTGTCGAAGCATTGATTTAATAATAGTCATCACATTGTACTATCTCAAATATATGTTAAAAAAAAGCATTTTAAATATTATTTATTTTATAAACAAAATCGTTTTCTACCACAAATCTTTTCATAACAAAAAATTTAGATGAATTGAGTCACGTGAAATAACTAGGACCAAAACATGTTTGTGGACTCAAAATATGCTTAAAAAGATACTTATAAATCGCTAACGGATAATGTTTTCAACTTTTCATGTAAGCAATAATCACCTTGTGAGTTATGAGCCAGGTTTGTGCTAACTGGACCAACCTTTGGTTGCTTTTATAACAAAATCCTTTTTGTATTATCGCTACTTTAATAATAACGAGTATACAAAAAAAACTCTATAGTATAACAACATACGGATCAATATAATAAAAAACATCATATCTCTTTAATGCTATCAATATTTAATACTCCTCCGGTCCTTAATATAAGACCCATTTAACTAATTTGATTAAATTAAGGAAGTTAGGTAAGTTAGTTAATTATAAGAAAAGTGACACATTTTTCCTAAAATACCATAGTCATCTTTCTTAATACCTCATCTCTCTCTTATACTTAATTATGGTTGAAGGAGTATCTATAGGGGTAATTTAGAGAAAATTGATAAATATGAAGAATGGGTCTTATATTTAGGACCAAAACTAACTCAAGGATTTGGTCCTATATTAAGGACCGGAGGAGTACAAAGTATCGAATTCCTACTAATTTAGCAAGCCGTACTCTTCAAACCTTCATGAACAGTACACCTCATTTTAATCTGAAGGTTTTGCGTTGTACTTGAAAGCTTACGTAGTCTATGTATCTAAATCCATACATATGAAATATTCGTATTAAATTGTGTTGTTTATAGAATGATGTCATAAATCTCTGATGTCATGCAATATTTTGAGTGCCACCTAATTATTGTATTAGTATATCATAAAAAATCTATAGTAAATGGCACTAATGAAGACGTGAAACAGGATACGACATACATAATGAAATAATTTCCACCTTGAAAGTTAGAGAAAAGATGGACAATATCTGTTTCGGCAAAAAAAGATGGATAATATATATACTTGTAGGTAAAATAAATATCCAGATTTGACAATAAACAGGAGAAAAGATAACAACCAAATTACTAAAAGATCCAGAAATAATAAGACAGAAAACAGGCGATCGTAACTTACAAAGGAGACTCCACAAAAATCCACTCATTCCAATTCCAATATAATTAATGGAATTTTACCTTTAATTTTGGGCATTTAGTTTATCTCCTAAGTGATACACAACACCAAAAAACCGTAAAACGCAGAAAATAAGACTAGAAAATTTGAATTGTCTATTTACAAAATTCAAAAACCAATATTTAAAAAAATTGTTTTTTAAATATATTTATTTATTTCATAACGGATGATTTATCCAGAGCAAGAAATATTAATATATTTAATATAAAAATTACTTTGCTAATTTAAACATTAATAGATTAATAAAATTAGTTAAGTTAGTTATTTATAATAAATAAATATTTTTTTAAATATTTTTACTAATTATTTTTATTAGTTAGAACTTTTATTTGATGGAACTTTAATATGTATAACTATTACAAGAACTATTTTTAAAAAATAAATATGAAAAACAAAATGAATCAAAATTTTATATTTAAAATCAAATTAAATATTAAATTAGTTTTATAATTTTAAAATCTTTTAAAGTTGATTGATATTAATTAGCTACACACCAATATATTGAAATTCTTGCAATTTAAATTCTAAATTGTATGCAAAGAAACATGAAATAAAAATAATATTTTATTTGTTATTTTGGTTTTAGCATTACATATATGTGACATGCAAGAGAGGAACGCTCTCATATTAAGATTTGTATTGGGTGCTCATCAGGTGATGAGCACGCAATGTTCATCACTCATCTGGACCGTCCAGATCTAATATGGATGATTCAGATTTATTCTTATTTTTATTTTTTTAAAATAATTATTTTAATAGGTATAAAATAAAAAATAAAGATAATCTTATAATTATCATTCTTTAAAATATAATTTTATATTTTAAAAATAATTATTTAATAATATTAAATCTAGACCGTCTAGATTAAATCTGAACGGTCTAGATTGCTCGTCATGTGATGAGTGCTGATCACCTGATGAGTACCAAATGGAAACCCTCCCACACTAAGGGGGGAAAAAAGAACTCCGGCGATGATAATGTAATGTGTAATAAAATTAAGGAAAAAAAGATACAAGTGTTGGTGTATTACTTTCCGTTTATTCCTGCTAATGTAACAAATCTCGATTCTTTTGGTAAAAAAAATGCAATGAAATTAGGTGATTTTGTTGCAAGTAACTAAATTTAACATGTTAATAACTAAGTGAATTTAATAAGTAGGAGCAATAATATAAATGTGCAGCTCCACCAGCACCATGGAATAAGCGGCCTACCACCCAGATGAACGTGGCCACTCAGCTGCCCGTCTCTCCGACCTACCCACTAGTCCTATGATCCCTCCCTCCCTCTGTAGACTTAGACACGCATATATACACCTCACTTCATCTTCCACTTCTCATCTCTCACTCTTACCTTCACTTGTACATATACCCTTTCCGGCTACCTCCCATCATCCACCATGGTCACCGTCGACGAAATACGCTCCGCCCAGCGTTCACATGGACCCGCCACCATCCTGGCCATCGGCACCGCCACTCCTTCTAACTGCCTCATCCAGGCCGATTACCCCGATTACTACTTCCGCATCACCAACAGCGAGCACATGACTGATCTCAAAGAAAAATTCAAGCGCATGTGTATGTCATCTATCTCCTCTTCATCCATGTATATGATTCTGTTAGTTTACGTTTGAGTGTTAGTTTACGTTTGATTGCGTGAATCAGGTGAAAAATCCATGATCAAGAAGCGTTACATGCATCTGACGGAGGAATTCTTGAAGGAGAATCCCAACATGTGTGCTTACATGGCTCCTTCTCTTGATGTGCGTCAAGATATAGTGGTGGTGGAGGTGCCTAAGCTCGGAAAAGAAGCCGCCGTTAAGGCCATCAAAGAATGGGGGCAGCCCAAGTCCAAGATCACCCACCTCGTCTTCTGTACCACTTCCGGTGTTGATATGCCTGGCGCGGATTACCAGCTCACTAAGCTTCTTGGTCTCCGACCCTCTGTTAAGCGTCTCATGATGTACCAGCAGGGTTGCTTCGCCGGCGGCACTGTCCTTCGTCTTGCCAAGGACTTGGCCGAGAACAACAAGGGCGCGCGTGTTCTCGTTGTTTGTTCTGAGATCACCGCCGTCACTTTCCGTGGGCCCAGCGACACCCACCTCGACTCTCTGGTGGGCCAGGCCCTGTTCGGGGACGGAGCTGCGGCAATGATCGTCGGTGCTGACCCTGACCCGGCCGTGGAGCGACCAATTTTCCAGATGGTCTCGGCGGCACAGACCATCCTGCCGGATTCCGACGGAGCCATCGACGGACACCTTAGGGAGGTGGGTCTCACGTTCCACTTGTTGAAAGACGTGCCGGGAATCATCTCAAAGAACATCGAGAAGAGTTTGGCGGAAGCATTCACACCCATCGGAATCAACGACTGGAACTCCATCTTCTGGATTGCCCACCCGGGCGGACCGGCGATTTTGGATCAGGTGGAAGCCAAGCTGGGACTCAAGGAAGAGAAGCTGCAGACGACGAGGCACATTCTGAGCGAGTACGGCAACATGTCGAGCGCTTGCGTGTTGTTCATATTGGACGAGACCAGGAAGAAGTCGTTGAGGGAAGGAAAATCCACCACCGGAGAAGGACTGGAATGGGGAGTGCTCTTTGGTTTCGGGCCGGGCCTGACGGTGGAGACGGTGGTGCTGCACAGTCTTCCGGCGGAGGCAGGTCATTAGAGAGATCATTAATGAATTACAAGTTTGGTAATTAAGATTGTGTTAATTAATGGTTAAGTAGAAAAAATTGTGAGGGAGGGAGGGGAAGAAGAAATAATGAAAATGGAAAGGCGTAAAGTACATAAATATATATTTCACTGTGTTAACAATGTTTGTGGAGTGAAGAGGAGATTGATTACTTTAATGGGTGAAGTAGTTGTGGGCGATCTTTAGAATGTTGTTACGTTGTGTCACAATCCAATGGCTCCCTGGCCTTACCTTCTTTTAATAGGTTTGTTAGAAAACGTGTAATCATATGCGCCTGCCCAACGAGGTGGAATAGCCAAGTATTAGGTTAACATACACGATCAAGACTATTGTGAATCCGATTCAAGTTTTAGAGACCGTCTGAAATAGAAACAAAATCATGATTTTAAAAGTATTTTTACGATATACGAAATAAATATGTAAAAAAAATTATTTCAATTTATCAAAAATTACTGTTGAAAAATACTTCTGGAATTGCTCAAATACTGCCTTAATGTATGTGTCACAAATTTATGTAAGCCAGACAAAATAGAGTAAGGGGAGAGCTCGCGACTGGGATGTGAGATGCGCCTTGTTTAGCTTAGCTTGTTGAATAAGTATATGGAAACTCGATATATCCTTTAATTTAATCTGTGGCTTTCTTATGAAACGTACCTTTTGCCGTCAGATATTTGCATGAAAAGTAGAGATAATGAAACAAACAAGTGTTTAATTAAAGCTTTTTGGGGGTGTATTTATTTATTTATTTATATTTATTGTGGGAGGCGCATCAGTCGCGTACAATTACATCACGGGAAGCGAAGGTGGGGGTTAAACTGAAAAGGCCATAATGCGAATCACATGTGATGTGGGAGAAGACCGCCAGCCACCTACCCACCCCCACTCTGCCACTATACTCGACGGAACTGTCCATTCCTATCTCACAAATCACAAATGTAAGGTCTGTCGTAACGGTTCCGTTTGGTAACTACCAACCGCTCCTTTCCAGCATTCCACAACCCCCCCCCCCCAAAAAAAGGCTGCTTCCATCCCCAGACACAGCTTGGTTTTCGCCCTTCATTATTATTATTATTATTACGCTTGAATTATTTCATATTATGCTCCTTCTCGTTCTATCATGCACCAAATTTACATGAGGTCATCTCTCTCTCTCTATATATCCTCTGTTATTCAGCGTTGCCATTATTGCAATGTCTGTTTATAACAATTTTATTATACTCCTCCGATTCTAAATATAAGATCCTTATACACACTTATAAGGATCTTATATTTAGGACAGAAAGAGTAATTATAATTAGTTTTCAGTTACTGTCTATATTATTATACTGAATACAGTTATTGAGGGAAGCAAGCCCCGCGTTCTTAAGAATCCCACTAAACGATCGATGGAAATAAAAAATAATTTCATGACCATCATCCTTGACAGTTTCTCAATATCTAAATAAAAAGGTATACGGGCTATCGCCTTTGTTAGGCATTATTTATATCTTTTATTTATTAAAGTATTTATAAGCATGTTTCATATAAACTGAGTCAAAATTTCTCTCACATATAAATTGAAAAACTCACAAATCTAAATAAGGCCTTAACTGCTTGCTCACCGAGTATTTTGTATCTTGCACATGCAATAACTGCAAAGGACTGTTTTAATCGCATGCAAGAGGCGAGTGGAACAGGATCATATAAATAGCGAGGAAGCACAGTAATAAATGAACACAGCCTCTTGTTTTCCAGGAATTTCTAGTGTGTGTGTGTGTGTGTTTAGTATAATGGTGCGTATTTAATTTTAGTGGGAAAAAAATTAGACTAAAGGGTTGGGATGGTTTTTATTTCAGAAAAGAACTGCTCATGCTTAGAAAATGGAGGAGAAATTTATATAATTTTAAAGAAATAAATTTCTGTGCGATTTACTAAAATCACCTAGGTGGACTAGATTAGGCCCGTATTCACTGCAGGTTGTAGGAAATCAGATGAGCCCAGTTTTGATGGGCTTTCGGCCTGCAGGCCCGGCAAAGGATTGCAAGCACTCAGCCCAATAGAAATATTAAAAATTACACACATGCCATTGTACCGTTCCAAGCCATTGGCGTGCAATCTGACAAAAATAACGCACTCTTCTGCGTGTGTGTACTTGTAGAGACGTACGAGAGATCTCAATTCATTAAAAAAAAAAAAAAAAGGATCAGGCGATCATGGAAGCAAAGACACCCGTATCTCCCTGCAGGACCCATTTCAGATTTCTCGGATCTTCTGCACGACGCGTAAGAAATTCAGCTTTATGCCCCGTTTGTCGTAACAAAAATGAATTTAATACCACCAGTCCACCGCCTCCTTCTCCTTCTGCTCTAGATATGGTTTATGATGCACAATACATTACAAATTAAATATTATATTTAAGATTCAAATAATATTTTAAAATAAAATAATAAGTAATAATAAAATATTAGTTAAGGAATAGATTTGATCATAGAACTTTATATAAAGTTTTAGTTTAGTGCTTAATCTAAAAAGTACATTTTTAATCATTTAATCTCTAAAATTGTTAATATTAAATGATAATTTTTTTGAGACAATCATATATATATCATAGCTGTTTTGAAAATTAGATTTTATATGTTAGAATTTGAAAATGATTTGTAAACATTTAATATCTCAGTATCATTACTTTTTTATTAATAGTTTTCGGGCTAAATAATTAAAAAAATATATTTTTAAGTTAAGATACGAAATTGAAACTTTATATAAAATTAAAGTACTAAAAATATACTTTGATTTAAAATATCATTAATCAACGTTTTGTTTTGGCATTTTAGTTAAAACGTACATTCCCATATTTTTTTGCTTGATGATTACGTCAGGGTTTAAAGTAAAAATAATTTCACTGGTTTAAATAAGGTTGCCTGGATCTGTGTGGTTGAGGCAATTTCATTGGCTTTGAATGATAAAACAAACTATTGAAAATCCTCAAGCACAGACTAGAATAAACATTTCACAAGACCCAAGGATGCTATTAAGACCAGCATAAAACTGTTAAAAACTTCGAACTTTGATGGATATATGTAATAATATAATATAGAATCGTAAATTTATAAGCACAAGTTATTTTCTGTTGGAGCTCGAGGGAAGAACTAAGCCCATTAGCCTCCGCAGAGGATCGTCCTTGATTGACTGCCTTCATAATTAGTCAACGGTCGTAATACTCACAGTAATGGATATTTTATCTTATCTATCCAATACCAAGGGATATCTGAATTCTGAACCTCATGAATCTACTTTTAATACTTTTCTAATATTATGGCGCAGCTTGTTTAATTTTAAAAAAACGTGATTTTTAAAACAATTTAGTAATTTTATAAAAAATAATTTATTTTGTAGAATTTTTATAAACAGTATACTTTATTTTGCTCTGCGTTAAAATAATTAAAATATCATTATTCAATATTATGTTTCTGATTTTATGATATCTTCGTAATCTTTGCTGATAAAAAATATTTATTATCTCATCATTTTAATATTTTATGATATTTAGTATGTTTCCGCATTTCTATGACATTCTCAAAATAATCAGGAGCACTGTAGCAGTGTAAATTACACTCCCATTACTTAATGTATGACCTAATTAACTAATTTAATTAGATTAAGAAAGTTAACAGGTTTAGTTAATATGATATTTTTTTTAATAATATTAATTTAAAAAAAATAAACATGTAAAATAAATTTATATACAATTAAGACAAACATTAACTCTCAAATTAAATTATATACTAAAGATCGAAAGAGTATAAATTACTTACCTCCATAAATTAATCTTGAGATAGAGAGTCTAAAGCACGCATCCCTTGTAGTTAGGATTTGGTTTACTCAATACACAAAAAGTTAATCAAATCTCCAGTCCCTTGCCTAAAATATAGTCTCTATTAATCATTGCAGCTTGAGTTGATAATTTCAACACTTTTAATTTAAAAAAATTTAGAAAAGTTTGATAAAACATTGATTTAAGACTTTAAAAGTCCTTCGGTGTCACACACTCATCAAATATAAATATTCAGTCTAAATTATTTCAATAATTGAATTCTCACAGAAGTATCATTTACCTACCTTCAAAGCTTCAACCTCAAGCTCCCTGTGGTCTCGTGACAGACTCAATATTACAATCCCAGAAGAATCGCCCTCGGAGTGAGCGATCTCGCAAAACGGCCAAAAGAGAAATCAATAAAATAGAAGAAAGGCTTCTCGAGAGCCATCATATAATAATACAGGGGAATAATTAATGGAGCTCACAGTAATAATAGTCGCATTGGTGGTGAGGTCTTATCAAAGGTTCTTAGGAGTCACAAATCACAAGTTGGTAAGGGAAGTGATAGATGCCGTTCAAGAACTGTAGTTTGATTAGCACTAAACAATTCTAAAAAAAAAAAGGATCGTCTTTCGCCCATTTATGAGCCTCCTTTAACTCCTATCAACTTAACCCTTTATGGGGTGTGAAAAAGGTTCTTCAATCAAGCCTCCACAGTTTGCAAACAGGGTAGAAACTAGAAATACACTCTGAATTATTTGTCCAGATAGCAGGGAAGGCGTAAAGAGGAAGAAAGAGAAAACGAAAAAGGTGACTGAGGTGGTAGTAGTAGTAGGGTTTTCACAAATAGGTAACTGTGCATCATCTTGGTCCATAAAGACGTGATCTTTGTGGGGCTGTACTAGTTATACTGTCTGAAAAGTTTGACGGATCTATTATGAGGTGAGTGATCTCTTTCATAATTCTGAAGGGTGTGCGGTTACTGTTAACTGAGCTGCACAGAATGGCAAGAGGAGGCTGCTGAATCTAAATATCAGGCAAATCCAGTTGAGTGAATACACTGACACAGGGCCAACGATGATGACAGAAGGGGCCAAACCAAACCAGAAAAACCAGAAACAAAAGAGAAATCCGATTACAGAGTGGAATTTCATAAATTGGTAAGCCAGAAAGGGAACCAAATCATTGAGCCAAAATAGTTTCCGCTTTCATCAAGTCAAGAATCTTTCAAATCACAGCCAATCATCCCATGTTTCGTTCACGTCGCTGCTGATATAACCCCCACAAGGTTACTTCTCTGGTTTTACTTCTTCACAGAAAGAAAGGCAACCTTAAAAAAAAGGGGGAACAGTTAAATCCCTCAACTGCTACATTTCTGGGGAGTTCTCTTGACCTATAATATCATAAAATATTAACAAGCATTGTTTTTTGGTTTTTTTTTTTGTTTTCTCTCCCAACGATAAGATTAAGAATCCGAAGTGTTGGTACTGGTGAATGAAATAGGAACTTAAAGAAAAAAAAAGCTAAAAGGGTACAGTACAGCCGCAGAGCTGGCTGGCCGTTACATATGATTCTTTGCTTTGTCCTAAATTTTATTCACTTTGTATAAATATGATAAGCACTAAATCAAAATGCTCAGTAGGAGCAACGTCAACATAGCTGGCTGGTGGGGTACAGCAACCCCACAATACAAACAAACCACAGCTATGCCCTTTCCTTTCTCTCATTTCTCAGCCGTTGATGTTGTTTCCTCTTTCAGTATAAAAATGTTATCTTTTTGTAAATACGTAGCTATATCATTGCGTTTTTGCACCTCCACTGGGCTGTTTCTCTCTCTCTACCTCTCCCCACCCCTCTCTTCTCTGTGCTGTTGTATTACCAGCGTGAATCTGTGACAGGCAGCCCCCAGCCAGATGTGATAGAGATACGATACAACAATTGTGCCTCTTTACACCCCAAAAAAGAAAATTGAAACGGAATAAAATTAAATAAATTCTTCGTCTTGTCCCTGCGTGTCCTCATATATTATTATTTTTGTGGTTGTGGTTGTGCTTGTTGTTATTATTCACCTCCTATTCTGGTCTTTGTTCTATTTCAAATTGAGTTCAACTCTGAGAGAATTGAATTTGGTCAGCTGGTCACAATAAAAGAATAAAAGGCTTCTTAGTTTTCGAGAGCTCTATGTATATGCTGATGATTTTGAATTGGGTTGTTTGGTAATAAATCTTGTAGTGTGCTGTCGGCGCAAGGTCACTTTCTGTCGGCATTGTCTGCATCCGACGATTGTACACTGAGAGAGCATTTCTAATTAATTTAATAAAAGTACAACGGAGATCGAGAGCGTGGTTCTTCTTCTGGGTTTTCATTGCTTACAGAGTGTCACCACTGATCACCACCTTTGAAGAAACACATTGATTTGGACCTCGCGAGTCTTGTCTTGTCTTGGTAACAACTGAAACTTCCAAGAATTGTGTCTGATCTGAAAGCGGTTTTGTTTATGCTTTTGATGCTAAAATCCCTACTTTCTGCTTTGTTGTGTTATTGAAATTCTCTGTTTGGTTGTTTAGTTTGTATCAAAGACAGACAACTGCTTCATATGGGGGAATGTGGATGAATCTCGATTTCGGTGATGGTGCATTGGAGCCTAAATCGAATCCTCGTTGGTAAATGAAGCTCTGGCTTTCTGAGATCCTGCCTCATCATTTATCTGGTAACACAGCTCCTCTGATTTGGACAAAAAAGTGGCTCTCTGTTCAATTTATCAACCACATGCAGATAAAATATCAGTCAAGGTGTCATTTAGAACCAGACATACATTTAGCTGGAGCTCAACTAGTTTCCAAATTTTCTGGTCTTTTTGCTTGAAACTATTCATTAACCTCATTATCATTAGCAAACTGTAGGAGGTATACTAACTGCATGCCTTCTTCATTTGCAATATGTCACATCTTCAATCTGAGCTTGAGTTTCACCGTCAATAGATTGTGATCTTCTGCTACATGTTGGATTCCAGGTTCTTATGTGTATAGAGTCAGCACAATATTGAACAGCAGAATTGCAGTGATCCCCATTATCAGATGTCAAGAAATCTTGCAGCAGCGGTTGGAGGAGCTGCAGGAGCCGTGGCATTGGTAGGGATAGTTATACTACTGATATGGTTCTGCCTGTTTCACAAGAGCAGTGTTTCTAGAAATTCAGAGACAGGGTCCTCTGAACCTTCCCAAGGTAACAACAATATTCTTGTATAACCAACACTTGCAAGTTTCCTTAAGGTGGTTCTAATGATACAAAGAACAATCAATTCTTGGTTTTGGCCTCAATTCGTGCAGTGGGAAGACATGGTGGGATAGAGTTAACAGTAAGAGATGCTAGGCGTTTTGAGATTGAAGAACTGTTTCACGCTACAAAAAATTTCAGTGACAAAAATCTGATTGGAGAAGGAAAATTTGGGGAGGTTTACAGGGGTTTACTTCATGATGGAATGCTTGTAGCCATCAAAAAGCGCCATGGATTTCCTAGTCAGGAATTTGTAGATGAGGTAACATTCAGTTCAATTATGCTCCAAAAGACTTCACTTTATGAGGTGCTGAGAAATATATAATTTAAGTACTGCATGCTCCCTGAAAGATAGAAATCTCATCAATCCGACTTCTCTGGTCCTCCTCCTGTCTTATGTTTGTTTCTGCTTGAGAATTTTGATTAGGATCCTATAGACATAGTCGGTAGGGTATATCTTATTGTTTACTCTCCTGGTTTGACCTAACAGTACTGAGTTTTACTTCAGGTACACTTCCTCTCATCCTTTCAACATCGAAATCTTGTAACTCTTTTGGGATACTGCCAGGAAAACAATCTACAGTTTCTCATATATGAGTACGTGCCTAATGGGAGCGTCTCCAGTCACTTGTATGGTAAATCTCTGTGCAGTTACTGTATCACTTTTTTTTTTTCTTTTTTTTAAATGAAGTTTTGTATTGTATATCTGCAAAGTCGAACCGTGGACCATGGATTTATCCTGCATGCAAAGATCATCCTGCATGCTGTAAAGTTGTACTTTGTCTTGTTTTAGCTTAATATACACTTTCTTCTGAAAGCTAAGGCCTGGGACTTATTTATTTGTAGGAGCTGCTCAACAATCACGTGATAAGCTGGAATTCAAGCATAGACTTTCCATAGCTCTGGGTGCAGCTAAAGGTGATCCTCTGCAAAATCAGTGAGCATTTGTGGCTTTCCTGGTATCATTTTTCTTCTCTTCCTATATAAAAGTACTCAAGTTTCTAAATGGACCCCAAAAATTCATTTTGTAAGCCCTCCTAAATCTCATTTATTTCCTACTACATCCTGTATGCATAACAGGTTTTACGTTTCAAAATGCTCATTCATCATAGGACCTATTGTGCACAGGTTTGGCTCATCTTCACTCCTTAAGCCCTCGTTTGGTGCATAAGGATTTCAAAACAGCCAATGTTCTTGTGGATGAAAACTTCATTCCTAAGGTTGCAGATGCAGGGCTTCGCAACATCCTAGGAAGAGTTGAAATTGCAGGGCCATCTTCTCAAGCTGCGGCAGATGAAATCTTCCTTGCTCCTGAGTATATATCTCTCTTGATTTGTTTCTGTTCTTTTCATGCATCTATGCATCTTCTCTAAATTCCGAATGGCACATTCTTGATTCAGAGTGAGAGAATTCAGAACATATTCTGAAAAGAGTGATGTATACAGTTTTGGGGTATTTTTGCTGGAACTGTTGAGCGGGAGAGAAGCAACTGAATCACCATCTTCAGACTCCAATCAGAATCTAGTTGAATGGGTATGTCATGGATATAGAACTCCATGTCTCACTCACAGCAATGAACACAAATTACACAATTATATATATACATGTATATATATAAAGCATTGTGATATTTGATGTGTGTGTCTGATATAATTTTGGTGCAATGAAGGTGCAAAGTAAGCAAGACCCTGGGATTATGTCAGGCATAGTTGACGAAAGAATGGGAAGCAATTATACAGCAGAAGCCATGGAAGAGTTTATGTCACTGATAGTTCCATGTATTGACAGTTCAAGTGAGAGACGACCTGCAATGAGCTATGTGATGATGGAAATTGATCGAATACGTGAGAAAGAAAGAAACTTGACGACAGTGATGGGAGAAAGAACCCCTATTGTGACCCTTGGAAGCCAATTATTTGAAGCTAAAAAAGAATAAGGTATTGTGATCCTATTTGTTACATATTATATAATCTTCTTTTGATTATTGTTCTTTATTATTTGTTATGTGGGTGCCAGAGAATAGGTAGATCCAGCTGCTTGACAAGTGTAAAAAGAGCAGTTGGAGTTGCACCGTTTTTATCTGGGCTAATAAATAATTTTTCTGTTTGTTTTTATTTATTGTGTTGTAAATTTTTTTTTTTGGTTGGTAAATTTATGAGATATATGTTGTAAACCATCATTTGTTGTTCATATAAGGGGAAGATTGGGTTGGTGTGACCATGACTGGTTATGAGCTGCTCCTTACATTAACGGTGCTTTTTTTTATTATTAAAAAAAAATATTATTTTACGATCCCCACAAAAGGGTTTTTTTTTTTTTTTTGGTGCATAGGATTAGGAAGATTTCTTTGAACTCTACGTATAATTGACATTCATGCAGTTTCACTGGAAACAGAGTTAGCAGAAAGCACAGAACATGTTTTTGTTTAAATTTTTCAGATATTTCAGGATGATCGACATAAAAGAAATCTTATTAATTTATACTTCTTTTATTGTTATTTACTCGTCCACGTTTGAATTTCTATTTCGCTCGTAAATAATTATTGCTTGTTTTTAATAATACCCGTTAGATAAAGGACGTGAAATGGAGGTAGTTAAGAAAAGAAAAAATAATTTTGACATAATATAGAGATTTTGCTTTCTCGCTAGTCTGCATTTTTTCCCCCTTTTCTATAAGGACAGGCGTATGAGGAAGTATCTCCTTCAAAAACCATTCATATTTCATAGACAAGTCACTTTGCTTCATCAGTCTCTTTCTATGAGGAGCATCACAAGGCATCCATTGATGACCGTTCGAAGAAGATGGGCGCTGACGCAGACCTACCCTCTCTGTTTTCACTTCTCTGTTTCTTGTTGTTCAGTCTGAGGGAGGGAGGGAGACTGAGAGTCGGCTATACAACGGTCACAAAATGAAGGGGCATTTTCTCCATTTCAGCGTCTTCGGTATTTGCCTAAACGGCAGCGTCTCAACCCTCACGTTATCACATGGCTTACAAAAAAATAATATTCATCCCATATTTAATATAAGACTTATTTTATAATGCAATTTGAGTGGGAGAGTATTATATATATGTGATCAAAAAAAAAGGAAAAATAGCAACAACAAAAAAAAGATTGTTCAAATAAAAAAATTATATATAAGGATTTGCTCATAAAAATTGTTATCAAAACTCATAATATTATCGTCAAAACCCATACTAATATTGTTATGGGTTTTTATTTACAATTTTTTCAAAATATTGTATGGTATATAAACACACACATGTACGGTTTTGGCGTAAATTTATATGGTCTCCTGATTCTGCAATTAATAATTTGGTCGCATTTTATTTCTCAATTTTATTTTTGCAAATAAAATCAATCAAAGCCTTGGATGTAATTGAATTCATAAAAATACATTTGTTTTAACCAAACCCATTATTTCAACACTGCCCATATAAATATCACTGTTGTCATTAGTCGCAACAAACCATTATGAATTCAAGCTTACCACAAGGGGAATTAATAAAAATAAAAAACTGAAATTGGCCAGAAAAAAGAAGCCAGCCAGAGTGCTTTTCTTTTTCTTAGCTACGGATTCACAGCTTCACATTCTGCAAATGGGAAAGAAATAACACAGCGGGCGCAGAGACCCCCCTCTATTACAATAATATTGAGGGCACGTGTGCCTATTTCGGAGTATAATAACAACAACAAACTTACTGGCGTGGGAGTATATATAAATAAAATTGTTACGTTAACAATTTATTTGATTAGTACTACCTCCGGTTCTAATTATAAACAAAATCTGTTAACAATTTATTTGATTAATACTATTTTCTGTTCTAATTATAAACAAAATCTTATAATTAGAATAGGAGGTAGCATGAGTTATAACAAATGATCGAATAACGTTTTGTACTATCAATCTACTCCCCCCGGGGGGGACCGTCTTGGAGGAAATCATGTCTCTTTCAATTACCGAAATGCTCCAAGCGGGGTTGAAATTTGTGGGGACAATTGACGACCCAAGTCCAAAACTCTTTTGTTTTTTTTTTTTAAATATTTAAATATAAATTCCGATTACAATAACTTACTTTTTTTCAAATTTGACTTGAGTCTAATTTGACTTGACATTGACTAAACATTGGAGTGTAATGCCTGTGACAAATTTTTGCTTTGTTGATCTGAAAATGGTTCAACACCAGATAATTAAGGTAACCTCCGATTGCTCCATTAATTACATCAATGCATAATACTTCTTCCGATCTTAAATATAAGACCTATTTTGTAGTGTAATTTACACTATAAAATGGGTCTTATATTTAGGATCGGAGAAATATTAAACTTCTAGAAAACAATTGAAGAAAGTTTAAAAACGGTTCATCAAAAATTGAATTAGAAGGAGGGAAAAGATGACATAATATTCTTACATAACAATTGAAGGCAACAATTGACTGACTTCCATGCAAACCAATTTCGTAACATCTTATTACATCACAAACCCACAAAAATACACAGAACCTTCTTGTCACAACACTATAATTAGGCAGGTTCATTGGTTCCATCTCTTACCTTCATTACTAACTCTTCAGTGGTAGTGCCAATAATTTCATTAGCACGTCTCAACCCAACACATTGATATCGTCCAATGGAATCCTGAATTAACGGTAAGATTCCACTCAGAACAGAAAATCAGTCAGCAACAATAAATTCTGAAGTAAATTTAGTAAATCAATTAATCAACATCTGTTTACGATTTTCTTGATCATTTTATCACTCATGTAAGTTTTTCCAAGATAATTCATTATATGTCAGGATTGGAATAGGAAGAAAACTGCGAGGCATCTCACCCGGGTAACAATTCCCAGCTTCTCTAATTTCTTGACTGCATCATCCACGTCAAAATTACAGCTCTCTCCAAACTCATCTTTTAAAAGATCCTCACACGCTGTATCCAGATCCTGCTTCATAAAACCAGACAGGTAACATCATTAAGGCTTAAAAAAACCCTTGTTTTCTTGGCTAATGAGAAATTGTCATTATAAAATAGAGAAGGAAAATAAAACAGAATTGTTAAAATCTTGCATTGATTTTTATACCTGTCTTGTAACTTTCCCTTGCTCCATCAGAATAAAGAACGAGACTATCACCTCTTTGACCTTTACATAAATAGTGCATAGCTTAAATACAGCGATGTAATACTCAATAACAGCTAGCAGCAGTATGCTGTATCCAGTTGATATTCCAACAGTCTTAAGACATTTGCTTTTCAATACTAATCACCAACTAAACACTAGAATTATACCTCCAAAAAGTGGTCAAGTGAGGAATAAAATCATGACTAGCAATTAATTGGAAAGGAAAAATGCATATAATGACGCAGAGCACTTACTTCTTGTTGAATGACATCATCGCACAAGTGGAGAAGGGTACCCTTTCCACTATCAAGTTGTCTGTCATACATTGACTGAGTAATCAAGTTCTGGTAAAGAGTTAAATTTTGTTGGAACCTAAGGTTAAAGTGTATTAGTCAACCAGGTTAAAATAAAAGCATTGATCAACGGCATTTACTTCTTACCACTACAAAATCATCGAAAGCGAAAGATATTTAATGAGCATAATAGCTATGAACAAGTCAAACCATGAATCTGTACCAAGAAAATTGCCCAACTGGACTTTAGAGTTCCTATGTCACCCATAGAGAATTAAAAAAGGAAAACTTGATAAAAGGTGAACAAGCAGAAAGCTCTTTTTAGAATGCTAAGAACCATACTTTTGGGAAGGCTACGCATTTCGAGGTTCTTAATTTAGTTTTTTTAATTTATAATCCTTCAATCTGAAAATATATTTAATGGCTTAAAACACAACAAAAGTAAACTCTTTAAAAGAAAATTACTCTATCCATCATAAAGATAATCAAATTTAAGTCAACTGATGGCACGATTTGGAATTTTCAATGAAGTAGGGAGCTAGCATCATTTACGTGAAGTATGTCTTGGCAAGATAACCAACTAGTGCCGAGAGAAAAGCAATAAGGAACCACAAATCAGCTTTAGGCATTTCAAGAGAGCTAATGACAGCAACCTGCAAAGAAAACAACCACAGTAATTGCACTAGAGCAAAGATGGGCTTAAGAAAGGAACAGCTCAGTGTAAATACTTGGTAAACTAACCAGACCAACTAAAGCAGTTCCAAGAAACTTGACCCAATCCATTGGAGTCAATCCAGGGTTTTTCTTTTCCGGCTGTCAATTAAAAAAGATCCGTCACCAGTCACACTTGCATGCATTGTGGTAAAAGGTAAGAGACAGGTCTATGAACCACAGAGATAACACAGAAGAATTAAATGAGGCAACTCACAAGAACAATTTCCATATCAGCCATTGGAATGTTTTTAAAATGCTTCACAAATATACTGCGATCTTTTTTTCCTCTGGTACTGGCTCTCCTGAAATTCATTTTCCTTATAATTTAAGTTCACGGTGTTTCTTCTGCAGAATCTTATGAATATCAAGCATAACTAACGAATCAGCTTTACAAGAGATTTTTGACAGGAACTAATCATTCGTCATCTCTCTAATGATAGCAATATAGGCTTTTTCACCAAAATGGAAAGGGGGAATATAGAGGGAGAATTACCTGTAGACAACAATTATCCTGTCAAAGGTAGGTTCTTGAATCGTAGTCTTGCTCAGCAAACTTTTTAAACTGGCAATTGCAGCAAATAATTCCTTGAGTGGCCAGAAAGTCAAATACTCAATTAGAAAGGTTTATGCGGCTTAGATGAATGAGCCTAGTACTGACGGTGATAACGAAGCACACTATGCATGCTGGGCAATTAGATTTGTGCTGAATAAATATGTAACTCCCAGTCTTTTTTTTCTTCTTCCAATTTTCTGAATCTATAAGTGAATCTAGATAACAAACCCCATGCCATAAAGAACCAGCACTTGAGCTTAAAAGCTTATACTTAAAGAACAGTGGCGCATGACTAGCAGAAAAGATTGAATCAACGTGAAAGAAATTCCAGAGTACTTAACGAGCACAGCCAAAAACTCAGGATTCACACATTCTGACCATCACCAACAGATAGCATTATTTAAATTTAAATTACTGGGAAAGGTAGTTTACGTACATCAATAGGATGCAGTAGATAAGCATGTAATGCCATTTATTTATGATTAAGAATGTCAAGTGAATGCACTACGAAGAATCCTAGCCCAACACCACAAAGAAAACAGTAATATATAACTGGGAAAGATAACATCAATAGCAATAGTACATAAACAGATGTGACAAGACCTTAGCTCCATATTCTCAAGACGTATGCGTTCAACATATAAATCATCCGAATCTATGTCCGGAATGTGGTTCTTATTCTCTTTCTTGTGACGTTTCGGTGGCCTTCTAGACAAAATCCTTCCCAACCTGCAAGCTACGTAGTTTGAAAAGATTTCTTGAAGAAGACCTAAGTACAATATGCAGGGTCAACGATAATAACTGTATTTGTTCAGGCAAAAGAAGGAAAAGTTAAATAGTGGATATCTGTACATCACATTTTTAAAGACTTAAAAAATTGAGCTGAGGCAAAATTATGACTTCTCACATCGGATTATTATTGTAGTTAACAAACAACTTCAGTTTAATTGAAAAGATTTCCATAATCTTTTGCTCACCTAGTTTTTCTTAACAGATATCGCCAACCACGAGCAATGAGCATGTCCAATTTCTCCAACAAAAAGAAGTCAGTCATCCGATCAATTCCAATGCCGCGTCTAAAGATAACGTACTAGAAAAACTAAGAGGCATTAGCCTGTTATGGTTGTTAAAGGGATGAACAAAAGAACAACATGAATTAGTTTAAGTGAGAGAGAGAGAGAGAGAATGGAGGGAGAGCTCCGCATACAGTGCAAAAAGAAGAAGAAGAAGTAATGAAAGCTGTTATAAAAAAGAAGTAATAAAAGCCAGATGATTTCCTATAGCGATTGAGGAAGGGGTAAGTCGGGGGCTCGACTGGAAGCACAATGGAGGGTATTTTTGGAATAAGGCGGTGGTAATAGGTGGTAAAATATGGTAATAAGGATTGACATGGGAGGACCTATGAATCTGGATTACCATCCTGTTGGTGATGATTATCACCGTGAGCCCACATCAAAAGCCAACCAAAGAGCTTTCAATGGTGATGCAATCCAGATTACCATTCATTCCCATGCTCGCAATGAAATTGACAAATAAGCTGCTTCTATATCTTTGACGCGTCTTACACAGCCCTCACAATCCAGAAAACAAACCAAATTCTCAAACCCAGATAAATAACCTATTTCATGAAGCCAATCATTGTTGCCACTAACAATTGTTACTACTTTTATCATATTTAAAGCCGTACCTTATCTGCATATTCCGGAGCGTTCTCATATTGATGCTCCTCAAAATATCTCTTCAAAAGCTTCTTGTCAAGCTAGATTCAATTAAAAGGCACACATCAACAAATACTAAAATCACAATCAAACCTCCCCAGTAACTCCAGCCGTTATATGCAGGGATATTATGCTTACAATAATCGAGAATGCAACCACCATAAAAGTATATGTAAAAAACCTTAGATTCATCAACAGTAATGGGAAGATGTAGACGATACTGCCCAGCAGCAGCAACTTCAATCTCTTCATCAGTTGCTATCTTAAAGTTACTTTTGTGCATGACCTGCGGGGAAAAAATGAAAAAGGATAAAGCAATCTCAAGATACCATAAGGGACAAATATTTAAATACATATGAAGGGCTCTGCTTCACGCGGCCCTGAAACATAAATGCAGCAATTTAGAATCGAGAGCAATCGCGAAGACCGGCAATAAGTTGTACTTTGCCTTTTTCTTTTTTCATGGTTCCATTATTATCACAAATCATCGTTACAATTTTTAACGGAATGTCCATGTTCATGCAGTGACACAATACCTGAAACATTAATGATAAGAACTTCTGTTCAAATACATCAATTTCTGTGTCGGTCAATTTCTGTTGTTCCAAGTTCTGTGCCCCGTGAACAGGGTCAACAAGGGCGTAGAGTTGCTGGAGGAATAAAACAGTCAGCCTCCTCCTCAATGTATCTTTTGCATAGCTATATCTTGAGGAGATAAAGAATACATGGATACCATCATTTCCTCAAAGTGTAGAAGGTACCAAGCTCGTATGGTGTACTCTACTCGTTTGCAAAGCTTCAAAAACTCGGCTCGGTCCGAACTTTTTTCTGCAGAGTACTAAAAAAACTCAAGTCCATGCTGGCTCATATAAACTCGAACTGCAAACTTTATACTCCATAACAGTACCAAATAATTCAACTAGATGAAAGGAAATGCTATGTAAGAGAAATCCCTCCTCGCTATTTGTTTATGAAGGAAATGACCATCTCAGACTGAAATGATGAAAGGAAAGGGGCAAGCGTATTTCATACATGATGTCCATTTACAGATTTATTTCTAGAGATATCATTCAACAGATCTCGGCTTTATTCCAACAAATTTGAATGTCACTAAGACCAGTGCCATACTTCTATATTACAGAGTCCCGCAATACAATAACGCCCAGAGTTTTATGCATGTTACAAAGAGAAGAAGATTCGAAGTCTGTACCAATAAGGTTGGCCAATGTCATAATAAGCCTTGGCTTCAGAATTCGAATGACGGATTCGCGCTCTAAACGAATGACATCCTTCTTTTTAACCATTGCTTAAGCAGCAGTAGCAATCTAATCTTGAAGGCTTCAATTGAAGGGTTTGTTTTTCTTCTACGGTAAATTGGGAATGATCGTTCGTACCTAAATTAGACGGGTGGTTACTCCACATGCAATGCAGAATTGTCAATAATGCAAAATCACTTGGAAGCACAGAACAGGAAAGAATTATCCCATTTCTACTTTCTATTACGCGATCACTGCGTTCAGGGGAAGACGTAGCTTCGATTTTTACGGAGGGAAATTTTCTTCAGATGGCCACCAATTGTTGGTCGTTACCAAATGAAACGTCCGAATCGCGGGAAGGAGTGTGTCAAAAAGCAAGAGCTGGGGAGGAGATAGTTTAAAATTTTTTTAAATTGCAAATTTTAAAGGGGCCTCACAGTTTTTTTTTTTTTTTGCACTTTTTTAAACTAAAATATATGTATCTTATCGGCATATTCATATTATTTCTAATATAGGATGATACTTATATTTTTAAAAAATTATTTAAAATACTGTGAGGTATTAAATATAAATACCTTTCCCATAAGAAATTTAACTTTAGTTTACCCCATTTTAAAAGACTAGTCCTTCCCCTGAACCCAATTGCCGTTGTTTTTCGATTTTGGAACTTTTTTGAAGATGAACCCCATGGGATTGGATGTGACGTGGAGATAGAATAGGAACTGGGCTGGTCAAGAAGGACTTTTGGGGCAAACCTCGATAATTCCAAAATTAGTTCTCAGGCAAGCCCATAAACGCATATTCCATAATTTATTAATTTTCCCCTGGATAAGCCATGATATTCATTTATGTTGTAACAGGCAATGAGACTTCTTGTTAGTTACTGTTATCTCTAATTGTGCTATATGAACTCTAATTTTTGTTGGGGAAAAAAAGATATTAGCTGTAAATTTGATGGAAACTACTTCTGTTATATTGAGTATTGTTGCATTCAAAACATGCCAAACATATATTTTCTTAATACTGAGACTCTTTCTTTTAATTTGTCATTTTAACAAGTAATAAATTATGAAATATTTTTATTTTTAATTTAATCCAATGCAATGTTAATGTTCTTATGCATCCTATATGATATTATCATCGTCATCGCCACTGCCACCGACATCGTCCTATTGTATAATATCAGTTAATTGATCCCCAAAAATTCAAAAATTGTATGTGGTTAGTTTCTTGTGAACTTTGGACCGATTCTCCATATTAAGAAACTTCTGCCCAGGTATCCAAACTTACTATGAATTAATCTGAAAATTCGAAGACTTTAATTTAAAAACCAAATATTTTTTTTTTTCAAAAAAATGAGTAATTGAAGTAGGAGATCTTATAAATTTCTATCGCTATTTGTTAATGTCAATGTTCCCCCCCTGGCCGTAACAATTTTCAAAAGGTGTGAAAATACTTCTCATCCACAAACCTAATGAGAACTAGTTGATTAATTTGAGTAAATTTAGAAAATTTGTTAAGTTAGTTATTTGTAATAAATAGGTGTTATATTTCCTAAAATACTATTGCTAGTAATATGTATTAGCTAGAACTATTATTTAACAGAATTTTTAACATGTGCAACTACTACAATAACTATTTTGTAAAAGAATATTTTCCCGATTTTTAATATAAGAACTAGTTGATTAATTTGAGTAGATTAAGAAAATCAGTTAAATTAGTTATTTGTAATAAATAGATGTTGTTTTTCTTGAAATATCCTTACTAATCACGTGTATTAGCGAGAACTACTATTATTATAAGAACTATCTTAGAAATAAATAAATAAATATGAGAGACAAAATGAATTAGAATATTATATTTATAACCAAAATAAAAGTCAAACGAGTTCTTATATTAATGAGTAGAGGTAGTGGATAAATATGAGAGATAAAGTGTATTTAGCTCTTATACTTAAAACTAAATTGAATATCAAATTAACTCTTATTTTAAAAAACACAGGAGGTAATACAAGTCTATAACCATAGAATAAAAATGTAATTTTTGTCAAAATTCAAGTATAGTAATTTAGACAAGAAGACAGGTACATGAATAATATCGATAAGGAGTTACACGCGTAATCCTTTTTGTTCATGTACTTAAAGTTTATTTGGCTGAACATAGTTCCATGTATTATTTAGGTTCATCCAATTATATTTATTGTGATTGTTGCAGTTACTTATAGATTTTGATTTTTCTATATTTTTGTTTATCAATATTTTATATTTTTGCTGTACACGAGCTCGTGTACATTGAAATAATAGGTAGTATAGCATAATTCACTTTCAACTTCAGCTCGTACGTTGTCCTGTGTACTTGGTCAATAGCATATACGGAGCGCATATAAAATAAGAGGGGAAGTCTTAATAAATATAAAACAAGGAAGTACAATTTATTAAAAATTACATAATGATCACAATAAATAATATTGGCCCGACCGAAATCGAATAGGTAATTATACTTAATACAAAATCATGCATCAAGATTTATTTTCTTTTTCTTTTTGGGGGCCAGCAGTCGAGGCCTTGACACAGTTTAGCAGCACAACAGTTAAAGTATCACGTATAGTTAGCAATCATTAATTTTATTTTACTTTTTTTTTTGTAATAATTCATTAAATTTTTTATTTTCGGGTGAACATTATTATATATTGTATGCCTTGTTCATGAATGATTTCTTCTCCACGATAAATTTGTCAAGATAATTGGATACAAAGTATCTTTGATTTTTTGTTTATGTTAAAGTATCTTGGATTTTGATGGTATGATAATAAAGCGAGATTCAACGAATTCACAAATCTTTTCAATATTATCCTATGCACTCAAAATTATTATCAGTGAATTTTGTCAAAAAAAAATTATTATCAGTGATTGAGTTTCCTAGGCTATTTATTTTAGTATTGCGTTATACATACAAATCCAACAACAATAATCTATTTCAAAATAATCATAATCTTTCTTTTTTTTCGACAACCACCTACCATATATGTACCCACATCCGTTCAAACTAAGGATGAACGCTAAAATTTAAATCAAATTCAAAAATTCATCTGAAAATGTAAATTGAAAATAATTATAATTATGAGTAAACTAAATAAGCACTTATTAAAATATAGCTATTTAATTCATCGAGAAAGATAGCAAGGATTAAATATTAAAATGAATCAAATAATATATTTAAAAGAAAAGAGTTAAACTACAAACCAGATAATTGGCCGGTAAATAAACAAGAAATACGGATCCATTGACCTAGTTTAATATCTCTTTCTATATAAAATGACTAGGAATATGGATATTGATTATGATTATCAATATCCATCATGCATCATTCTCGTAGATACACAAAATCTGATCATCATCTCCTCACAACTTCAATTTTAAACTTATTTGGCTATCAGCGGATTGTTAATTTCAAAAGCCATTGTACATTATTCAATGAAAAAATCGGAGGATCTAAAATCCGAATTGCCACCTCCCATTCCAAGCTTGGGGGAAATGGCATTTTACGTTCAAGAGAAGTTCCGACTTTACGAGACAAGAGCGAGATTTTACTTGATCGGAAGTGATCGTAACAGAAGGTTCTTTCGTGTCTTGAAATTTGACCGTTTGGAGCCATCTGATCTCTACATTGACGAAGACCCTGCGGTGTATTCTTCTCGTGAAATCGATGATCTTCTACGACGTATTGCTGATGGAAATAAAGCAACAGGAGGCCTTACTTTTGTGACCGAAGCTTATGGTATTGCAGGGTGTGTCAAGTTTCTGGAATCGTATTATTTGATTCTAATTACTAAGCGCAAACAAGTTGGACTTCTATGTGGTCATGTAATATACAGCATTCAGGAGAGCCAAACGATAACAATACCACACGCCTCAGTTCAAACCGATGCAGCTCACTCAAAAACTGAACTGAGGTACAAGAAGCTTTTATGCAGTGTTGATTTGACGAAGGACTTTTTCTATAGTTATACCTACCCTATAATGCAGAGTTTGCAGAAGAATGTGTTGTCCAGGACTGGGATGCCGTACGATAACATTTTTGTTTGGAATGATTATTTGACACGAGAAATACGATCTATATGCAATAACAGCATATGGACAGTAGCTCTAGTTCATGGCTATTTTGAACAGGCACGCTTATCAATCTTTGGGAGGGAATTCAGTATTTCATTGATTTCTAGACGATCAAGATATTTTGCAGGGACTCGCTATTTGAAGAGGGGAGTCAATGACCTGGGAAAGGTTGCTAATGATGTTGAGACAGAGCAGATTATCCTTGAAGAAGAAGCTGGTTCTTACAAGGGACAAATGAGTTCTGTTGTGCAAATGCGTGGCTCTGTACCACTTTTCTGGTCTCAAGAAACTTCTAGATTCAGTCCCAAGCCGGACATCGTCTTGCAGAGGTATGATCCAACCTACGAGGCCACAAAATTGCATTTTGAAGACCTTGCGGAGAGATATGGCAATCCAATTATTGTGTTTAATCTGATTAAGACGGTTGAGAAACGGCCAAGAGAAATGATATTAAGGCGAGAATTTGCTAACGCTGTTGGGTATCTGAATCAAATTCTACCCAAAGAAAACGAGCTTAGATATATTCACTGGGACTTTCACAAGTTCTCAAAGACCAAGTCTCCAAATAAGTATGGAAATATTTTGGGGGTTTTACGTACTGTGGCAAGGGAAGCAATTGATTTGACTGGTTTCTACTACAGTGGCAAGCGCAACATCAAAAAAATGGCCGACAAAACCAACCCAACAAGCAACGGAATCAGTCTTCATTCACCATTTTTTCAGAACGGAGTTATGCGTACCAACTGTATTGATTGCTTGGATCGTACTAACATAGCACAGTTTGCTTTTGGTCTTCAAGCTTTAGGATGCCAGCTTAAAGCAATGGGTTTAAGTGATGTTTCATGTTTGGATTCTGATAGTAGTATTGCTGCAGCTTTGATGGATATGTATAGAAGTATGGGAGATGCTCTGGCCGAGCAATATGGTGGTTCTGCAGCTCACAATACTGTGTTTCCAGAGCAACCAGGAAAGTGGAAAGCAACAACACAATCAAGAGAGTTTTTGAAATCTTTAAAGCGTTATTACTGTAATACGTACACAGATGGGGAAAAACAAGATGCAATAAACTTGTTCTTAGGTTGCTTTCAGCCACAGGAAGGAAAACCCGCTTTGTGGGAGTTGGAATCAGATTACCATCTTCATGTATCTGGGGCTGGGAACGACCTAAAAATCTTGGACAACTGGTCTAAAGACCCAGCTGGTATAGCTGGAACAACTCCTCTCAGACCTCTCCCAGCCTGCAGAGAGGATTTCTCGCGCATAAAGTTGACTTCATTTGATAAGCTAATTGAGAAGACACGCGGTGCAATTAGGGACGTGAGGATATCCAGTGAACCAGATCAGACACTGGGGGGCGGCTATAAAAAGAGTGGGGTTGCACCTGATGCAGCTGAGATCCAGCTTAAAAGCGCAAATTGGATTTTTGGACAGAGAAACCATCAAGGGAGTGTCACAGAGGGAAAAGCTACTTCTCATGAAACTGATTTCGAGAAATGCCAAGCTGGAAAGAAGGATAGTGGTTTTGATAATCTCGATTGGCTTTTTTCTAGCAGTGATATGAATGAAGAAGAAACTATGCGAAGATACCAGGAAATGGCCTCAGTTAACGAAGAGAATGAGAATGGTTGGTACGGGGGTTCTCTTCTTCGTGATTTTGATGAGAACAGTGAAATATATAAGCATTATGCTGCGTTATGTCACATTCCTGAGTTGGAACCTTTTAAAGCTGATGACCCTGAGAAGGAAAAACATTATGCCGATGTTTTAAGGATGGGATCATTTGATGCTCTTAAACTTGATGATGTTGCCATTGCTGCAGAAATGGAACGAGCTCTCAAGGAGTATGATCAAATTGGTGAGGACTTTGGAATTATTCCCAAATCTTGTAAATTCCTTGCTGAAAATCACAGCTGGTTGACACGCTGGTTAATTGGGAAAGAAAAGGTACCAACAAGAGGGTCGATGTAGTATTCAACCGTTATGATTAGATTATAGCTTTGAAGCATTCTAGACTGCTTCTGATTCTGAAACAATGTCACCGAATTTATAAGATCTTTTCTTGTGAATTATTTCTCTTTATGGTATGCGTATTCATTTTACTGGATTGAAATTAATTTGATAACCGTTTGAATAAATTAAATAATTTGTGGTGATAAACGAAAGTAATGCTACTCGCACCAGGGATACAAAATTTATAAGTAGCCAAATAAGTGAATAAATAATAGGTCAATCGAATTGTTTAACATGTTCAGATGACCAGCTAAATACATAATCTTTCAAAGGACATCACGTTTACGTTCAGTAGTAATCAATAGTTAGCAAGCACTTGTATTTTCACACGAGATGTTTGGCAGGCTGTTTGAATGATATGACTATTTTTATTTTTTTTCATTGCATGTTATATGATCCCTTAGAAATTTGGTATGTTTGACACTATATAGTAATTCAGTTCAACACTTCAACGTATGTGTTCCTCAAACCCGACACGGCGAATCCAAGCGATTCAAATTCCCAAGCTTTTTGTGGGGAAGCTGAGTCTGAAGATATACTAGCTCTAAGGCATTTTACTCAGCTAAGACAAATTTTGAAATGCAGCACACGATGCAAAATACCAAGTTCTTATAACCAGTTTCGGTACTTATTACTTTGATGAGGTCTATATTTGGTTTGTTTTTGTTTTTATTTATTCAAAATAATTATTTTAATATCTATAGAATCTAAAATAGAGATGATCTCTTAACTATTATTTTTTTAAAAAAATAGTTTTTATTTAAAACTAATTAATTAAATGTTATAAATATAGACTGTTCAAATCAGATATAGACGATCCAGATCTGATGAGCTTAGAATACTCATCAAGGTGATGAGCATTAAAACTGTAGTCATCAATTTGAATGCTTGTAATCGACTTGTTTTTCCGGACAAAGAGCCATGTGATTATTAAGATTAATCTCGCCAAACATTAACTGTTACCATATTCCCAAGTTCCATAAACACTTGATAAACATGACCCATTAGGACTCGAAGACAAAAGGAGTCCATGGCAAGTTCTAGCATTGCCCAACAAATCAAAAAAAGAGGGGAAAATGCGTGGGGGAAAAAAAATCTCATCAATTAACTAGAAGGTAGCTCACAAATTTTAGCCAATCAGCAACTTATCCTCTTTTAAGAAAGTATAAGTAGGTACTTCCAGATTGTAAGGGGCAGGGCCCTTTCTGATTCTACCAGAAATATCATAATGTGAACCATGGCAAGGGCAAAACCAACCACCAAAGTCACCGGCATTTGGCAAGGGAATGCAACCCAAATGTGTGCAGACACCAATCACCACAAGCCATTCTGGGTTCTTCACTCTCTCTGCATCCTCCTGGGGATCACGAAGAGATCCAACATCAACATTGTTAGCTAACTTGATGTCTCCATCTGTACGACGCCGTATGAACACTGGCTTCCCTCGCCACTTCACAGTCACAGTAGTGCCAGGCTCAATGCTCGAGAGATCTACCTCAAGCGAAGCCAGTGCGAGAACATCCTTACTCGCTGACATGGAGAGCACAAATTTGAGGATGAGAAGGCGAACCAGAGAAGCATACACAAACCTCCCACCCGCTAGAACAAAGTAAGCGAATGCTCTCTTGCTTGGATCGCCTGGAGGAAGCCGCTCATGGTTGTATTCATCATACAATATCTTTGAAGTTGGATTTTTAGTTGCTGCGACAGTTGCCGGAATAATGTTTTCCTCTGTATGAACCTGCACTGATTCAGAAGCAAAACCTGAAAGAAGCCAGGCAGAGTAATTTAGTAGTGCCAGTATTAGAGAGATCCAAAAATCTGTTTGGGAAAATAAGCGCTTGTGGAAGAAGAAAATGCCTACACTTTCTGACTATGCATAGTACTCCTCCAGTCCTTAATATATGACCCATTTAACTAATTTGATTATATTAAGGAAGTTAGGTAAGTTAGTTAATTATAAGAAATGTGATACGTTTTTCCTAAAATACCATAATTATCTTTCTTAATACCTCCTTTTCTTCTTCTACTTAATTATGATTAAAGGAGTATCCATAAGGGTAATTTAAAAAAAATTAATAAATATGAGAAATGAGTTTTATATTTAGAATCAAAATCAACTCAACAATTGGATCATATATTAAGGACAGGAGGAGTATTTAATATTCACCTGAGTCAACAGCAGCTAAAACTTTTTAAATTGTTGATTCTATGTCATGGTTAGGGATGCCCCAAAAAATGGAGACTACGTAGCTAGGAGTTATGAAGGAGGAGGAGAAAGGACAAGGTATGGAAGAATATAGCAAACAAAATTATTAGAAATATGAGAACAAGCTTGTTTAAAAGATCATAACATAGAAAAACAAAATTAAGTATCCGTGTTTCATACGTTCATCAAAAGACAATGGATCAAGATTTAAAACATTTGACAAGCATTAAGCGACAGCATGCACCCGTTAATTAAAACTTATACGTACGTCAAAGTGCAGCTTCAATGTTAAGCATATATCGGTTCCATTAAAAACGCGAAAATCAATCATTTCACCTAATCGGACGCCTCAAATCAGTGGAGATTTCAAGATCACGTTATCAAACAAAATGCATATCGGAAACTGCAAACAGTACAATGCGTAAAATGAAGAAAACCCTAACCTCTGAAGGAAATGAGGGAGTCGAACCCGATATACGAATGACGGGAACAGGAGGCGGATCTACCGTCGGCGCACGAAGGAGGAGCTCGAGAGACGAAGGCGGCCGACGTCACGGCCTGGTTGGGCCTCCATGACCAGGAAGAGAGACTAGAAAATCTCCTGGCAACAACCCTCATCATTTTGATCCTCCAATTCTGCCTTCCTTTGTTTGATCGTTCCTATGCGTTTGCATGAACCAGACGTGAAGCGTAGAGGTATTTCGAATGCCTAGTCTAACGCTGCCTTTGCAATGATACTGCGAATACGGAAGTTAGTTAATTCTTCTTCTTTCTTTTTTTTTGAATAAATGAAAATTAACCTTGAAGTTAGTTAATTCTAGACCATCGCATTATACCGGTCGCTCCATGTATTATTTGTATTTCTTCGAATACAAATATTTTATATTTATAAATTGATAAATAAGTATAAATGACTGGGAGTAAATATAGATATATAATTTTTATGATTTTTTTAAAAATATATGACTACATGATAATAAAAATTATTTTATTTGAAATATAAAATTTTAAAATAAAAATGTAAGGTCCAGGTCTATTATATGAATTTTATTTCTACAATAAAATTCAAAATAAAAATTTCCGATTCATGAATTACAATAAATCCAAGTAGATTGGCCGGTTTTAGAGGCCCGTGCATTCGATCACCTGTTAGAAGTGTTTTTTGTCGAAATCTCTTGTTACAAGTTACAACCAACTTCTGCCAAAAAAAAAACAGAGAGAGAGAGAGAAGAAGAAGAGAGTTGCAACCAAGCACCACAATAAATGATCCCCTGCAGGCCAGTACTCGTGAGATTGGCTGCATGCGCTCCGGGTCCAGGGCCTTTTTGAGGCCTTTTTTTTTTTTCCGCCAACGAGGCTTTAATTTAATATAATATTAAAGATATTAAAATTTTAAAATCATTGCTACTCTACCTTGATATATAAAGAAACTATTTAAATTAGCTATTGCTTAAATATTCGTTTTCTTAAAATATCATTTTAAATTATTTGCATTAAAACTCTTTTAATACATACAATTATGATAAGAATAGTTTGGAAAACAAATGTTAAGTACGTGAAATAAAATAAATTAAAATATTATATTTTAACTTAATTTTAACCTCTAACTAACTTTTACATTAAAGACTAAAGACAGACAGTATAAAGAAATCCAGATTAAATTTTTGAACTTAAAAATTACTCCTCCAGTCCTAAATGTAAGACCCTTATACACACTAGTATAAGGGTTTTACATTTAAAACCAGAGGAGTATGAACTATTTTTTTCAACATATTATTGGGTTAATACTCCTCCGGTCCTTAATATAAGACCTATTTAACTAATTTGATTAGATTAAGGAAGTTAAGTAAGTTAGTTAATTATAAGAAAAGTGACACATTTTTCTTAAAACACCATAATCATATTTCTTAATACCCCTCTCCCTCTTCTACTTGATTATGGTTGAGGGAGTATCCATAGGGGTAATTTAGAGAAAATTGATAAATATGAGAAATAGTTCTTATATTTAGGACCAAAACCAACTCAAGAATTAGGTCTTATATTAAAAACCGGAAGAGTATATATTCAACACCTTAAACTTATTTTCTATGTGCATCTAACACCTCAATCTTATTTTTATAGTTACATCCAACACTCTAGTTTTTAAAGTATAAGATGCACTAAAAATAAAATTAGAGTATTAAACGCCTCATAAAAAAATTAGGGTATTAGATACACTTAAAAGATAACATCAATGTATTAGATGTGCTTTTACCTTATGCCATTATTTTTACTTCCCCGAAAATTTTCAATTTTAAATTGGTTAAATGTATAAACACTAATAATCCAAAGTTGTGGTTTATTTTGAAAATTAAGTTGCCCGACTTCCTCGATATCCCTCCCTCTTCTAGACGGCGAATGCTGAATAAGCAGGTCGATCGTAGCACTGAAACCCATTACTTGTGGAGGGAGAAAACAATAGAACTTTAATCAACTTATCGATAGATTCCTTGTTAAAAAAGCTAACGTCAAAAGCCGTCTTAGCTCAGCCGGTAGAGCGCATGGCTTTTAACCATGTGGTCGTGGGTTCGATTCCCACAGACGGCGATGTGACTTCTCTTTTTTTTCTCACAGAATAAGCCCAACCCATTTTACCCCTTTAGGTTGGCGTATCCCCACTTGGAAAGCTTTTTCGATCCAAAGCAGCAATGCACTAAGATCACTTTTTCTCTTTAATATTTTGTCTTCTTCTTATAGAAGCTGTGCCTAATCCTAATCCCACATACATATCTGGTTTCTCTTTTCTTTTTGGGCAGAACATATCTAAAGTTTTGTTCACTGCCAGTGCATTTAGGCAATCCCACGTGGCAAAACAAACGGTGGAGAATGAAAAGGAAAATGTACAGCACAAAGCACGCTCACAATGAATGAAAAGAGAGAAAAATAAGGATTGGAGCAGAAGGTGCATGCAGCTGGCCGAGACAAATAGAATAAGTAGCCGCAAAGGTTGACGCACACGGCGAGCTGATGATGATGATGCAGCCGAAAGCGTGTAAAAAAAAAATAATATCTTTTTCAGTTCTGCTTTGAGTGATCTCAGTTCAAGTTTTATTTAATTACTATTATAGATCCTATCTATATGTAAATGCACCATAATGTCACCTAGTGGCATCATTTCCCACACACGCATGGAATATGCCTGGCTTCAAGCTTCTCTCTTCACCTGTACCGTGCCGCGAAGCTTCCAATATTGCAGCCATATATATATATATATAATCTCCTCCCCGATCAGCTCCTTTGATGGTCAGCTCATCTCTATCTCTATGCATGTGTGTGTTTATTCTAATATACTTCTCCAATCCTAAATATAAGACCCTTATACAGAGTGTATAAGGGTTTCATATTTAGAACCAGAAGAATATATATACGTAGATATATCTCAGAAGAGATCATAGTGTTTCGCTTTTATATTTTCCCCACTAATTGAAAACAGTCACTGCCTAGCCCGTTGCAGGTTTATCAATTATATTGCCTGCTTGATTGTGTCTTGCTTAGCCTATCATGCAAATTTGCCTGGAAATATGGCGTGCACGCATCATGATATCTGGTTTCAAAAAGTCACATTTAGATTAATAAAATAATCTACCTACATGGGTCAAACAAATAAAATTTTCCATATGCTGCTTGAATTAACTATATATATGTGTGTGTGTCTGCGTGTGTGTGTGTGTGTCTATTCGCATAACATAAAATATACAGCTACAAAGTTACACATTTTAGGTTAGGAAAAGAAAGGCATGTTTCAGGCTCTGTGGCCCCAGCATAATACATTAATACGTATGACTCACATTCTAATTATTATTAACTGTTAATTAAGTATGGATGCTGCGTAGATATAGTACTACCTCCGGTCTTTAAGACTTTATTTATAATCTACAAATAAGGTTTTATAATTATAACTAGAGGTAGTATTAATTTTACCCAATTAGTTCGTCTTTTCCTCATATTAGATAGTAGGCCGGTGCTCCCTAGCCCCCAATAAGATGGAAATAGAAAGAGACTGATTAAGGAGGTGAGCCGATCATGGGAGGTGAGCCTATGGTTCAAAAATATTCAAACGAGACATCGATCTTTTAGCACATCACAGATGAATGTCTCGTACTTATTATTTTTTGTCCTTAATAGAAGAATAGAAGAGTTAGTTGACTAAGTTAAATAGATTAAAAAAATTAATTAAATTAGTTATTTGTCATAAATAGGTATTGTATTTCTTAAAATATACTAGTACCTGCTAATCAAGTATATTGGTTAAAACTGCTATTATTATAAGGATTATCTTTAGAAAGAAATAGATAAATATGAGAGATAAAGTGAATTTAGATCTTATATTTAGGATCAAAATAAAAATTAAAAGAATTTTTATACTAAGGACCTGAGGTATTATTATTTATGATTTTGTATCAAAATTAAATATATATACTTTGATGTCCCTACCAGTACATTTCAACATCAGCGGCCACAACCTTGACATATTGTTTGGCAATCTAAAGTTACTAAAGATAACACGAAAGAAAAATAAGTTAGCCTGTTTAACTTTTGGCTTTTCGTCGCCTTCGTACTCGGCTGCCTGCCAAGCATGAAAGCCTCCAAACTAAACCAGCTAGGCCATGTAGCATACTTCCTCCGGTGCTTTAATATACATAATTAATAAACACATTTTGTAGTAACAGGAGTAATCAATTTTTTCATTTTTTTTAACTAATTAACTAATTTTTATATTAAGTACATAAAATAATATTTAAAATCTAAGTTAATACTGATTAATAGCTACATGCAGGATTCAGAGGTACAGTCTAATAAAACACTGCACTACGCATCACATGCCTGTCTCGGTGTCTCCGCTAATTTGGCACATGTGTTCATATATGTACGCTGGGTTCTAATGCTGCGTTGGCAAGGTGAAAATATACAAGAATTGGAAACATTGCTGCAGTTGAACTGAATGTATCGTTAATGATAACTAAAATTGTTGCATACTATTGTAACCGATAGCAGCCAGTTGGAAAAGACTTCAACATTACCTTGAAAAGGTCTATCAAAACATAACACACATCATCAATAATTTTTTTAGTAGTCCGTTTAGTACAAGAAAAATATAGAAGAGGAAAAAATTTAACCAGTTTGATTAAAAAATTGAAGAGGTAAGATTAAAAACTTTTAATTATTTTTATTTCTTTTTTATCTTACACATTCTTTTTATTAAAATTTTAAAACCTCATTCGTCAAATTTTTAAAATTTGACCCTTTAAAATCTTATCTTCTTCCATCCTTCCCTCCATTTTCCTGTGTAAATATAGGGTGATGGAAATTTTTTATGGATAAATATATTATTATCAAACTCGTGAATTGACTCTATAAGTTCAACGTTTTTACATTTTCACTTTACAAAAACATGTTGCTATCTGCAAACTTAGTTGAACTTGTGAGTTTACTCGTAGAATTTACTATTTTTATATTTTTAACTTATAGAATCGTATCAATTCACATTTAAACTTGTGCTAAATTAAAAATTTTAATTTAATTATGTTTAGTGAGTTTATATATGAATGTCATAAAAATTTATTTGTTAAATATGGTACATTAAGAATGTTTTGATGAATTTAATTTCAATTATTTAGATTTAAAATATATTTAAATGAAATTATTGTTATTTTTATATTTTAATTATTTAATTATATATTATTAATATCAATTTAGTAATAAAAGTAAATTCTTATGAGTTTAGGTTACATCTCCTTCATGAGTTTAACAACCCTGGATAAATGAGATCCAATATAGAATTTGTTGCTATTTCGTTGAGAATACATTATGATCAATAAATTACGAAGAATAATGTTACACTCGTCTCACACCTTTTTTTTAACCCCCTGAATCTTACACCATCAGTGATATATATCAAATGTAAATCTAGGAGAATTACAATGAAATCCCAAAAAATAAAAATAATTACAAAACAAATCTTAAAGGTTGTCATTTTCTACTATAAAATTTGTAATTACAAACTGCTTATGTTATTATTAAAAATTTTTAATAATTATTTTTTTCCTTAGAACCTCATTGTAATTTTTCCTATAAATTGTTGTACCAAAAAATGTAGTTACGTTGTACCACTATTATTAACCAATCTTAACCCAACATACATATATATTTGGGTGGATATGTACACAAAAAGGAAATGAATCACTTCAGTACTCTCTATTTCATGAACAATTTTAGCTATTCAATTTGATTGTCAATGTGATTTACTGTCTTTGTATTTATTATTATGTGGTTAAATGTTCTTTTAAACAATATCATAATATTTTTTTTATAATGATTTATGACTATATTAATGGTGCACATTCAATAATTTTTCCCTATTAAACGAAAGAGAAAATTTTGATCCATTTACTTATATCCCTTCCAATCAATCTCCAATCACATTTCAAGTAGACTTTGGCTTCTTCTTCTTCCTTTTTTTTTTTCCCCCACTTCTCATCATTTACTCCAACATAACTAGCTATAATTATCTTGAGATGAAATCCAAGTATATTAAGATTTGATTGGAATCAACATATATAAGCAAAGGACCTAAATTTTATCCTTAAATCAGCAGTTAAATAACTAGCTAGGAGAGATTATAGATAAAGAGTATGAGTAAGAAATGATGTGAGAGACTCGTTTTTCTGGCATTCCATCCTCATTCAAAACATAAACATACAACATGTGAGTTCGTAGTAAACAACAATTGATTGAACAATCAAGTGAAAAGATGTTTATATATATATATGTAACAATTGGACAAGCAATATTCAGCTAATTAAGAATTAAGCTGATAATCCGAACAGCTGCACAGATAAACATACTCCCCCAATGCATGCAGTAGTTCAATTCTGACTGAATTATTATATATCACCTCGTGTGTCTTCCATCAAAATCATCAGTCCCTTTATCAAAAAAATAATAAGAACCCGAAAACCCACGATCTCCCATTACTTGTTCACCGTGAAATTGATCAGACCCAGCCGTGGAAGAAGATGAAGTCACTGCCGATGACGGTGAGAAGAATGAAGAAGAATCATAAAGAAGTGACTCATTAACGCTCTGATAATTATAGAGACCCGAAGCAGCTCGCTGTAGATCATCATCATCCCTACTCCGAAGCACCTGAGCGTACTGCATTAGGTTTGGAAACCCCTCGTCCGACGGAGGAGGCGGCTGCCATGGTGGCTGAGAATCCGGCAGCGGCACCGCCTCAGATGGAGGCTGACGACGAGGGGGAGGAGCTGAAGTTTGATGAGATTGAAAATTAGCTACACGTTCAGGGAAATTGAGCTTGGCTTTATTGCCTTTGAACTTCAAAGCCGCAGCATCATAAGCCGCCGCAGCATCCTCTGCCGTATCAAACGTGCCAAGCCACACTCTTGCTGCTTTGTTCGGGTCTCGGATTTCGGCGGCCCATTTCCCCCACGGTCTCTGCCTAACTCCTCTATAATGTTTTTTCCTTTCTATAACATTCCCTTCACAAAAAATATTCACTCACAGATCATATATATGCAAAATCTTCTGCATATTAATCAGCCCATTTTAGTCCAGGGAGTCATCTAATTAAAGAGATCGATACTTCTTAGTTTTGTGGAATCAGTAGGCTAGTCAATAATAAGAAAGCAAAGTTTCAATATTTCACGTAATAGAATGTAGGGAGGCCAATGAAAGATATGCACCACTGAGAAATACCAAACTTCTGGTTAACTGGTCATAAAAGTCAATAATTTAAGTTCAACACATCGTTATCAGACAGACTCAAACCTAAAAGATGGTACGAGCGCACTTACGATGAGCTAGCATACAATATTAATTGAAGGTTGGATAAAGAGAGTGTCTTTTCAAACTTGGCCGAACAAGCTAGATAGCCGATCGTCATCAAGGAGATAAAAACATGTTTTACATATGCGATTTGTGACTGGGGGGAAAAGTCACGGTGGATCGACCAAAGTGTGAATTATTGAAGACTTTTACTGCTCTTATTAAAGAGAGATCACACACTGGCTGCACTCTCGTGTCAGGAAAAGAGGAAATCTCAGAAAATAATATTGACAGATATCGATCATTATCATAGAATTAAAAGAGGCTATTCTGAATTTTAATTAAAAGATCGGTGCACAGAGATCTTGATATTCGAGTATATATATAACATTACTGGTAGTATAAGGAAAGTAAGGGGCATATTATGAACTTAATAGATATATAGTAATTTTACCTTGTGGAAGATTCTGGGATGAGCTGATCTGAGTCTCAATCAAACCAGAAGAGGTTGTTACTTGTGGGATTGGGAAGGGGGTGCTAGTGGAGCTGATAAGATAGGGAAAGGGAGAGGCCGAAGTGTCTTCTTGTGTTTGGGTCTGTGATAGCGATGGGAATAATCCAGAAGGAATGAAGAAATCTTGCTTTTTCTCCTCCTCCGACGCTTCATCAGAAGAGAAAGGCCTCTTTCCATGCCTTCGATCCACCTTGTTCAATTCTTTCTTTAACTCTCTCTGCCTCCTTCAATTCTTCTTCTTCTTCTTCTTTGCCTGTACTTTCTGTGCTTACATAGATATCGTGCTCCTTCTCTTTCTCTTTTCTCGCTGATTAAGCCTGCGGATCATCAGATTCAGGCTGCACAGCTTGATAAAATCAAGTAGATCTGCGATTTCTTCGAGAGAAGGTGACAGATGAAACAAGGATCGAAAGAGGAGATGTTATATGATTGTCATCTTAAATAGGATTAAGAAAAGTTGTGGGGGAAAAAAAAACAAAAACAAAAAGAAAAAGGGAAGGGCTGATGGAAAAGAACAAGATAACGGGGGGCTAGCTTGGATGGTTTATTACTCAACGTTGAAGTCAAGTTTATTTGTCCTTTTTTGGATATTTTAATTTTAATTGATAAAACTACATATTTAATTATCATTAATATTTTTACATTTTTTAGAAATTTTTTTACATGCTTTTTATTTTTTACGTTTGTAATTATGAAAGTGTTGATTAAGAAATCATACTTCACATAGTGTATGTTTATTAAAAAAGTATTTTATGAGACATAACTCTGTTAAGGACGGCTGTTACACGTGGCAATTCATGGATGAGGACCTTCTTGAACTTCTACATAATTGGGGTTCTTGTCTTGTTGTCCATATGGTCATACCGCGGAAAGGAGTCGTACCTGTAACCATACATTGAATCTAACACAGCTATTCGTCGAATAAGTTCTTGTATAGAATGTATATATATATATATTCGAAAAAGTTCTTTTTTATTTTAAGGAAAAGGATCTCTCAGATCTAATTAATTTAACAACGGCGTTTGTTCCGTATCTCATTTGCATTATTTTTAACCATAAAAAATTAAATCCTTGAGCAGATATGATATATGAGGGGATAAAAGAGACAGAAAAGTGTAAATTTAAAATCTTAATCTTAATCTTATGCACAATTTTATCTTATTTTTATGCGATTATTTTTCTGATATATGATCACAGGTAATGAATATTACCTATTGCCATATTTGTATTGAAGATTCAAATGCTAACCACCTCCAAGGTACGTAATTAATCCCGTTGGGCAACATTTGCCTTGTACAGCTTTGGCGGGGATAATATTAAGCCGTACATGTGTGTTTATCTGCACTGTCACTTACTCACTTCACTTTGCTGGATTGTGTAGTTTGCATCAGGGCCTGTGATTACTTGAAAGGAAATAAGAGATCCAGAAACTTTGACTGGGTGGTTTAATCTGGATGGTAGGAGTGAAAGGGAATAGATTTGGAAGATCGATCAGTGCGTACTAAACATGCGACTTGAGATTACCAAAACTTAAAGAAGCAGCAGAATAAGGATATTTGTTAACTGTAAGTTAATAAAAAAGGAAGTAGAAGAAGTCATAGAACTTATACACGCCATCTTCTAATGCAAGATGCTCTATCAGAACCTATTTACTCCATGATTATATATATAAGTTTATATATTTATATAGAGGCATGTAAGGCTCAAATGAGTTGAATCTGTGCGTTATTTTATTAGATGATAACTTGTTTAAGATCAGGTTCAAGAGATGGCCCAAACACAGAAGTGGCCTAGCTAGTTGAGTTAAAGGAATACGACGAGCTGAACCAGTAACCATTAAGGATCCAAAAATCCTGAATTAAATCATGAATAATATAATGTGGCTAGCTGGAAATCCTGAAAATCAAGGAACAACTGTGTGAGAGAGAGAGACCCGGGAAGGTTAATTTGGAACACTATATGCCCTCAGAGGGTTTTTTTTTTTTTTTTTGACCAGCATATGCCTCAGAGTTAGAGGCAGCATGGTGGAATATAATTGTCCCATTCAGTGCTTATCATTTTGATGAGAAACATACGTTTATCAGATCTTGATTTATATTTTATTTGGATGGTCTAAATGTGATTTTTTTTTTACTTCTATTTGTTTAAAATAATTATTTTAATATGTGTAGAATTGAAAGTAGAGATGATTTTTTTAACTATTATTTTTTTCAAAAAAATAATTTTTCTATTTAAAAATAGTTAATTTAAAATTTAAAATTTGGACCGTTCAAGTCACATATAAACAGTCCAAATCTGATGAATTAAAATACTTATTAAAATGATGAGCACTGAAAATAGTTCTAGTTCATAGTAGAGCATATTAATTGCTTGTTCACCAATTAATGAAATTATCATGCCCACACTATTGCAACACAGTACTCATTTGTCTGTTAGTTGTTTGTGGAACTTAAAAACGATGAGTGTCTTGATTACATATTCAGTGCCCGCTGGGCCGCCACTGATGGGGCAAACGTGAAAGAGAATTTTTAAAGGTATATATATTTGAGGCACACTTCACCTCAGTAACACTAATAACATGCTTTCTTCTTGCAAAAGATATTGTTGATATGTCATGTGCAAAAAAGCATATGACCCCACCTACTATTATTTTCGAAGGGCCTTTGAGAGGCTGATGATGTGAAAGCGTGACGGTCAGTTTTAATTTTTGTGTACTGTTTTTTATGCACGGGGGTTATCATTAAGATTTTAAAAGCATATTGGTGTCTACTACTCCTTGCTTTGGCCTGGGGGCTTTTGATGGGGACTGACGAAGTCCCCTTTATGGTGGGATCAGCTTCTCCTCAGTTTGCATATAAATTATACTACGAAGATATAGTGCAAGTTGGTTCTGAATTCAACAGCTTCTGCCGTTGGCCCCAGATCCCAATAGCTAGCCTTCAATAATAATGTTTCGTTTTCAACCTATGAATTTTTAATGCGTTCTGGTATATCTGCAAGTGTATCTTTCTCTGGTCAAGCAATTGGGTGGTCATTTCATTTATGCACGAGAGGGTTAAGAAACAAAAAGAACATTGGGATGGGGTCAAATTCTGATAATCCAAACTCGATTCTGATCGATAAACACCATTTGGGAAGTTATGCCCACTAAACGTATTAAATGTCACATTAATAATCAGGAGATTGCGAGTTTAATCTTACTTAGAATTTTAAGTGATCACTGGTACGAGCTATTTTAAAAATTAGCCCCTTAAATTTATTCTTATTTTAATTTTAGTTCTTTAAGTTTTAAACCATATATTTTAATTTTTTTAGGAGTAAAATGGCTTAACTTTTTATTGAATTATATGAACCAATGTTTAAAATGAAAAAAAAAACTTGAAAGACAAAAATCTATTATTTAAAATTTGAGGGATTAAAACTAAAATAAAAATAAATTTAAGGGATCAAAAATTATATTAACCCACAATAAAACCTTCTAAACTGTTAGAGTTTATGTTATGAGTCATGTGAGATTAACTTTGCATAGAGCACTTCGTGACAATGTAAGTGGTGGGAATTCTTGTCATTTGACCAAAGTTAATTGAGAGGAGGTAAGAGTTTTCAACCATTTGAACAGGGAATATTTCTTTTTCACGTTTCCCGTTATTTGTCTTCTCAGCAACACTGAACAGCATTCATAATATAGAAAAGATGGTACACAGGATCAAGGAGCATTATTATTATATTTCATATTAGGATGAGATATTTGAATTAGAATCCATATTTGTCATGCATTGAATTCAATGTCTGGGTGCGCTTAGTCAATGCAAAACTACGTAATTTTAGCTAAGCATCAGACCATCAATTACTCGTTAAAAATGCCTTTGTGATAATTTTATTGCACAAAAATTAATAAGATAATAAAATCCTAATTGCAAAGTAACGTTAGTCAAATGATACGTGTATATAATAGTGCAATGTCTGGCTTGCCAGCCTGGTATGTTCATCTATGTATGTTGAATAATTATTATTCTATATAATGCTACAACAAAAGTCAAATAAATAAATAAGATATAATAATTGAAAATTCTAATAAAATGACGTACAGAACTTTTTTTATTTGCTATTGTATTTAAATATATTATATGATTACATGATTATACACAAATTTAATTTAATAATTAGTCAGAAAATCTTTTTTTTTTTTTGTCAACTTTTGTTTAGGTCTACCGGCTATGCAGCTTGGAACCTCCGGCCGGGTTAATAACACCACGCATTTCGAAACCGTGGAGCCAGGTTTATTGGTAAAATATTAAATTTTTAGCATAATATTATCTATGTCCTTAATGTGAGAATTATTTGATTAATTTGAATAAATTAAAAAAATTCATTAAGTTAGTTATTTATAATAAATAAAATTTCTATAAAAATAAGGGGGGAGGGAAGGGGAAATTTTAATAAGCTCAATTTAAAAAATTAAAAAAATCGGGTTGAAAGCGTTTAATTAATTTTTATTACTCTTTTATATTACTTCTTTTCTTTATTTAAATTTAAAATCCCACTTCTTCAATTTTTTAAATATATTTTATTAAAATTTTTCTTCCCTTCTCCTTCCCTTCATTTTCCTTATACCAAACAGTACCTAAATGTTATCTTGTCTATAATGTCCTTACTAATTATATGTATTAGCTAAAACTATTATTTGATGGGACATTTAATATGTGCAATTACTACAAATACGAGTACTTTGAAAAGAATAGATAAATACAAAAAACAAAATGAATTGGGAGCTTATATTTAGCACTAAATTAAATGTCAAACGAATTCTTATATTAATAATTAAATGTAGTGAGTTATAAAATCTTGACCGTCCTGAACATTCCTGACTGATCTAATGACCAGTAGGGTTTGATAAAATGCCTAATTAAGATATCGCATGTCACTGTATTAATTAATTTATCGCAGGCTTGTTTGAGAATACTTATATTGACGTTCCTCGTCGAATCTATGACTTTTCTTCACACGTACAATATGGCTCTTTACAGTTACTCCAAGAAACCGTTGCGTATCACTCAAAAAAGAGGGAAGAAAAAAGAACTCGGCACCGATTATTCTTAAATTCTCTAGTCTTTAAAGCTAAACGATGCTTTGCACCTGTCCTAGCATAGCTAACGACAGAAGTAAAATATAAACAAACGGCAACATTTAATTTAAACACATACTCATCTGGCCTAAAAAACCTGACACATTCCACCTTTTTGTTAATTACTAAAAATACTCATCCAAAGAATTATAATTGATCTCTCCTTCATTTTTAATACAGAAGATGGGCCAAAGCGCAAAAAAATACCAACTTTTCTTATGTACGGGGATTTTTTCCCCACTTCTTGTTGACTGAACTGGAAGAGGGATGAGGGCGTTTTTTCCCGAGAGAGATGGGCCCAAAATGAATCATTGTTGTCGCTTTATCGATAATGGGTTCAAAAAATGAAGAGAGCCGTTTTGGGCTTAAAGAAAGAAACTTCTACGCTTTTTGCTCGATTTAGGCATTTGCGGGCCTCAAGTCCATATTGTGACCGCACGCAGCCGCTCCCAGAAGACCCTCTCTCTGCTTTGATCGAATTCACCATCGGAGAAAGGCCTGCTCTGGTCATAAAGGCGGCGCCGCGCGCGCAGCAATAGGCCAACGCTGGAGGGATCAATGGAGACGAGCGCGAAAGGCGAAGGGGCTGGGAAAGTTGAGAAAGTCGAATTTGATGCCTCGGAGATTGAATATGTTAGTTATGGTGGCGAACATCATCTCCCCTTAATTATGAACCTCGTGGACCAAGAGCTCAGCGAGCCTTATTCTATCTTCACGTACCGTTACTTCGTTTATCTATGGCCTCAGCTTTCTTTCCTGGTTCCGGAACTTTTACTTTGCATCTTAGTATTGTTTGGGAATCTTTTTCGCATTGGTTTGTGTTCTTATCTTTCTGTACTGGATTTCAGGCATTTCACAAAGGTAAATGCGTGGGAACTGTGGTTTGTAAGATGGGGGAACATCGCAGTACGTTCAGGGGCTACATTGCAATGCTGGTTGTAATCAAACCCTACAGAGGAAGAGGCATTGGTAAGTGTTGTCTTGTTTATCTTCAAAATTCGCTGTCCGTGTCCTACTTCAGGAAACGTATGGAGTTATTAGTTTCGTGCGTTTAATTACCAGATTATAACCTTTTCGTTATTTTGCAGCCACAGAACTTGTTACCAGATCAATTAAAGTGATGATGGAATCAGGTTGTGAAGAGGTACGTAGCTATTGCACAATGTAGGTTTGAAATTTAGACATATCCGAAGGATTTTTTTTGTTTTGGGCTTTTTTTTTTGGGGGGGGGGCATGGAGAACCTTTAACTTTTCATGTTGGCTGGTATGGAATGAAAATCTGAAAAGTAAGCATGATTTTACCTCCCTTGCTTCATATTACTGAAAACATAAAGGATTATGATCCTGGTCTTATGTGTGCTCAGGTTAGATCAAACGTATTGCGTGATCTCAAGATATTGATAACGAAGTTAAACTAAAGAAATTTTCATGTTGTAAAGGTTCTAGTGTCACCTTTTTTGGTAAATAATTCTCCCATAAATGGGATGAAATTGGTAAACGCCTGCCAATATGATTTACTCTATCAATAGTGACTTAAACTAATTATCATTCATCAACAATAATAATTAGTGTGGCGCAGGTCTTCTATGGAAAAAGATTATTTTTTAATGTTATTCCATTTTGTATTTTATGCAGATTGGCTAACTAATGGTTGATTGTTGTGAATGAAATTTCGAAAACCTGTATGATTTTTTAATGCATATGTTTATGCTTGACTTATCAGCGAAACGGTTCCCCCCCCCCCCCCAGGCGTAGGTTCAAGTATAATTCATGTGGCTTCCAGTGGTAAATTTTCTTATCACCAGATCTTTTCTCCTAAGTTGATGCTTTTGAAGGAGACTATTTAGTAAAAAAATTTGATATGTTATATAGGTTAATGGAAGGTATTTTAGTAAAAAAGAAGAAAATTAAAATTCGTGCGACTTAGTTTCGTGGAAGGTAATCTCTATTTTTAAAGGATGTTGGTTTGTTTTACCTATCTTAATATTATCAATAAATTAATTGCACTTATGAAATTCCTTATAGTGGAACTTGAGGCATATGCGAGAAAGTTGACAATGGAACTCAGGTTCTTGTCTTCTTGATTATTCCCGACTTGGATAGTGTGAAACGTAAGAAGGCAGGAAACTCATAGTTAGCTAGTGCTTAGTCATATGTGAATGTTCAGCAGAAGTAGGGAAGAAAGACATAGAGGGAGATGAGATTAAGATTTCAAAACTAAAACCTATACAAGCTTTCTCAATTTATTAATGGACATTCAATTTGAGATAGGCGTTGGAAATCATCTGTGTTTTACCGGCTGCATTTAAAGTCAGATTTAGAAGCAGGTCATATTATATTAATGCAACCTGCCTTTTCTGATGGTCTTGCATTGACGAATTGTGGATCATGACTACTCCGTTTTTGTTTGCCTCTGAATCTTAAAACATGGGTTCTGTTCTTGATTTACGTGATTGGACGTTATGGCCTTTATTACTACCCGTTCTTTGTTTTTATAGATTCTTCCCAAAGAGGATACCTACAATAGTTGGGACTTATTATTTCTGGTTCATTCTAGTGAGGAAAAGTTGTACATGGGGAAGCCTAAGCTACTGTTTCTCGTGCTTATGGTTACATTAGTCCGTTTTGACGGTATTCTAGGGGCCAAGCTTAATGGCTACAGCTATTCCACACAACAATGTGCAGTGAGGTCGAAAGAGGGAGTATGCTGATTCACGTTATTGTTGTTCTTGCAATTTTCTAGGTTACACTGGAAGCAGAAGTTACTAACAAGGGAGCACTAGCACTATATGGTCGCCTTGGCTTTATTAGGGCTAAGCGGCTTTTTCACTACTATTTGAATGGGGTTGATGCTTTCCGTCTGAAACTGCTGTTTCCCCAACCAGAATTACATCCATCTCTGCCTATGATGGAGGACAAAGATGATAGCCACAAGCATGGTGACCATAGACATTCGTCAGAATGATAAGACTTCGTCAAGGTTGTAGCTTTTATGGAAGCACATTGATATGCAGACGCATGTTGATAGTGCAGATATTTTTACTGAGCAAGTCTGAGAACCTTTTTGTAACTAAAGTCGCCTATGGGAAATGAGCATCTATATTTCAAAAAATTTCCGGTGCTCTGATATTTGTTTTTGATCGTATGATCATTATTTTTCCGGTAGGACTAATGAACATTTAAGAGTGAGCAGTAATCTCAATTTATAGGCACGGTCATCTCCATCCTTGGTTGGTGCAATCTTCTCCAGGCAAAATCTAGTTTGTCTGTGTAATCGAACGAGTGACGGTGAAGCTGCAACTTGCCTGCGCAAAACGCATCATTTTTTTTTTTTTTTACGAAACGAGTGTGGACAATTTGCACGAGAGTGACGGTATGCGACTATTGATAGATCAGAATGGAGTTGTGCGTCAGGGACGACAACTCGATTTTTACTACTCTCCTCCCTGTCTGTGGTGATGTCAGGGAGGATAACTTTAGTGCCAAATGCCTAGCGTCATTCGGCTTCAGGAACGGCGGGGTATGCATAAACTGACTCTACGGACTGGACTTTACATACATGATTCATTACAATGAAAGCGTTTGTTTTAATTTTCCAATTATACTTGTTCATTTTATATTATATTCTTCAAAATAAAAATTTAAATGCAGTTTGCTTGAGTTTTTTTATTCATGAAATGCACATATAGTCACATAATTATTTAAATTGGATAGGTCTTTGTATGTTACACAGAATCCGTGTACAATATATAGTAATAGTCGGGGTATTGTTAATGCACCTGTTGGCTAAAAAAAAAAAAACACCAAAAACTGCTCCGTCAATATTTTTGCCTATTGGATTTTTTTGTTTGTTCTTTTCTCTTAATTGCTGTGCAAGATTTTTTCTATAAAGCTCACCTATATCGAGCGTGTCTAGTGTGAATTATTACTTCCTTCGTATCAAAATATAACCTATGTTTAAATAAACTCATCTCGGCTCAATATGGGTTATGTTTAGATGGTGATTGGCCTATGGGTGGTTTTCTCCTATTTTGCCCTAATTCACAAATTTATTTATTGCATTTAATAGGGGTGGTGGTGAAAATTACTACTCTTCTAGTCTTAACTATAAAATTCACTCTATAATATAATTTATACTGTAAAGTGAGTCTCATATTTAGAATCGGAGGAGGATAATATCTCATATGGTGTTTGAGTATGATAAAAAGAACTATGATAATGTAATAAATTAGTGTTTGAATTTTCACTGTACAGTGTATCCACATTTAATATTTGATTGGTACATTGAATATAATTGTCTCGAATTATAGCATAAAAAACGAATGTAATTATTTTTACAAATTTAAAAAATTATTCAGCTTTTCAATTCTTTTATTGGTATGCATGAAATTTTTAAAATGTTACTGGTATTTTAGGCTAGAGAAAGTATTTAATCCTATGACCAAAAATGTATGATGTTAATTAATAAACTCTCATGTCCTATATATACAAATATCACATTTTTATCTGGTTATAAGTATATCACTCATATTAATATTTTCTATGCATTGTGAGTAATACTCGTGTTCAATTCATCCGAAATGTTTTAAATTAGAAAGAAATTATTGTTATCTAATTTTAACTTCACGCGTAAATCTATGTGGTCCAGTTTAAAAATTTCTACTTTGAGGACAAAGCAATATTCGTGTTCAATTCATCCGAAATGTTTCAGGTTAGAGAGAAATTGTTGTTATCTCATTTTAACTTCACACAAATTCATGTGATTTAGTCCCCCCCCCCCCCCCCCGGGCATGGAAAAACTTCCTACATTGAGAACAAAGAGGATACTAGCGATTAATGATAGCAATAGTATAATTTTTCAATACATGTTTTGGCGGGTCACGCACAAATCCCAGCTAACCTTGTTAAATTTACCAATTTAATTTGTTTTTCTCAATACTTATTACTATTTCTGATCCTTAATATAAAATCTAGTTAACTAATTTAGGAAGATTAAAAAAATTAGTCAAGTTAGTTATTTATAATAAATAGGTGTTGCCTTTCCTAAAATACCCTTACCAATAATGTATACTGGCTAGAATTATCATTTGATGAACCTTTAACATGTGCAACCTATAAGGACTATTTTTAAAAAATGGATAAATATGAGAAGCAAAATAGATTGAGGTTTTATATTTAAAATCAAATTAAAAAAATCAAACAAGTTTTTATATTGAGGATGAGAGGTAGTTTTTTTTTTTTTTTTGGGGCCTGATCCACTCAAACGTGGAGACCTTTTCTGTTGAAAAAAATAAAAATTATGCATCACTCATATACTTTTATTAGAGTTCACGAGTAACTTTTTTTACAATTACATTTGGATGTTTCAGATTTTCAAAAATGAACTACAGAATTTACAATTTATAAAATAGCGTCACCTGTAAATTTAAAGACGGACTATATAAATATTTCAATAAGCTTGATAATTATAATTATAAATTACTATATAATACTAGCATACTGCTTATATTTATAATAAATTGTATCATTCAAATTCAAAGAATCTTATCCTGCTTTCCAATCTAACGTGATTAAATTTCATTACAATTGGAATATTTGGCAGCAAGTTCTTAACACGTCGGCAAACTATGGCACAAGGGCTCCACCAATGTATTCAATTTTTTCTCAGCTCCAAGTTCAATTTTGGCGAGAACAAGAAGCGGGAAAGGAAGGGGAAGGAGGTGATAGAACAAAAACGCCAAAGAGGAAAAATATTCGCCCCTGTGTCCGTACAGTCCCCGAGGTGGGAGATATATAATGGATGAAACCAAGCATTGCCCTGTACTGCGTCACTCTGCCCCGATTTGCTTCGCTTTTCTCCCAATGCTCATCTCTTCAAAACCCTAGAAGTTATAATCTACTAGCGCTGAAGTTTTCATCGTTTTCTTTCCAATTTTCTAGCCAGTACCCCGGCCCGGCTGTTACCGGAGGAGTTCGGACCAGTTAGTGCCTTTTTATCTGATTACTTCGCGTCCTCATTTATTTTATTTTTCTCAGGTTTTATTCATTCATTTTCTTTGTAGACTACTATGGGGGCGCAGTCGTTGAACCGTGTTAGTCCGAATCAGAGTCCTACTGCTAACAGTGAGCTGGGTGCTGGAATGGGTCGTCGGCATTCCGTGGTTTCGACTCCCAGGCGTAATATTGTACCGAATGGTCATAAATGTGGCAAGACTGAAGAGCCAAATGGTTTAAAAAATTCGCCAATTCAGAGAAGAACCAGTCCTCGAATACAAGCCAAGCAAAAAGTGGATACGGAACTTCCAGTGTGCCGCAGAGATGAGCTGCTCGACAAAGCTAGTGATGCGAAGATGACTACCTGTAAAACAAGTGTTAGCTACGAAAATGTTGATAAGCAACAGGTAGTTGGAGGACCAAAGAGAACTAAAAATTTGGATAGTTCAACAACTAAGGAACCGCACGAGTCTAAGGAGCCTTTAATAAAGAGAAGAACTAGCCCTCGTATCCAAGCGAAGCAAAAGTTGGATAAGGCACTTCCAGTGTGCAGTAGGGTGCCGTTGTCCGGTGACCGAGACGATGCTAGTGATATGAAGAAAAATACAACCTGTAAAAGAAATCGGAATGACGAAAATGTGCGTAATGAAAATGCTGTGGAGGACCAACAGAAAGCTAAAAAATTGAACGAGTCAGTTACTGAAGAGCCAAATGAGGACAATGAATCGTCAGCTCAAAGGATAGCTAACTCTCGAGTTCAAAATAAAGAATTTCTAGTGCGACGTAGAGTAGAGCTATTAGAGAACCGAGATAACGTTGGTAATGATAAGAAAATTAAGTGTTTCAAAACAAGTTGCAATGAGGAAAATGGGAATGAACATGGGGGTAAGGAAGAGGGAGTAGGTAAGCCACCTAGAGCAAAGAAGCTGAAAGAGGCTTCCTTGGTTAATAACAGACAGACATCTGCGGGTTCGAAAGCAAATGGGGCAGGGAATTTTGACGATAAAAGTGACTTTCTTAAGGTGAAAGAAACGTTGAGGCTGTTTAACAAGCATTATCTTCAGTTTGTTCAGGTTAGTTTTAATGACCATATTGTTAAAGTTTGCAATTAGGCAGTTTGATTTTCCAAGGTACAATGTATGCGTCCTCCTTAATTTGCTGCAACTCGGGATAGACCAGACTTAAGGCTTTTTTATATCTATTTTTCTCTTTTGCGTCATCATTTTCAGCTTTGGTTTAATTTGGAATCTTGATTTTAGCATCTTCTTTGCATATTAGGAGGAGGAGAAGAGGTGTAACAAAGTGGAATCTTCCCTCAAAGTGTCTAAAGGAGGTTCAAAATCTAAGGTTGGTCACGGATTCACCGTCTGTTGCATTTTCATCTATATCAAAATGCGTTAGTGTGCTTTATGCCAGAAATCCTGTTGAATGGAGTTATTTCTATGTCAGTTTCATGTGAAGATGGCTTACCTCTCCCTTCATTTGTGATATTCTCCTTAATAACACATTTCTAGATATTTCTTTCTTTGCTTTAAGTGGTTGGCTGCGTTGAAGAGTAAGATTCATATTTCATCCCTTTATAGTTTATACATCTTATAATACGTTTTTTTTTTTTGGGCTCACATTGCACACCTGGCACTGTTTGCACAATTTTTCGTACATGGCGCTATATCTTTATATGCTCAACGGTATTCAGACTTGTTTCTGAGTCACATCATGTATTTCCTCCCTCTCATGGCTGCCCTTGATGGTTTACACTTGGTGGAACCAGACTTGTTTTTGTTGTCTTTTATGGCTTACGCCCGAATGTTTCTTCAATTGAAACCAAGAAATTGGTGTCTGTCAGGATATTCAAATCTTGCTTCACTGGGGAGTGAAATTTAAATTTCAGCTACCTCACAGATTTTCCCCCCCTATTATTATCAGTTAACAAAAAAGCTCAATGTTTTAATTTATGCAGAAAAAAGCATCAGTTGAAGTTCAAAAGTCAATGGCTAAGCGACCTGATTTGAAAGCACTATCCAAGGTGAATGGAAATTCGTTATGCTTACCTTTAGTATAATTTTCTTTATTAGTCTTTACTGTTGTTTTCCCTATTATAGTTAATTGCATGCAATATATATTTATTTTACTCTCTTCTCATCTTAATTATACCTCTTTCTCTTTGTTACTTGATTAATTGACGCCTTTTGTCTTTCTGAATCTGTTAATTGTTTAATTATGCGTCCTTTCCCTTTTAACGTGTTAGCTGGCTACATTCTTAACCAGAGTGAGCTATAATTGTGAGAGCTACGGTTCAGAGGATTATCTAGTGATTGATATAGTTAATTATTGTTGAAATCCTATAATTACAGGTTTACTCTTTTTTAGTCAGTCATGTATATCACGTGATTTGGCATAATAGCCAAGCTATTTATTTCCTTTTTTTGTTTTTTATTATGCATTTGTTTCCATGTTAGTATTTTTTTTTATTTGTTGTTTTCTTTGGTTATTTAGTGTCGATTGTCAATTTTCCCCTCTCCTTAGATCCTTGGAGTTTGCCGCATGGCAAATTTGTTGCCATCTGCTGCCCTCCAGTTCTATCTCTCACCAGGAATAAATTAAGAAATTTTGTTCTTTTTTGAAGTTCTTCATGATATCTGAGCCTACAAAGTTTGAATTTGTTAGCGGTTGGCATGAGAAAATACATGTTGATGGTTAGCATAGGGAAACAGAGACATCTACATCACAAAAGTGAAGTGAGGATGCCCAAAACCAAGACCTTTGCTACACGGTAAGGTGAGAAAGTAGAAATTATAAAATAAAAAAAAGACTGCGATCAAGGTGGGATGTGAAAAAGGACTTGCGCCTTGCTATACAGTGAGTGAGGAAACTGAAAACAAACACTTTGCATCAGAATGCTACAGAGTGAATTGTTAACCCTTTCCCAGATTTTTGGATTTTGGCGCCATAATGGTGGCATCATTTCAGGGATGATGCAGATTTGTCGCCATATGCTCCCTTTTACCTATATAATTTGGTAATCCACCTTGAACAGTAATGTGAGAAACTTCAGAGTCGTTAATATATAAAATTCTTCATTCATTATTTAATGTTGTCTGGTATTATAATTTCTCTTCCCTAGTCAAAATTAAGTGGCTTTAGTTGCGATACAAGACTGGTGCAGATTTCTCTTCCCTAACATTTTAAATTGGAGACATTTGGCAGATGTTAGAAAATCAGGAGACATTGTATTCGGAGAAAAGAATTGGTGATATTCCAGGTCGGTGGCTTCATCTTGCATTGCTTCTGCTGTTTATCATGTATTGGGGCTTATTAAACTCAGACATTTTCTATCTGTTCCCTCTCAACCGAAGAAGATTTTATTTATATGCACAATTATATCTATAATGTTAAAAAGAATTGTGCTATGTTCATTGTACCCCATGTCAATTTGTATAAGTTCACTCTTAATGGCAGGTATTAAGGTTGGACATCAATTCTATTCGCGCGCTGAAATGGTTGCTGTTGGGTTTCATAGCCACTGGCTAAATGGCATAGATTATATGGGTCGAGCTTATTCCAAAGTGGTAATGCTGTTGTCTGTACTGTTATTTTTGAATTGACTATAATTTAAAAAATCTAAGATCTTGAATATGCCTGACTGTCGAATGACACAATTCTGGATTAAGTGCTCATCTAATCGCATGTCTCTCTTTCTCTTTTCCTTGTTGAAAGTCTCAATACAGTCACTATGAATTTCCACTTGCTGTGGCCATTGTTTTGTCGGGAATGTATGAGGATGATATTGATAATGCTGAGGACGTTGTATATACTGGTCAAGGTGGGCATAATTTGACTGGTGATAAGCGTCAAATTCGGGATCAGGTGTTAGAGCGGGGTAATCTGGCTCTGAAGGTGCATACCTACTACTTAGATCTTTTAATCCATTGGATAATAAATATCCTGCGTCTTTGTGCAATACTTGTTAACCAATTTTGCTTTCCTCATCACTATAAGACATATTTAAATTAGTTGTTGTGACGATTGATGCCATTGCTCAAGTAATATGAAATTAAGAATTACAATGCTATGGTGGAGTAAGTTTATATCTCATTTATGGTATATAAGGTTTTAATGGGACTAGCTAGCTGATGATTGTTGTTTCTTTGATCTTGCCGAACTTTTACGTGTGTGTGTTTTTTTGAAATTATAAAGTGAGTGGTAGTCCTGTTTCTGAAGTGTGTTATTTATTCTGGGATATACAGTTTTTACGTTCACAGTGTTGGCTGCTTTTAAGAAGCATAAGTTTTTTGATCATCTAATTGGTACTTGGTTACCTATTTAATTTACTGGAACTTTCAATATTAATAAAAGATTTAGTGTACTAAATTCTAGTATATTGGTGTGATTATGCCTTTGATGAGGTGAGAGCGTGATGCTATATTTTGTTTATTACCTAAAAACTTACATGATGGTGAGTGCTCATTGCTTCAGTTTTTTTGCTTTGAAGATTCATAGCAGTAATTTACTCATGTAAAATTCTCATTGAAAATTCATCCTTGTACAAAAGCCTAGAATCTGATTTCATATGAAAACATAATTTCAAAGGAATTAATGAAAGGAGATTGCATCGGTCATTAATCTGCTTTCACATATTCATAGTATCGTTTTTACACATAATTTCCTGTGTAATTCTGGTTTCCATCTCTGCCTGTCCTTTGGTGTTACTATTGCGAATGCTTTCATTCCATTTCTACCCAGTTTTCTTGAATATCTTTTAGTTGACACCATAGATTAGAAGACCACCGAAAACACTCAGCTCTGCGTGCCGTACAATTTTTGAAATGGCTTGTTTTGGGGCTACTTCCATTTTTCATTCGAAAAGCAAAGCATAGCATCAAAAGCATAAAATAGAGAATGGAGGATGAATTGATTCTGTTTCTTATTCTTTTCTCTGAGCACTGAGCACATATAAATGGGGAAGATGCAATTATTCTTTATTAGAATCTCATCTGATCTTATAGTGCAGCAATAGTTACAACTTACAAGAGACATAAATCCTTTAAATCAGCAGAATAAACTAGTACATATGAAGAAAGATGAATTTGAAAAGATATTATATGCATTATGACTATCTTTAGAATCTGGCTAATCTTGCAGACTACTTCAGGAAAATTGGTAGGTTTAAAGATGAAAGTTTTGGTACGGGTGTGTCGTTTTTGCTAATGTTTGGTGCGTTTGGTCATAGTGTAATGCCTGTTACTCCAAGCTTCAAGAGATAGTTGTTTACCTGTTTTGCTTTTGGTGCTCAAGTTCAACTGTGCTTGCCAGTCATGGATAAACATGCACAACAGTTGGATTTTGTTATATTTGCATAGTTCTTTCGCATCTATTTTATTTAATGTGCTCAACATTGTACTTTATTTGAAGCATACGAGTCAATCTAACTTTGCGTTCCATTTTAGAACTGCATGGAGCAATGTGTGTCTGTAAGGGTGGTTCGTGGACATGAATCTTCAAGCAGTTACAGTGGCAAAGTATACACATATGATGGCTTGTATAAGGTAGTTTTCCCATATGCTCATTGGAATCTGTTTTTTCTTCAATTATTGATCCTTTATTCCTTCTGAGGGGTTATGTATAGCAAGCTTGGAGCTATCTAGTCTAAATACTAAATTATAATCCCTATAGTTACTCTATTTTGGAATGTGTAATATGAAACTTAGCATAATTTGTGGTATTGGATTGGATCAGAAGGCTGGTGGGTATAATGTTCACTAAGTGCATTGGGGAATTCCGGGCTACAATCTTAGCAGGAAACAAACCATGACAGATTACTTGTTAGTGTCAATTGTCTTGAATTTGAGTTTAAGCTACCTGTAGGTTTGAAAATTAAGCAGTAGTGACAAATGCTGGAAAGTGATCACTAAACTTGGAAGTTTTAGCTAATTATAATGCAATTCGTTTTTAAACTTATTATAAAAGCTTTTCTTTTTTGACAAGGACTGGTTTGACCAGTGATTAGTGATGGAACTTATGACCCAACAAATAAGTGGGTATTTTAAGTTCGATATGTGGATATTTGTTTCCTTTTTTTTTTTTGGTTCCTTATTTTTCCAAGGTTTCAAAATCTGATTTCTGGCTGATCAGTATTCTAAGCTAGATAGAGAAATACCAAATGAACAAGGTTGACTGGTTCATTGAGCTTTGCGATCTTTTGTGTGAAATCTCAAAGTGTTTAGTGCAGTTTTTCCTTAAAACCTCAAAAGTAATTCTTTTTGATGCATTGCTTGATTCTCTTGAATGTCATAATAATGCAAGGTTAAGTTTTAATGGTAATGCATCAAATTAATTTCTGTTTTCTTGCAGGTTGTTAACTATTGGGCGGAAAAAGGATTATCTGGGTTTACAGTCTATAAGTTTCGGCTGAGGAGGCTTGATGGGCAGCCAATCTTGACAACCAACCAGGTCCATATATTTGTTTTCCAATTTCATTGTGAAGGGTATTCGTGTCTATGAAGTTATGATAGTTTTATTTACACATCTATCCGGGAAAAGTTTGGACATTGTTCCACTTAATATGCATTTTCTCAGGCGATTCCTTACCTCTTGCATGTGTTATATGGGATATGGTTATCTCTGGTTTTATTTCAAGGTTTCATTTCTATCTTTTTGAGGGAGTCTCGCGTGTTTGATGTACAGGGAGATTGAAAAAGCATTATCCGGTTTTGGGGTCTTCTAGGCTAACTGTTGCCCAAGTACAGGTCCTTTGGATATCCAATCCTCCCCCTTGAGAGATGCCTCCCACTAGGATAAGGACAACTAAAAGTAAGCAACTCTCTAGCCTACTAGGATAATTGACAACTAAACTAAAGCACTACATGAATGATAAACATAAAAACACTTGCTAACCATTAAATAATAAGACGATTTTACATCAATCCTATTGGTCTTAATTTGTCAAAGTATCCCTAGATTTAAGTTTTATTCCTAACTTTAGTGTGTAGCAAGTTCTTAACATGTATGATGTATGACTTGCGCCATCCATAAGACAACCGTTGTGATATTTATTATTAGAGTTGGAAAGGCAATGATGTTGTGACTACTATCATTCATGGCAAATGCCACATTTGTGTTCACTTTTTTTTTTTTTTTTGGGGTTATACACTGCCCGGTAATCCGGCGCCTATTGGCAACCGACTAATCCGGACTCGAGGGGTAGGAGTGCTGTCCACATAGGCGGGGTTGTCCACCCCTTCTCCCAACGAGAGTGCTTCCTAGGACTTGAACACACATTCTCATCCTTACGGGGGGCGAACCCACTTACCAGTTCGACCAACTGCTCGTTGGTCTTTTGTGTTCACTTTTGTGATTTCTTGTTTATTTATTCATATCATACTTTAACAAATAGGTATTTATTATGCTTTATCTGAATAAAATTATTCTCCTTTTAGTTCCATTGTATAAAGAAACTTATTTTCTTATTCAGATAACTTGTTGATATGTTGAGTTGACCGTTGTCATTGTAATTCTTTTATTTCCTAGAGTTTCTGTGACAGATCATGGGTCAAATTTTTTTTGCAAATGGCACTTTAATGCTAAGCGATGAAGTAGTGAAGAAAGTTAGAATGATCTTGGTTATTCATTTTGTTGTAATGACAGGTGTATTTCATTAATGGACGTGCCCCTCAGTCCATTGCTGAAATACGAGGGTAATGCAGAAGCTACCATAAGTTTAATATCCATAAGTTTCAGTTTGACTATTGTGGCCTGAATGCTTTTGTTGTTATTTTAGGCTTGTATGTGAGGACATCACCAAAGGTGAAGAAGATGTGCCTATTCCTGCCACTAACCTGATTGATGACCCCCCAGTTGCACCCACAGGTATATTGAATCTTTAGCATTTTCTGCTGTCACAAATGTTTTCTTAAACCTAAGTTTAGCATTATGCGTACCCGTGATGATCTGGCTAATTGACATGGGTTCCTCAATATTATAGGTTTTAAATATAAAAAATCAATTTTGCTTTCAAAGAATGTAAAGCTCCCCAGAGAGGTCGCTGGATGCAAGTGCAAAGGCTTATGCGTGGATCCTATGTCCTGTGAATGTGCCTTACGAAATGGATCTGATTTTCCCTATGTATCTCGTAATGGAGGGAGGTTAGATCATCGAAATGAGCGAGCTGAGCGCTGGTTATGCTGGTTGCTGGTATACTTATTACTGCTTTTAGGTGTATATTGACGGTAGTCTATGATTTTTCACCCGCTAGGTTAATTGAAGCCAAAGATGTTGTCTTTGAATGTGGGCCAAAGTGTGGATGTGGTCCTGGTTGTGTTAATCGAGCTTCTCAAAAAGGACCAAGATATCGTCTTGAGGTTGTACTTTTTTATTAGTCTTAAATTTTTAGATTAAACTACCAATATGGTGTATTTAATTTGCACATGCAATCAAATTTTGACAGGTTTTTCGTACTGCAAAGAAAGGATGGGCTGTTAGATCTTGGGATTTCATACCTTCTGGGGCACCAGTTTGTGAATACACAGGATTAATCAGGAGGACAGCAGATGTAGAGAATACACTCGAGAACAACTATATTTTTGAGATAGATTGTTTGCAAACGATGAAGGGCATTGGTGGAAGAGAGGTTTGAGTTCATATCTGTCTTTTATATTTTGGTCAGCTAATTCAGTATGAGATTATATTTGTCATTCCATGTCTCTGTCTTCTTCCTTTTTTTCGTTCTTGTTTTTTGATGCAACTGGCAAGTGAAAACTTGAGGTAAAAAAGAACTATTCACGTGGAGCAAATTCCACCAAAAGTCTATCTAAGATGTCTCATTATCTTATTTGCTTGCAGAGGCGATCACAAAACGAAACATCTACAGCAGGCAAGCTCTTGGACAATTATGCAGATGATAATTCTGAATCCGCACCAGAGTTTTGTATTGATGCCGGCCATATTGGAAATATTGCTCGATTCATCAACCATAGTTGCGAGCCAAATTTATTTGTTCAATGTGTTTTGAGCTCACACCATGATTTAAGGCTGGCACGAGTGATGTTATTTGCTGCAGACAACATACCACCTTTGCAGGTTAGCTGTTCAATCTTTTACATATGTGATGATAATGCTTTGAACACTAAAACACATCAATGGATGAAGTATTTGTATTTACTTTTTAATTGAACTCAATTATTTTTGGCTTTATTTGGGTCAAAGTTAATTATCCTCGGCTTTAAAATTGCATTTTACTATGATTATTTTGATGAGCTGAATGGGCGGTGGTAATGTTGATATGTAATTTCTAATGATTTTGTTTATTAAAATTGGATACTGCATTTAAGTGTATTGTCAATCGATGGTCAACAATAATGCTCTTTTGGTTATTAGTTGAATTTATCCTACGAATCAACATTGTGTCCTGACAAATCCAATTTCATTCCTCGCAGGAGCTTACATATGACTATGGTTATGCCCTTGATAGTGTCTTGGGTCCTGATGGGAAAGTAAAGAAAATGACGTGTTATTGTGGAGCTGCTGACTGCAGAAAGCGACTATTCTAACATATGCTTCTTGGTGCATGCGTTTTTCTTTCTGCCATTGCACATATCAGCATAATATCCTTTTGATTTGTATGGAATGAGGAAAATCAGGTAATATTCTATGTAAATCCAGAAAAATATGATATATCATTCATTTGATTGATATCGTCTGTCAAACGATTGAGATGTAATTTTTTGGAAAGTCGAAAATATCAAACCCCTTTTTTCCTTACTATCTTGTACTTTCTTGCACTTACGTAATTTATGTAATTTTCTTTCCGTTTTTTGGTGCACAAGCATTTTGCCATTTAATTGTATTTTGCCTGAGTGATTGATTTAATGTGAGCACTTACCATATGGCTTTGAAGGCTCCTATACAGTTTCGTGTGCGGGTGCCATCTAAGAGTCGCCTGTAACACAGACTGAGGCACTCGTTCTGATAGTTTCAGTTTCTGAGACATCAGCGTTGTAAAGGTGGAGTCTGCACAAGGGTTTCAGTTTCTGAGACATCAGCATTGTCCCGTTCTAATACAAGTTTTATTCCACTAGGTGGTGTTAGTTACATGAATTGCATCATTGTGTTCTATCAACAATTAAGTTCTTCAATATGTTGTTGACTTGGAGTCTCGTTTAATTATCTTATTAAGTGTTTTTTAGGTCTCTCTCTACTTTTTTTTATTAGGACTCCAAACCGTATGATTTAACTTTTCATCGGGCCTCTCATGGTCTTTTTTGTACGTGCACGAACCACTTCAAGTGGTGTTCAGTCATTTTCTTTCTATGAGCTCAAACTTGCTCTTATTCTAGTATTTTTATTCTGAACTTTATTTTTTCTTGTATAATCATATATTTATTTCAACATCAACACATCTGGTTCTGATATATTATCTTTTTTGAACTTTTAAATTTATTTTATTTATTGTTTATTACTTTGATTATGCTATTTACAAATTTTTACATATGGCTGTGATTTTCTTTTTTTTCTTTTTGTGAACATTTTGAGCTTATTTCTTTTCTGTCTTTTACAATTATATGAAGGTTAAAAAAAAATTTGTCAACTTTCGATTACTCCCAAAATTTTAGCTAAATTTTTTCCTTTGTTATTTTTTTTATACTTCTCTGGTCTTTAATATAGAATCTAATTGTTAAGTTAGTTTTGGTTTTAAATATAAGATTCATTTATCATATTTATCAATTTTTTTTAAATTACCTTTATAGATACTTTTTCAACTATAATCAAGTCAAAGAAGGAGAGTGGGTATTAAAAAAGATGATTATAATATTTTAGGAAAAATGTGTTACATTTTTATAATTAACTAACTTATCTAACTTTTTTTAATCTAATCAAATTAGTTAAATGGGTTTTATAATAAGAACCGGAGGAATAGTTTTTATCATGATTTTATTTATTTATTTGCCAGCCAAATAATGATATCGTGAGTTTATTTATACTTCATGTACACTTGGTTTTCAAATTTAAAAAAGTTTATAAGAAAAAGAATAAAGTCCCAATTAGCGGGATGGGGCTGGAATGTGATTGTCCAGATCAGATTCCGACTTGTTTGATGAGTACTCCCGACCCCTACTTTCAGTGCAGGTGCTGTTCCTCAAGTTGGCAACAAAAAAAAAAAAAAGGTGCTGTTCCTAAAACTTACTAGAGGCCGAAAGATAAAAATCAGGTCATAATGTCATGCTGCACCATACGATGTGAGTACTAAACAGCCTAGCTCGACCCAAAGGTCAGACTGGGCCCTATTGCCTAAATGGCCCGCCCATACTAAAGACTTCTAAAGCTTATTTTGCACGTTCGAAAAGCCCCAAAAAAACTAAAAAATCTTTTGATTTGATGAGAACGATTTTTTTGCATCAAGTATTTTCCACGCATTTTTGTTCCACGCATTTCTTTTGTTGAGAGCCAATATATAATTGTTCTGAAGATTTCAATCTAGAAGTTTATTTTCACTTGATTTCTCAACATTCTGCAAATAAAATGTACAAATATTAAACAGACTCCTTAAGTTTTCAAAAACATACTTCAAATCATGACTTTTTCAAAAAAAATATGTTCAAGTTCATTTGTATTAATTTTTAATACCCGGCTTAACCGCCCCAAACACCAGGCAGGGGTCGAAGACTTAACCCTAAACCCCCAGCGCTCCACATATGTTGGTTTCTCTATTTGTTCTCTTTTTGGTAAACTTGCTCGAAAAGAAATTACCGCTCCATGTACAAAAATCAGATTCAGATTCCTTGAATACAAGGAACCGAGTTCCGCATTCTACAAATCAGATGCTACATTAGAACCGGAGCTTCTCAATTCAAAATAATACCAGCCGGTTTTTAATATATTGGAGAAAATCCAAAAGAAAGTGGATTGAAATGATAGATTTAAGAGTAAATTTCTTGGTAGTATAATAAAAAGAGACAGGTAATTCGGGACAAACCATAGTAAGAACAATATGTACAGCAATTGTATTCTCATCATTATTCCAAAATATATGATCCTTAAAAGCGTTGTGGAGAATTCAAGTACATAGAACTACCGTCTTGGTTGCCCAGCATCATTGCCGCGTTAAAGTGCTGACGCGTGACATGATAAATCGGCAATCTTGACTCTGACATTTATCCTGCTGCTAGATAGGTTCGTCCAGTTCCAGGGGTTTCCTCCTGTACTGGCGATTCATTTTTTGAGAGCTCTTTTTCGTATCATCTATTGCTTCTGGTTCATCCTCCTCCATGGCACAAACATCATTATTTTCAGTATCACCCGCAGCTATGCTAAGTGGCACGCCTCTTCTATGCGTAAACTCTTTCGCCCCCTCAATGTTTTGCTTTGTCGTGGCATCAGTCTCCACCATCGTGGCATCTCCTGATTTCTTCTTTGATATAAATGTTACTGATGGAAGATCCTCCAATCCATCATCTGCCTGCGATTCAGAGGAGGGCTTTGATCTCTTCAGCTGAGAAAGAAAATCCATATAAGCTTGCTTATTAGAATTGTCGTCCATGTCGCCTGAAGTGTCAAAAGTATAATGCGTGTATCTTGAGGGGTTACGAATGTAATCTGGAACTGCTGATCTGAACTCTTCCGTGCCTGATGACTGTTTAAAAGCTGTGACATTTTGCGCCGAAGAGGTCTTCATACAGATGTCGCTGTCTCCCTCAGATACATCATTACTTCTATCATCATATTGAGAATCAAATCGAACACGTTTTGGGGGTTTCGACTCTGAAGGAAAATCTTTCCTCTTCAAAATTGATTTTGGGTTGGTGCCATCTAGAGATGTGTTTCCCTGTGCATCATCACTCCCAGGCGCAGATTTCTCAGAGACTTGCAATGCATCAATTTTTTCAGCTGCTTCAGCATCCTCCTTCAGCCTAATTTTGGCGGCCAAGTGATTGGCACGTGGGTCTCTCACAAAGTCACGAAATGTAGCAGGAAGCTCATTGCAAGAATTTATTTCTACCCCATCATCATTTATATCCTTCATATATAAGCGGTCACCAGAGTTCTCTTTCCCGACAGCTTGCTTGTCATATTGATCTTCTTCTTCCTGCATTAGTTTACCACTAAGATCATTAGGCTAAACTTCGATTTGAAACTTTGCGATAAATAACAACTGAGCAATCACTATAATTTATTTAAAGAGTTTGGTATGAAAACTGGTCCTAACTTTGAACATCATGCAGCGTAGTTATAGGGGCTCAAGAAGCTCAGTTCCTCTCACACTAAGAGGCACTGGCTTCAATAAGGTGCTTGCCAGACAGTGCCCCGAGTCCTTCCAAGTTCTAACATCAGTCAAGGCACGCAACTAAGGCGCTTTGGTGTAAATTGAAGGTTAAGAGTCGCCATTGAAGCCAAGTCCTAATGTTTCAAAAGAGTCACTGGATGAACTAGAAAGCTATGAAATCCGACCTAGACTTGGATGTCAAAGGATAAGGGAACATAGCGATCCTAGTGACCAAGTGCATTTGATGGTTAGCATGTTAAATTAATTAATTTATCTGAGTAAATTTACATTGATTTATTCATTTCTATATAGCATTCTTTTAGCATTCTCTCCGTTTTAGAGTTTTGCTTCCCTTAGAAGTACGCCTTTTTTTGTGCCTAGTTTATGTCCCTTCCCCCCAAAACCATGTATTGGCGTTCCTCCATAATCACAATGAAAATAACTCAGTATTCTTAAAACTTCATAATGTGCTCTAATGACATCCATGATGATGATGATGATGAACGCATAAGGAGCAAATTACCTCGTAATCCAGAGTACAATCACGGCCAATGGCGGACTTTATTTCCCACTCTTCGTCATCATAATCGTCCGGCTTCGAAGGCCCACGAGACCTCGGTTCGACATCTTCGTCCTCGTCAAGGTCTTCCAGGTCATTCTCCAGCTCATCTCGAAAACTGGAAGGGCGTTTCCCAGCCCCTCTTGCTCGATCATCGAAGAACGACTGGTAGGGTTCCGGCTCGGGCCCGGGCCCGGGCTCGGGGCTGCCCGTGCTTCGATTCCATTCTCTCTTCTGAATCTCACCGTCGGTGAGAGACCACAGAGAGCTCAGAGACGACGCAGCAGTGGACGAAGTCGAATTAGAAGACGAAGCTAGAGAACCAAACACCCTGTCCACTCGCACTCTGAAACTATCTTCCATGACAGCGATGGTGAAGAAAATAGGGTTTCCGGGAATCGAATTTTCGTGAGGGAAGAAATTTCGCGTTTTCACTGCGTTGGAACAAGAGAATTCGATTACTGATGCCCTTATACTTTCTTTGGGCTCGTTTTGAATTTGAATCACCGACATTGTTTTTTGGTAAACTGAATCACCGACTTTGAGCCCCCCATTAGAAGCCATGACGAGTAGCAACGGTGGCCCATCGGCCACAATCAGGCCCAGTTTAGCCCTCAGCCCATTAAAAGAGGAGCTTTTTAGTACCCAAAAAAGTAAAACATCCTTTTACCACCCAATTCTAGTTTTACACACATTTTGTCCAATAAATAACATAATAATTTGAAGAATTAATATACTTTTTAGTCTTTTAAATTTACTTTTATTTTGATTTTGTTTTCTCATTTTAAATCATAGGTTTTGATCCCTCAAATTTCTTATGATTTAAAACATTGATCCCTGTAATATAATAAAAATTTAAATCATTTTGCTCCGTTGAGAGACTAAAATCTATAGCTTGAAATTTGAAAAACCAAAACTAAAATAAGAACTAACTTAAGGGACCAAATATTATATTAATCCTAATTTTAATTCAATGTATATACTCACACTATTTATACAATGGAGCTTAGTCTTATACACTTAATAGACTTTTGTCTGACTAAATTAAATTAAATTATATATTAAAAATAATACTTCATTATGCAATAAATAATATATAACAAATTCCCATATCTTAAAGAATGTGGCAGGGATTAATGTATGCATTTTATTCAATAGAAGGAGGAGGGAAAGGATGAGGTTAAAGTAAGATAGTTTTTTAACAAATTTCCCGATCGCTGTTGTTACAGCCATTTTTTAAAATTTAAAAATTTGAGCTTAAACAGGACACTAAATCATACATGTATGAATATTCAATATATAATTTTGTAGTTTGAAAACTGTTTTAATAGCCTGTTCAATGTTTTTTTATTACTTTGTCACGGACAATTTTGGCGTGACAACATTTACAGTTACAATGTGTGGCACCAAAAAAAAAAAAAACAGTATGCATTATGTCTTAATGCCCAAAGTTGTAGTAACTCTATCCCATCATCCAATAGAATTTAAAATATAAATTAAAATTTATGTAATACCACCTCTTTTCATTAATTTAAGAGTTAATTAGAAGGTTGAATTTAATTTTAAATATAATATTTCAATTTACTTTGTTTTTTAAATTTATAACACTTTTTCTAATTTTAAGAGTTCTTACAAAAAATATAATGCCAATGTATATGATTAAAGAATATAGTTTAAAAAGACAACACATATTTATTATAAATGATTAACTTAATTAATTTTTAACATTTCCGAATTAGGGATCTAGGTCAGAGTTGGTGCTATAAAATAATATTTCTGGTCTTAATATGGGAGTCAGTTGACTAATTTGAGAAAATTAAGGAAGTAAGTTGAGTTAGTTATTTATCCTAAATAGGTGTTGTCTTTTCTAAAATATCTTTATTAATCAAGTGTATTGACTAGAACTATCATTGTTAGAAGGGCTACTTTAAAAAAATATATATAAATATGATAAACAAAGTGTATTGGGATCTTATATTTAGAATCAAAATAAAAATTAAACATGATGATATATTAAGTACTGAAAGTATTGAAAGGCCGTTAGCTCGGATTCGGTAAGTTAGTTAGTATTCAAAGTTACTTGGCATGTTGTTACTTTCTTTTTCCGTTCTAAGACAATCGGTGTTCAAAAAAAAGATTATAAAAAGACAAAAAGAGCTAAATTATCGGTTCAGAACTATGACAAAAATCAAAAACCAAAAACAAAAATTATCAGTTCTGAGCTGCTCAGCCCAAACCAGCATCCAGTAATTAGGGGCATGTTCAGTTGAATGGTTAGTTTGCTGATGGTTAAAAAAAATCGTTAGTTTATTGCTATTAATCACTATCAACGGTCAATGATATCACCTTCAGAGCTGCAAGATCGAACAACTCTTACGGCTTTATTTCTTTCCTTGACTTCGAATCCAAAGTTCCGGAATTTTGACTGTTGAGAGCGTGAAAGATCGCTGATCTTATAAATATCAAAGCTTGAATATTTGGCTGGCAGCTTGGCTCAGTAATGTTGTAATTTCTAGCTCAGTGTTTTGCCGGGGACATTCTGAGTTCCATTGCCAGCAGCCATGGCGATCGCAACGGTGTTATTTGTAGTTCTAGCGGTGGGATTTTTGGGTGCGGAGTCAGAGTATATAGAGTACAATACCACACAAAGGATCGTCCCTGACAAAATCAATGTCCACTTGGTGCCTCACTCTCACGATGATGTCGGCTGGCTCAAAACTGTTGATCAATACTATGTTGGAGCCAACAATTCCATTCGGGTTTGTCCTCTTTCATTTCGATGAGGGAAAAAGGCTAAATATATAGCTGATTGCCGAATAATTTTTGGCATGTTTGAATGCGGTTTCGGTTTGCTGGACAGGGTGCATGTGTGCAGAATGTATTGGATTCCGTTATATCTGCGCTACTGGATGATGAGAATCGCAAGTTCATCTACGTTGAGATGGTAAAACACTTCTGTTACTGGCTTAAATTCTCAACTCAAAATGTTGGAACCTTAGAAAAGTAAAGTTTAACCTTCTCCTTTTCAGGCATTTTTCCAGAGATGGTGGAGACAGCAAAGCAAAGCGATGAAAATTAAGGTGAAGGAGCTTGTCAACTCGGGTCAGCTGGAATTCATGTAATCATCTGAAGCTTTATTTCATCTATCAGTAGCTATTGATTATCTTGTAGATCAAAGATGAGTTCTACTGTCTCTACGTTCTAGAATAGAAACTTGGTTAGATTATACATGAATTGATGACTGACAGTAAGCTCGCCTTCTGAATCTCTTTCTTTTCTTTGGTTGGCTTTTGAAGAAATGGGGGCATGTGTATGCATGATGAGGCCACCCCGCATTATATTGATCTAATTGATCAGACAACTCTGGGGCATCAATTCATCAAAGAGGAATTTGGTAAGATTCCAAGAGTTGGCTGGCAGATTGATCCTTTTGGCCATTCTGCAGTTCAGGCTTATATGCTTGGTGCCGAGGTGTGTCTTTATTAACCTGTAGAAATATATCTGTTCATTTATTTTTAGATAAGATGTTTATGTACTGATTTTCATCTAATGGTATTCAAAATTTCCTAGAATTATAATACTTATTCTGAAATGACTTCCATTTTGCTATGTCTTTGTTTGTATACAATCTCTAAATCCAATGAGATCGTTTGCTGCTGCAGCTAGGATTTGATTCGCTTTTTTTCGCAAGAATTGATTACCAAGATAGAGCCAAACGATTGAAGGAGAAGACTCTTGAGGTTGTTTGGCAGGGTTCCAAATCTCTTAGATCCTCTTCACAAGTGAGTTGTCTAAATCCCTTAAAAATTAGATTTTGTTTCAGTTGCCCGTATTCTTGTCTGCAAATCAATTCACGCAATTACTTTTCTGGCTAACTTCATTGCAGATATTTACTGGGATATTTCCCAGGCACTATGATCCTCCTGATGGTTTCACTTTTGAGATAAATGATGTTTCCTCTCCTATTCAGGTTGGATTTTATTTTATTTTATTAACAGGAAATGTTTAGTACCCTGGTAGCTTTTTCTTTGGCCATTCCCTCAATACCCTGTTCTCACATCTAAAATTCTCTGTCATTTGAATTGAAGGATGACGTTCTCCTGTTTGATTATAATGTTCAAGAACGAGTCAATGACTTTGTATCTGCAGCTTTAGCTCAGGTAAGATCTCGATGACTCTTGAGTTGCCATTTTGCTGGATCAAATGTAAGGTATAAGAAGCCAGATAAATCTTTTGATACGAGAAGCAAGTTGAATTTTAATAAGTTGACCATGTGGTCCAGTGATACAATAGTAACACCATGTCTTGGTGAAACTGGATATCAGCTTTAAGTTCTTAGCTGTGTTTTATTTTGTTAGAGATGGAGTTATCATTGGAATTGCAGTTTAAAAGTAAAAGGTTGCCTGTTTCCAGGCTAATGTTACTAGGACAAATCACATTATGTGGACAATGGGGACTGACTTCCGTTATCAATATGCGAATTCATGGTTCAGACAGATGGACAAGTTTATCCATTATGTAAATCTGGTAATCTCTCTTTACTGCTATTGCGCAAAATGATTCCCTAAAGGACCTTTCTTCCATCTCTGGTGGTACTCGTTGGTTCAGCTTCTTCTTTTAACTTTTCTTTTTCGGGGTATACCCTTAGGATGGACGTGTTAATGCATTATATTCAACACCATCTATCTATACTGATGCAAAATATGCAGCAAATGAGGAATGGCCACTCAAATTTGATGATTTCTTCCCGTGAGTTTCTCTTGGGTATTTCATTGTTAGATATAGACTTCACAGAGCTCACTTTTGAATATGAGGCAAAATTTCAGGTATGCTGATCATCCAAATGCATATTGGACTGGCTACTTTACAAGTAGGCCAGCTTTGAAGGGTTATGTCAGAGTGATGAGTGGTTACTATCAGGTAAAGTCTTAGGCTTCTCCTACCTTCTAGGGTGAGTTGGGTAACATCTATTACTTTGTATTTTGGCTTCTAGGCGGCAAGACAACTCGAATTCTTTAAAGGAAGGAGCAAATCAGGGCCAAATACTGATGCCTTAGCAGATGCTTTGGCAATTGCTCAGCATCATGACGCAGTTAGTGGTACAGAAAGACAGCATGTTGCTGCTGATTATGCAAAGCGAATCTCAATGGGCTATTTGGAGGTTCATTTTTTATTTTATTTTATTTTTGCTTAACCTTTGACAGCGTAAATAATTTAAAATTTTAATTTGCAGGCAGAGAAGTTGGTTTCATCTGCTCTTAGTTTTTTGATAAACCAAGGACAAAGTTTGCATGGAGGGAATCCGGTGACTGACTTGCAGCAGGCAATGCAACATAATCATAGCAGAATTTCTTTTCCGTTTAAATATGATATCTGTTATTGCACCTTTTGTGATTATCTACTAAATTATTTATGGCGGATCTGTTGACAGTGTCCTCTTCTGAATATAAGTTACTGTCCTTCCTCAGAAGTTAATTTGTCTGACAGGAAACACTTGGTAAGTTTTTTATTGTATCATATTTGAGTAATAGCCAACACTTGAAAAAAAAAAAAAATCCCTCTGAGCGATTTATGACTCTTTCTTATGAAAATGTTTCTCTTATCTGAGTTTTCTTGTAGGTGGTTGTTGTGTATAATCCTCTTGCATGGAAGAGGGAGGAAGTAATTCAAATCCCTGTATGTTCTCTTAATGGTTTTTGATTTGTTTAGATACTTCAAACATATTTAGAAACACACGTATTATTTTACTTAATTATAACTATTGAAAAACTTTTTTTTGGCCTTGATAACTATTGAAAAACTTTAAATCTTGATTTGTGTGACTGACTCCGGAAAAAAAAAAAACGTCACAGGTTTCCATAGAAGAAGTTTTTGTCCAGGACTCTGCTGGGAAAGAAGTTGAGTCTCAGCTTCTGCCTTTATCAAATGCCACTATACGGATCAGAAAACATTATGTCAAAGCACATATAGGAAAAGCTCCTTCTTCAGAGCCCAAGTATTTGCTTGCATTTTCAGTGTCTGTGCCACCCCTTGGTTTCAGCATCTACAGAGTCTCGAAGCCTAAACAGACAAGTTATGGATGTTGCTTCCAACCCTAACTCTGTCCCAATCCTTTTTTTTTTTTTTGACCAAGAGTCCCAATCCTTCTTTGACTCATTAATGTTCCACTGGAAAGTTGGACTGGAGGACAATGATGCATCAGCATTATTGACAAGATTTCTTTCACTCATTAATGCAGGACAAAGCTTGACAATCTCCAAGGCATTTGGGTTTACAAATAATAGCATAGAAGTTGGACAGGGGAACCTGAGGCTACTTTATTCTGCAGATGAAGGGAGACTTACTCATTACACTAACAGCAGAAATATGGTAAATTTCAAGGGGCATTAATTATTTTTTGCCTACTTCTAATATTTTCCTGCATGCTTCTAATTCGGTGTTCAAGACTTAAGATTTCTGGCCAAATCATTACAGCCAACACTCTGAGTTTTGCTTGAACAAGTCAGTGATGATATTTTTTTCCCTTCTTATTTTGTTTATGGCTAAAGGTTAGAGCATCAGTTGAACAATCATACAGTTATTATTCTGGAAATGATGGAACAGATAAAGATCCTCAGGTACTAATTTCTATATCATTGAGTTATCACTTGCAATAATCCCCAGTTATTCCTTCGTGCATGGTACAATTTCTTTGGCAATCTCAGCCACATTATTTACTGTCCCCACTCAGGTTTATATTTTATTAAGAAAGAAAAACCTTTCCCTCATCTTGATTCAGGATATACATTGCTCGTCTTGGTCCTACTGGATTGTAGACATGTTTTTATTTTATTTAGTTCAATGTTGTGTACAACGTATACAAGATATTTTTAAGACCCTGCCTTCTTACTTTATTTTAATCTACAACTTCTTCTTTCAGCAATACTTGTGATCCAAAAATATTTGTTAAAATTACCAACTTTTTGATCTTTTGTTGAAGGCTTCTGGGGCGTATGTCTTCCGTCCAAATGGTTCGGTGCCCATAAGGCCTGATCCCCAGGTTATGAACTCTTCTGAAACTTTCACCTTTGGTGCTAATGTTTTGTTTGTGATAGATCCAGAAACAATTAAACATATGTATTTTGCTTGTTTGTGTGTGCTCAGATTCCTATAACTATCCTACGTGGTCCTGTATTGGATGAAATACATCAACAGCTCAACCCATGGATATCTCAGGTATTTTAGTTTTTTCTCATCTATTCAAATTTTCATTCCAAATCCGAACCCCACTGGAAGAGAAAAAAAGAAAGCAAGAAAGAAAGAAAAAGGAAAAAGAACCCCCCCCCAAAAAAAAAAAACAAAAAAGAACAAAATTGTCCAAACTCTTTTTTTTTTTTTGCCCTAATCTTTTGTCTTTTTCTGCAGACTACAAGGATATTCAAGGAAAAGGAGCATGCTGAAGTTGAGTTCACCGTAGGTTACCTCATCTTGCTATTTGATATAGCCAGCTTTTCATTGGCTGTATAGCAGTTCATGGTATGCATCTTAAACTTATTCCTATATGCCTAGGTTGGGCCTATACCTGTGGATGATGGCATTGGGAAAGAAATCATTACTCAAATTACAACTAAAATGAAGACCAACAAGACATTCTATACTGATTCCAATGGACGTGATTTCATTAAAAGGGTATGAGATTTTTGTCTGCTGTCTTTCCATTAAAATACAATTGGTTGTTGATATTGGACTGCATCGTTAACTTTGTCGCTTTTATCTTACAAGCAACAGCTGTGATTGGGAGCTTGAGACTTTTGTTGATGAGAATAGTAAAATTCATTTATGGGGAAAAGCCTAAATTGAACTTGAACATGGATTTATTGATTATAGCCTTTTCTGTATTCTGATATTTTCAATTGTTTTGCAGATTCGAGATTTTAGGACAGACTGGGATCTACAAGTAAATCAACCAATTGCTGGAAATTATTACCCTGTATGCTCTTCAAATAAAATGCTCCCAATTCCTACATCTAGTTTTTGTATATGTTCAATGTTCATCTTGGCAAGCAAACAGGTTTTCTTCTCTCTTCTGTTTTTTTTGGAGGGGGCATTTGAAAGATGGATGTCAAGTCCATTGCGCTCCAAAATGTTTCGCTTTTATGCTGATTCAAGCTTCAATATTTCTGGAATAAAGCAAAATCTGTCAAATAAGTTTGATTCTTGCTGTTTTATATTTTGAACTCTCTGCTCGATACTCCCAGTGGACATTAATGCATGTTATGCTCCCTGCGTTTTTTTAAGGTTAATTTAGGAATATATATGCAAGATAGTGGCATGGAACTCTCAGTGTTGGTGGACCGTTCGGTAGGAGGATCAAGCTTGGTGGATGGTCAAGTAGAGCTGATGCTCCATAGGTTGATTATATTTCTGATATATTCCTACATACTAATTGCTTTTATATTTTATTGTATTATAGTGAATACTGACTGGCATTATGTTGGTCTCTGATTTGCTTTCTTACTTTCTAGGAGGTTACTTCATGATGATTCAAGAGGTGTTGGTGAGGTACTCAATGAAACAATTTGCACTGCTGATCAGTGTGAAGGATTAACTGTTAAGTGCCTTTTAGAACCATTTCATTTATTACTAGCAGACTAGCACTTGCATGATATTGTGTGATATCTTCTCCCATCTTTACGAGGACATTTTCCGTATGTTTAACAGAGGTCTCTTAGTAACATTAACCATTTGTAATTACAAAGTTGGATACACCCTCATGAACGATCTCTTCCAACCAAATGCAATACATCGGTTATATTACAAATGTTGTTGTTATCGCCAACTTAACCCTTTAGTATATGATTGCATTTCAGATCCGAGGAAAGTTGTATCTTAGAATTGACCGCATTGGTGAAGGTGCCAAATGGCGTCGAACTGTAGGCCAGGAAATATATTCACCACTGCTGTTGGCCTTTACAGAACAGGTAAGGAGGAAAAGGAAATGAAGTTTCTTTTTCCCCTTCTGAAGTTACCTATTTTTGGAGTAAAGCAATAAGGAATTTCCTGCAGGATGAGGACAAATGGTTGCACTTCCCCTTGTCAACATTTTCTGGCACGGAGTCCTCATACAATTTACCAAACAACACTGCCCTTTTAACCCTCCAGGTATGCAGGGAAATGCCTTTGAAGTATCTTCAGAGTTCAGGATATCAGACTTCCCGGACATTTTAAAAGGAAAAACAAAAGACAGATCTTTAGGATGCCTTTTAGTACCTTTTCTATATCTTTAATCTTATCATGTATATTTATTCCTTCTTTTTTTTTTTCGGTGACATGTATACTTATTCCTTTATATGAACATTTTGCAGGAACTTAACAATGGAAAAGTGCTCATTAGATTGGCTCATCTTTATGAGGTTGTAATTGCTTACCCTGATTTATCAAATAAAATCTCGATTCAATAAAATCTGTCTAATTTAAGCTGCACAAATAGTCTGGTTTGCATAGTTCATGGTACAGGACTTTGGTCTGGCACTTTCAAACATGATTCATATAAGTGTTGCTGCGGACCTTTGCTGCTTGCATTTAAGCTATACTTTGCAACTTAAACATAAAAGCATAAATAACAGAGCACATTTCGTCCTTTATATATGTCGGCCATAGGAGCAAGTTGTTCATACAATTACAACCGTAGAATAGAAGTTTATACAAGGAGATTTTATAGGCCAGATGCAAATGATTTATGATATTTGCCAAGCATGAGATGCATGCGGAGTTTAATCCATTTTCAGCTACCAAATATTTACTCTTCACTCAGATTTCAATTTTTCTTATATATAGTGATTGTTGTTTGTTGGGTGACTATTGGTGTATAGATTGGAGAGGACAAAGATTATTCAGTAATGGCAAGCGTAGACTTAAAAATGCTGTTCCCTAACAAGAAGGTAAGAGCAGTAACTACTTTAAACTACTTTCCCACGTATACATGGATCTTGTACTTATATCAACTCCTTGACTTTTCAGATAATTAAAGTGACGGAGATGAGTTTGTCTGCTAATCAAGAAAGAGCTGAAATGGAAAAGAAGAGGTTAAAATGGAAGGTTCAAGGCTCTTCTGAAGAACATAAGGTGGAAAGAGGAGGCCCTGTTGATCCTGCCAAGTTGGTGGTTGAACTCGCTCCCATGGAGATTCGGACATTTCTTCTTGACCTTGATCCCCTTCTAGCTGTTGCTGGACGAGGAGATCATGGAGTGATGTGATAGAACAACTCACGTTGCCAGCTGATGTTCCAGTAATAAGTTTGTAAATAGAAGAACAGTTTTTTAGCTTGTGAGTTGCAGTAACTAAGAGATCCAGAAAATGACCGTTCTTCATTTGCTTAGTCAAACTATGAGAGATATCTGTCTAGCCCTGACAAGTATTGTTTTCTGGCCTGGCCAGCTTTTGTAAAATCATGCATCACTCCGCAATATCAACTTTCTTTCTCTCCGCTTATCCTTATGATTATTTTTTGGTAGAAATAAAATACACTCCAGTTGTATTGCTAGTTGACTAATTGACTAGATTAAAAAATTTGTCAACTTAATTATTTGTAATAAATAAATGATGTCTTCCTTAAAATATCTTTGTTAATACGTGTATTAGTTAAAATTGATAAAATCTTTGACATGTACAACTACAAGGACTACTTTGGAAACAATAGATAAATATGAGAGATAAAATGAATTAAGAGTTTATACTTAGAACCAAATTAAAAGTTAAATTAGCTCTTATATTAAGGATCAGAGATAGTACCGTGCGACAGAAAGGAAAGGCCTTCTTTTCCACTCGAAAAAAACAGAGGGCCCTCCGGCAACTAGACTAGAAACCATACTGTTTATGTACAATTAATGTTGAGTTATATAAAATAATTATGTATGGAAAGATACCATGTTAGATAAGATGCTTTCAAGGTGTTTTAGGGGAAAAAAAAAACTACCTCTGTCCTAATTATAAGACCTAGTTGACTAATCTGAGGAAATTAAGGAATAAGTTAAGTTAGTTATTTATAATAAATAAGTGTTGTCATTTCTAAAATATCCTTACTAATTAAGTGTATTGGCTAGAATTATCATTATTAGAAGACTGTCTTGGAAAAAAATATATAAATATGAGAGACAAAATAGATTGGGGTCTTATAATTAGGACCAAAATAAAAGTCAAACGGGCTCTTATATTAAGGACCGGAGGTAGTATATCAGACTTCTTCGATTCTAAATATAAGATTTATTTTGTAGTGCAAATTGAGTTTATATTAAAGCTAGAGAAGTATTAACTAATTTAACTAATATTCTTAATATACTCAAATTAGTTAATTAATAGGTTCTACCTTAAGGACTAAAGGAGTATATAAATTGTGTTTATGGGTTATATTTTATTTGTGTGTTTCTTCAATGCATTCAGTCTCTCTTTATTTCGATTAAGAACTAAAGATTTGAATATCCCATTATGAATTTGACGTCAGACATGCCACATATTGTTAATGGTGTGGAGAATTTATGGGCGACATTTTTAAATTTTTTATTTAGATCATGAATGAAGATGACATGTGGATATAAATGAGGCGTGCTAGATCTTATTCACTCACGACAAAAAGAAAATTAGCCACCATTGATGATTTAAATTCTTAAATTTTCGTTGTATTTTATAAATTCTGTAAACTAGATATAAGCCTTGCCTGGGTTGCTGAGAATTATCCTTTCTTTGCTTTGACCCTCAGTCCCAGGTGTGGTTTAATCGTAATTTCAAGCAGCATTCGGTGAAGATGCGGCGGGCTCCCCGGGGTATGTGAGTGACGGACGATATAAAAGAGACGCCGAACAAGAATTGCTGGTAAAGTGGCTTTGGCTGTTACCACAGACGAACCTCCCCTTCCCCTCCAAATTTTTCATGTCCATCTTGCCCTCACAAGCTCAGGAATCACCCTCGTCGCGTTCTCAATCTCCGATATCTCCAAACCCTAATCCCCAATATGGAAACCTCTCTCTACCCTGTCATTCTCCCCCATCCATCTCCTCTCCTATCGGTCAAGTTCCATCCGTCGGATCTCGCCGGATCTCCGATTCAACAACTCCCGTCGCTATACCCGACGTTGATTCAGGTCATAGATTCATCTTTGCTGGTTTTCTGTTTGTCATTTCGGAAGCTGTCTATAAGCAATTTACGTTGTACGTGGGTGTTAATTTCATCTACCTTGTATATTGATTACCGTAATTTGTCATGTGAAAGGGCTTGATACGCTTGCTTGCTATATGACATTTAACATTTTTCGTTAATTTAGTTTCCCCGTTTGGTCCTTGAAAGTGCTGAGGGGAGGAAGAAGACGTGGCCTATTAAAAAAAAAAAAGATTGCATTCTTGTGCGTGTATCGATGCGGTTATCTTTGTCCGACAAATTCAACTTCCTTTTTCTCTGGTTACCCAAATTTCCCACTGATAGTGCTCGGGGGGCAAGTTAATTTTTTTCCCGTAAAATTGTAGTCCATCTAGTTTAGTTGCTCAGGGTTGGTGAACAAACGATTACGGTGTCGCGTAGCTATGTGGCTGAGGTTTTCTCCTCACAATATAAGTGTCCTAATGCCTCTCTTTCTTTGGCGGGCTTGCTACCCCTGTTATTGGCTTTGACCAACTAACTTATGCATTGGTCGTTTTATATGGCAGGTCCATCGACTCCAGCTACAGAAGATTCTGGTGGACCTTCCGAAAAGGTATTTTGATTTTCATTGTGGAGGGATGGGGCTCTTTTGTATTTGCCATAATATCTATGTTAGTTGAATGAGGATGCTGATATCTATCGCTTGACTGGTTGAAGCATATGTGGTCATAAAAGTGTAGAATTATATGTTAGGGGCTATGTGTTTATTTGTAAGAAATATGTTTGCCGCTATTAATTCTTTCTCTCTATTTAGTAGGTGACTGAGTTGGGATCTCCAAGTGGTATGAAGAGTTCACCTCACCAAAACTCCAGAGTACATTCCCAAAGCCAGTCAAGAAGGCGGGCCCCTAGATTATCTCAGTCAGCAGGGAAGATGACAGGAACAGTTTCTTCTCCTGGAGATCTGCAAAATACTAGGTCTTTTAATCCACATGGAAGCACCCCCTCAGCAGGAAGAAAACCTCAGATGGTTAATGGTAATCACTTGCTGAACTTTCATTATGATCCCATATCTCGTCCTCAAGCAAGGGGTCCTCCTCCTCCACCACCAAGAAGGCAGCAGAAGAAAAAGCCATACAACAAAGATTTATTTTTACAGGCAAATTACAAATTCGTGGTGTTAGATTCCGGTGACTATTCACCGGAGTCTTTAGACCCAGATAAAATGTTACAGTGGGAAGATATTGTATGTGTGAGGTATTCCACTCCATTCTTGGTTCAGTGTCCAATTTGTTTGGAGTATCCTCTTTGTCCGCAAATAACCTCCTGTGGGCATATTTTTTGTTTCCCTTGTATCTTACAATATTTGATGATGGGTGAAGAGGATCACAAGGGTGATTGCTGGAAAAGGTGTCCCTTATGTTTTGTCATGATATCTGCAAAGGATTTATATACCATCTACATTGAAAATGTTAAGCAGTATCAAGTGGGAGATATCGTCGAGTTCAGACTTTTAACTCGAAAAAAGGACTCTTTTACCCTGTCTGATAAAAATAAGGAGACAGAAGTCTCATCACGTGGCGATAATAATTTGTGTGACCCATTTTCCAAGTTCACACTCACATCAGATGTAGATCTCTCAGTGAGACAGGCAATATCGGATCTAGACGGTTGGCTGGCCAAAGCTGATTCTGGTCTTGTTGATGACTTGGAGAAACTTCCATATGTTTGTGCTGCAATGCAACAATTAGAACAGAGGAAGAAGTATTGGAATGAGCACAGGGCCTGTGATGTTGGCAAATCGTCTAGGCTTATTGATTGTGGACACCATAAACCATCAACAGTTATGAACAGCACTGATGTTGATAATGAAACCCGGTCTTATGGATCTGGATCTACCTCTACAGATTTCCATGACCAAAGCAAAGGTATAATAATGGATAATTCAAATGCAAGAGCCTGTCCAGCTCAAACTTTGGATGTGGAGAGAAAAGTATTAGATCAAGAAATTAATCTATCTTCTTCCTATGAGGGGAAAAATGAAATTCAAAGGCATCCAAATGGTTCTGGAGATTCAAAGGAGAGTGACTCGTACAATTTTTACCAGGTCAACAATGATTAACATTTTTATTTATTCACTTGATTTCAATATTGGCATTTGGCTTAAAAGTGCATTATTTAACTGATTTTTCAAATGTTACCAACTGGTTATGAGGACAAAGAGTTTCATGAACGCCAGATATTGCCTTATAGAGTGAATAATTTAAATGTCAAATGCTTTTTTGAGCTCACATCCAGAGAGAAGTGATGTTTTCGTTGTTTGCGAAATTTTTGGTTTGATTGTGGTATTTTGCTTCGTATATCAAGGTCTGAGATAGACAAGAGTGCATCCAATTCTAGAGTTGCTATTTTAGTTTTGTTTTAACTCTCCTGGAAAGCTTTATACATAAAAGTTTAATTTCCTTTCCATTATAACAATGATATTTGTTTGTTTCATTAATATGCTCATTCAGCCATTACATTTCAGGTTGCGGATGGTCAGCATCTCATTCTGCATCCCCTGAACATGAAATGTCTACTTCACCATTATGGAAGCTATGATATGCTTCCACACAGGTTTGGACAATGTTAATAATTAATTCATATTCCTCCCATGTGCTTAAAGTTGTATGAGATGTAAGATTTATAGGTATCAAAATTATTGCAAAAGAAAACGTGTCTACTGATGTGATGTTTAGGACAAAATAAAATTGCCCAACTTGAATTTTTACTGTCTATGAATTGTTGAATGTGACATTTGGCTTAAACACATGTAGGAACACCTTTGGCTGTTTAGTTACATTAGCTAGATATTACTCGGTACCATTTTCATATAGATGAAACTGTATTGAACTTCAAAGCTTGGTTGTATTGATGGGAATACTTACTTTTGGACCTGTGTTTTATTTTTAGACTTTTCCTGTGTTGTGGTTTCTGTATCACTGCTTCTTTGGCATTTCCCCTTGAGTCCTTCACTTAGTACTATGTCTCAAGTGCTCGTTATCATATACTGGGGGGACAAAGCCGTGCTAAGAACTAAAATTCTATTTGCTGGGCTGGCAGGTGATAGGTTTGAAATTATTATCTGAAGAAATATATAAAATTTGTTTAGTTGCTCATCCAAAGGATTATCAGATTCGATGATTTTTAACCACATATAATAAATTGTTAACCATTTTAAAATTTATTGCAGAATAAGTGGAAGGATTTTGCAATTGGAAACAGTCACTCAGTCAGAGGCAATGAGGAGGCGGTACCGATATTTGAGTCATTTTCCTTTAACAGCAACATTTCAGGTGCTTTAAAACACGAAGTTCTCCCCCTTTCCCTTTTCAATTAAAAAGAGTTTTTTTTTTTTTTTTTTTTATGATGCTGTGAATTCTAATTAGTGGTTGCCTGAATTTTTTAGCTTTGTGAAATTGATTTGAGTGAGATGCTGCCCTCTGAATCCCTGGCCCCATTCATGGATGAATTGAAGAAGCGTGCAAACCACAGGAAGCAACTGACAAAGAAGGTGTCCTTGAGCTCTAATGTATTGTAGATTATGTTAATATGTGATATTCAATATAGTAGTTGGTTTGTTAATATGTTATGGGAAAATGGATTACTAATGATTGATTGGTGTTTTTAATGCATATATGAAAATATATGTACTAACCTTAGTGTGTTTTTGCTGAAATAGAATTTTTTTTCCTATTATAAATGAATTCTTATATGGAAGTTGTTTGATTTTGTTATTTCGAGAACTTGTTAATGGAAAAATCGAGTTGAATGTGGTGTCTGAAGATATGTAACTATGCCTGTTGTGCGAGTAGGAGAATTTTGGGCATTAAAGAATCCTGTTTAGGCTTAGTCCTGGACGAGTTTTCTTCTCGTACCTGCTCAAGTTTTAAGTCGGGGTTATTTAACCCAGAGCCTGAATCATGTTTAGGATCACAAACTTGGGGCCTGCCCAGGTTTTATAATAGAACTCTAGTCCCTCCCTAAAGCTCTTCAGTGTTTCTGTACTGGTTGTCTGCATGGCCCTAGGGCAGGTTTCCTCGTGAATGTTCTGCATTATTATCATGTCATATGTGTATTTCAATTGTCTTTTTTTGGGTGTCCAAAGCTTTAACATGTATGTTCCCATCTCCCGAGAATCATACTATTCATTTTTTTAGGAGCGAAGAGAGAAAATCAAGGCTGAAGCTTCTTCTACGCATTCTATTCCCATACCAACCGGTTCTCGTGATAATTCTCCACCATTCTCCATGGATGATTTTGAAGGTAATCCTGCTTTCTTGGAGTTGGTTAAGAGTAGCTTTAGAGTGAATGGACTCAAGATCGCATTTGTGGTAACTATTCTTTTGGCTTTTGGTTATGATAAAAATGAGTGATCTTTGTGCACTGTAGTTTTTGAGATTGAGCATGGGTATGAATCCAGTCTTGTTAGTTATTGGGCCCTGAGGTTAGTTTCTGTATTTCTTCCCTTGTTCAGCTTTGGGAAATTCGGATGTAACATCAAGTCCTCCTGTTGTTGGGGGAAGAAGTTTGTTTTCAAATGTCACAAGACTTGGTTTTGCTGCTGGTCATGATTCTCCATCCTTGAACGTTCAAGAAACTGTTGGTCTACATAATCATAATGTTACAACTGAATCTTCTGGCTTGACAGGTATTGTCTTGATGATAGTTTGTTGTCTATTACTAAAAATCAACCTGCTTTAATGTCTAAATGTGTTTTGTTCCTCTTTTTTGTACTGTTAATGTTCCTGCAGGTCTGAGAAATGTGGAGACATCATCGTTTGCCAATGTTATATCTAGAGCAGAGTCTACTAATAGCTTAAATGCACCCAAGACAAGTGACTTAGGTAAGAAGGGGAAGAAACCAACTAGAGTTCTTATGTCAACAGCTGGGGGCAGGCGCTACTGACCATCATATCAATGACTTTATGCTGGGAGTTTTGAATATCTCTTGTCATTTTGCTAGCCCGCTAGGTTTGTCGCCCTGGAGGAGTTTTTCGCATTGGGAGTATTACTTATCAACCTTTCCAGTGTATGGAGAGCTCGTATTTTGTGTTAAAGGCTGACTTGTAGATACCTTAGACTGTTGCAAACAGGAATATATGTTTTCACCAATATACAAGACGTGGCTGTTTAAGTTCAGTTGAATGGGTTGTCGTGTTCCCAAAATTGTGCCTCCGGAAAGTCTCTTAATGCTGTTTTTAGTGCAGAGCGTTGATATATGGTTGAGAACGGCACGTGGGGAGTCCAAAATGTTGGAAACGCTCTGGGGGTGTGTGCGAGTTTTCAGGCAGCGTGAATCCAGCCATGTTTTGTTGCTGGGGATTTATGTGGGGGAAAAGTGTTGGCGGCCTGGATCGGCAAGTAATCTGTTAATTTCTGGGTTGGAGTAGGGGATTGCAGTGACACTAACATTCACTTGAAAAATTAATAGCGACCTCAATTGGTAAATTTTTATTCGTATCCTCCTCCTGGAATTCCCAAATGCTGACCGATGTACTCTCAGTAAAACTAAGATCCCATTTTGTAGTGATGGGTCTTGCATTTATGATCAGAGTATTTTTTGTTACAAGTGAAAAAGGTTTTTAAACGTATGATTATATCAGAACCTGAATAATAAAATCGTTCTGAAAAACACGTAAAGAAGCTGGTAATTGTACATTGATTTGCAGAAGCTTTGTTTTAATAGAATGAAGAGAAATATACTACCGTTTAATAAAAAACTAATTTTATGAAATGAAAAAGTTTATACAACTAAAATTAGTGCTAGTAGAGTCAAGGGAATGTCATGTTAATAAACATCAGTTTGTGAAACTGGCTGACATAATGTCGAAAGCAGTCTCTTGACAACATAGGAATGTGCTAAAATAATTGTCGCTTGTGGCAGCTTTATTCACCGTTCTCATCTAAATTTTAAGCGTTCTTGTTGGTATTTATCAAGCAAGCTCGTCTCCTACTATTACATTAAGTAGATTGAAAGTGTAAGGGAATGATCAAATCATCGATAGAATATTGTGAGAGCAAGCAGAATTCAAAGAATCTAAGGAGTCTGGTCCTAGGTGCCAAAATGGCGCAGGGACGCCATTGTCCTTTGTTGCCTGAACGCAAGAAGCTACAATCCGATGAGAGAATGAGAGAAATTCAGCTCTGGGAATCCACTCATTCCCATTATAATGTTTACTTTGAAACAGAGTCATAAAGCCTGGCACCTCAACTAAGCTGGCCACACCGATCTCAGAACCATCAGCCAAATCCGCAATGATCTCAACAATCTGATATTGACAACAAGCGAGGTCTGATTGATCTCATTTGTCATTCCAATTCTTGTACCTTGCCCAAACCTCACCTTTCTGTGGGTATATCAAGAAGGAGGAATCTTCTCGGTTTCGCTCACACTTCATTACATGAGAAAAGTGATATAACCCCAGCATTCTAATGGTCTTACCTGCACCGAATGAACCACAGCCAATTGGCAGACCTTGCTCTATCCAGCGTTTCTCATCAGTATAGGTGAGATTAGGCTCCAAGAATGTCACACAGATATTATCTTCTGAAGCTACATTACTCACTATAACATATCTCCGGGGAATAGCTTCTAGATCATCGCGCACAGCCCATATTTGATTGCAAGCAAAATCTTCCAAGGACAACTTATTTTCAAGGTCAACTGATTTAGATTCTGAATCTGATAGTGCCTTGCGTGTTTTTGACTTAGGGCTGTCTAGACGAGAGGGAACTGCATATGGATCAAGCTCAAACATGCCATCCATATCTTCCCCAACAAATCTATGTGCCGGAATCCTGTGAGAAAACTTAAAGAGATCATCTGAAGGAATTGATAAAAACAGCTCTTGGCAATTCTCTTTCTGTCTTCTAAAGACATTTTTTTGTCCATCTACTCCGACCAATCTTGCAGCAAGCATGTTTCCTGACTCGGTATATCCTCTAACGATTTCAACCACTTCTAACTTGGAGCTTTTCCGAGCTTCGTCATTTGAACGCCTTATCATATGATCTAACTCTCTGTACATTGCCCAAACCTCTTGTTCTTTTGGGAAGATTAGGACTTGCTCATCAGCATAACTACAAACAACGTGCGAAAGAATTGCTGGTACAATTGTTTGATCCTTACTTTTATCTACACTGAATTGCCCGCAAACAATAGGCAAACCCATCTCACTTCTGAACAACTCGTATGAAGAAAGTTGAGCAGCTCTTAAACACTTAACATGTAATCTTAGCGGGCTCTTCTCGATCTCTTCAATCCGGAAATAGTTTCTTGGCATGCATTCATGATCATAAGCAGCCCAAACTTGGCCAACTTTAAAAAGTTCAGAACTTCCAATGGTATTAAAAGGCCTTGTTGCTGCAAAATTGACACGTGCTTTCTCATTCCTGAACGTGCTCAAACAAGAATTTTTGTAACTCCACATGTTGTCCCTTCCACTCCTGGCTTTGTAGGTGGCCATTTCTGACTTTGTAGGAGTTGAAAGTATTTCGTGGTTTAGATCAATATGTCCGGCCAAAGTAGAATGATGTATTTTCTGGACATTCAGGACTTCACAAGCTTCGAACATGGCGTTCCTCTTCTTGTCAAACTCTGTGCGCTTTTCTGGGTTTGAAAGTACAGAATATGCTTCCTCAACGATTTCCAGAGCAGATTCAGCTGCAGGGATGTGGGTCTTAATGGGTTTTAAAAGGTTTGAAATTTTATGATATTGGAATTCCACATCTTGTTCCGAAGCTGCTTGCGGGACTTGAAGAATCAAGTACCAGTCACTTTCGCTGTGTATGAAATCATAACTTGCTGAGTTTAAAACGTCACAAACAGTGATCATACTTGAGAATTCATCAGTGGCTGGAAACTGTCGTTGTAGTTTTAGTAATTTATCTCTAGCAGCAGTGTGATCATCCCTCGCTATCATTTCTTTAACTGCTTCCATTTCTCGACATTCCTTTGGCGTCACGCCATCCATCTTTCCTGAAGACTAATGGATTTCCCGTCAAATTCAGTTTTGTGCAGTAAATTTGACTTGAAAAAGAAATACAAAAGGAAAAAAGAAAGAAATGGTGGAGGACTTCGTTGAGTGGATGCAGAGTTTGTCAAATCCAAAGAAGAAAGGTAGATATCGATATAACGCTTAGTTATTGAATGGAAATTGCGGGGCAATGGAATTTACTTAAACACTCAATTTTAATGCCATTCTTCATATAGGAGTTTCTGCCAGTGATGGTAGAAAAGTAGTTCCAACAGAATGGATTGTACAGAGGATAGAGAAGGGGTGAGGGGGAGAGAGGAATTTCAATTCACACAGTGGCCTCAGCTCACAACTTGTGCGTGTCTGGACTTGTCACCCGCCAGGGCATAATGACTCGTTTGGGCAAATCTGTACATTTCTCTTGTCTACTGAGGCAGCTGGGTAAGGAAATGATATTTAAGGAATCTTGATTACAGTTAAAAACATTTTAAAGTCTTGGTCGGAATCAACATTTTTATGAATGAATTTTTTTAATACTCATCTTCCACATTTTCAAAATTCATTTTTATTATTTTTCAATACTCAAATTTTTAACAATTATTTCAACATTCATCTCATGTATTTTAACACTTATCTCTAATTTTTTCAATACTTAAAAAATGACAAATGAGTATTGAAAATATATAAAATGAATACTAAAAAAATTGAAAAATTGAGTGCTGAAGATATTAAACATGAATGTTGAAAATATTAAAAAAAAATGATTACCTATAGAATTCACTCTCAATCAAGTAAATTTTAATTATGTCAAAAAATCAAGTAAATTTTAATTTCAACAAAAACACTAAAAAAAAACATGATGCTTAATTGCAATTAATATCGTTAGAAGATCTTAAATATTATATTAATCACATGTTACTTGGCTTGCAATCGCAAGTATTAGCCTCTTGGGTGATTAAAATACCTGATTGGTAATTCCATTTTTTTGGTGGGAGACTATCTAAAACTCTAATGGCATGTTAGACAGCCTGGAATGGTGTGAATCGTTGAGTTGGGATCAACATAAGCCGAAGTCGGTGTCAGCGTTAGCGACGGTATTACCAGGCGAATGTGGAGACGGTGTCGTTTTGCAGATCGTGGTCGTCGTCGAGGTGTCTCTTGGGAATGAACATGATGAGGGGTACAAGCAAGATCTTCATGGCCTGCTAATCATCACTTCTTCATTGTCGGACACACTTACTCGGTCTTCTCCGCTATATTCCAACTTCCCCGATGAGACAGCACAAATTGCCGTCTTTCGGCAATAACAGGCGACCCACGATTCTGTATTTGGTGTGTGCTGTTGCATTCTTCTCGCTTCTAGTTTTCGCCATCCAATCCTCTTTCTTCGCAGGTAAATGACAAACGAGTGGTGATTCCAACTCTAAGCTGGCTAGTTACTGGTGCGTCCCGTTAATTATGTTTTCTTGTCTCTCCGTATCCATTATGCATATTCAGGGTCTCTGAGCACAGATCGAAACTCAGCAACAATTCGCATATTGTCTGATTTTCAGTCCAGTGTTCAGCAGTGTGTGGTAAGCACGGACTTAAGCTCACAGTTTTCTTGAAAATTTGCATCTTTTTCCTCCCTGAAATTTGCTGCTTTTAACTACTTTCGCTTTCCTTGAGTAAGTCCTTATTATCTCTAATTTGCATCCCCTGTCGAATGGTTTTACGTTGGATCTGAATTTTAGTAGTGTTACATTTTCCACTTCCTCAAATGCATTCCTTTCAGCTGAGAATAATGTCGATAAATTACTTCGTGTTGATGATTTAAAACTTGGTATTGAAAAAAGGCAAACAGGGGGCTTGGGCTCACTGCGCATATTATCGACCACTGCAAGTTGATCCTTAAGTTTCCTGAAGGCACCAACAGCACCTGGGTTTGTTTGTGTCTTTCTTGACTCCATTTCTGATTCATTATTTTCAATAATAGTCGAGTGCTTATTATCTATATTGCATTAATTGCAGTACAATGAGCAATTTAAAATATTTGAGCCTTTGGAGTACAAGTATGATGTGTGTGATGCAATTCTGTTGTGGGAGCAGGTGAAGTGTTATCCTTTCCCCCTTGTTTAAATTGTATGTTCGGGGTGCTTGCTACTGTACTGATATCTCAAGATATTGCAGTACCGTAACATGACTACAGTTTTGACCCGAGAATATCTAGATGCTCGCCCGGATGGATGGTTAGAATATGCAGCAAAAAGGATAGCACAGTTGTAAGACTATGTAGACATTATTTCTCCTGTTAATTCCTGTCATTTCTCATATAGTTGTGCTTAAATTGGTTGGTTTGAATTTGATTATCTCATTAGGAAGTGCTTATGACCATCTTTTTTCCTTCTATTTTTTTAGGGGGACTGATAAGTGCTATAATAAGACTCTTTGTGAAGAACACCTCAATGTATTACTACCAGCAAAACCCCCCTTCCATCCACGGCAGTTCCGCACTTGTGCTGTTGTTGGAAATTCTGGAGATCTTCTAAAGACGGAATTTGGAAAAGAAATTGATAGTCACGATGCAGTTTTTCGAGACAACGAGGCTCCAGTTAATGAGGTAAACCATTCCGTTTTCCAACAAGGATTTCCATATAATAAATGCTTTTCTTTAATAACATATGCATTTAAGAAGAGATCTTCTTTGATAAAGCAATAGATTCCCTTCGTAATAATTTTTTTCGGCTATTTAAAGTTGAGCTCTTGAAGGGGAGCCTTGGAGCAACTGGTTAAGTTGCCTTCATGTGACCAGGTTTGAGCCGTGGAATTAGCCTCTTGGAAATAATGGCCCTTCCCTGGACCCTGCGTGAGCGCAGCATGCCTTGTACATCAGGCTGCCCTTTGATTCAAAGTTGAGCTTTTGATTGTCCTGACACAGATGAAACTGAGCTCCTCTTAGTTCTAGGCATTGTTTTCTCTGCAACTTTAAGATACCATTTTTTTAGGATTAAGTGGAATTTATTCTACTTTCCATTGTTGAGGATTTACTTATTCAGAACATATTTGTCAAGTGCTTATAACTCTTTATGAACTGTGTAGAAATATGCCAAGCATGTTGGTCTTAAGAGGGATTTTCGTCTGGTTGTAAGGGGTGCTGCTCGTAATATGGTCCCTATTCTCAATGGATCTGGTAAGTTATTATTCATTATTCAAAAAAGCCTTAAATGCTGATTGAAGACTCGAAATTGAAAGTTTTGCCTACATTAGCTCCTAAAATACAAGTGCAATGCACCTTGGTAATATAGATATGGGCATATGGATGGACTCCAAGAAGAAGAGAAACTTTCAATGCCTAAGCAGTTAGTTTATATATCCTGTATTTAACAGTATTAACTACTCGAGACCTAGAAAATCCTGAGGGGGCAGGGGACTAGGATACTATTGCTTTGATGCATTTCAATGCTTCATCAGATGTTAATTCTGCTTTATATTATATAAATTTTTCATGGCATATAACAATTTGATTTTTTCCCAGATGATGAGGTACTCATAATCAAAAGTGTAACACATAGAGAAATCAATGCAATAATAAAGGTGAAAACATGTTCTTAAAAGCCGTTTCTCTGTTTTTTTTTTTTTTTTTTTTTTTTGGCATGTAAATTTCATTACAGCCAAGAGCTATATGTTTGCTAGAATAAACTTATACTAGCTGCTTCTCATGACAGACTGTTCCAAACCCAGTCTATCTCTTCCAAGGTATAGTTCTACGTCGAGGTGCCAAAGGAACTGGAATGAAATCTGTAGAGTTAGCACTCTCCATGTGCGATATCGTTGACATATATGGTTTCACTGTTGATCCAGGATACACTGAGTGGTTAGTTTCTGCCTTAGAATTCTGGATTTTAGATAGAGTCGAGATATCAAAAAGAATGTAGTGAAAGAGTGGAGGATAAGCTATCTTAAACTTTGTCATTGTCTTCCTCTCTGACTAAATAGATTCCTCCACTGATTCATCTCATCTTGTTCAGCTTCTTATTTGCATGTGAGACTGTTGTGCTAATTACTTTTTCTTATCTTTTGCCTCCGCTACTTTTGTTGCAGGACAAGATACTTCTCTACTCCTAGGAAGGGACACAATCCACTTCAAGGAAGGGCTTACTACCAGCTTCTGGAATGCCTTGGGGTATTTAAATTAATTACAAATATGAATAAATACCTTTTATGTTTTTTGTTAATCTCTTCTCTGACATTGGGTCTTGTTGTCAGGTAATCAGGATCCATTCCCCCATGCGATCTGAGAGGGTGCAAGACTGGTCAGATGTTCCAAGTCGAGAAATGATAAGCCAGGCTCATGCAGCAGCTATGCGCATGAAGAGGAGCCAAACTGATCGGGCTGATGATTTGGGGCAGTTTGGCAGTTGTAAGGTATGGGGCAATGTGGACCCAGACAAAGTCGGGCCAATCTCAGGAACTCCAGACATGAGTGATAAAAGAAAGCATTCAAATTATAGTAAATGGGAAGTCATGCCTTTTGAGAGTCTGCGAAAAGAGGCTCAGGATCACTATCATCAGATGCAAGGGGTGTCTCTATATAAAATGGATGGCAATAAGTTGGAAGATCTGGTGTGTGTTAGACATTCCTTGAAATCTGAGGCGTGAAGGGTTGTTCTCCATTCTGTCTACTCCTATTCTCCGATCATGGGCCCAACTATCTCTAAAATGAAATGGGCTTTTCAGGGTTAACTTGTAATATGTGCTATAGGTCATCAACGGTTTCTCGTTCCAACAAATGCTGTGGTAATGGCAGCATGGCAAGAATCTCAACCCTGGGGCTAGTCAGTATGCATTAGTTCATTGATCTGGATGATTTATTCTTTGGTGATTCCACGATAGTGAAGTAGCAATCACAATATAGAAATTCTGATTCTCGAGGTTTTTTTTTTTCGCCCCTCCTTTTTCTGGTTTTAACTCTGAAACAGACACTGCTTGGTTGATTTTTGATATCATTACAATAGAATACCCTTCATCATTATGTCTGGACGTACTGATAAGTTTGTTACAGTGACCTGCATTAATATTTTTGTTCTTCGAACATGCATTAGTACTTACTTTAAGCTCAAAAAAGGGCTACTGAAAGTCCCCTACATGATTTGCGAGTTACTGTCTCTTGTAGTTCTCTGCTGAATCAAACGATGGATGAGACTGTTGACAATAAAACTTCCGTAGTTTGTAAATCATGATAGATTCTCGGTCTCTAAGCCTTCTGGGAGTAATAACAATTCAGAGGACTTTCCACAAATCACAGTCGTGCATAATTTTAAATTGGTTATCCCAGTCCCGACGATGCGCAAACGAGTATCATGCGAGCAGGGAGTAAGATAATCCCACAGCTTCCAGTTGGCTAAACAAAAGGCTCCCCCGTGGCCATGCATGACAGATAAATCAATTTGGATATTTTACGGTAATTGATATTCATAATTCTTTTTTGTTTTGGCCTATCAAGATATCAAATCCAGGTTTGATATTTATTGCATTCGTTAAAATCAAATATCATCACCGCAAAACATGATAATTCTCCGTTTAATTGACAAATCAAACGGAAAAGTCCAAGAGTTTCATAAATATCTCATGATTGATGCAACCCGCGGAAGCATGACCATCACAAAGAGATAAAGTAACCTTATCCGGAGCCATAAATATCTCATTCCACTGCGGAAAAAACCCTGCACTATAAATCGGAAGCTCCATTTCTCCAAAGATATATCATATAACCCCGAAAAGATCTGTAAAACTCATCGAAATAAAAAATGCAGACTGCTCTAACCTTTGCCCCAAGCCTTGTTCCTTTGACGCCTTCAAGGAACATCTCGCAGGTAGCCAGCTTTCCTCCCAAAGTAACTGCCTCCCTTAATTCCAAACGTGGCTCTCCGATCAAAGTTGCGACCGTTTCATATGACACTTCCACTGTTGATTACAGCTCTCAGACATCGTAAGCCTTCTCTTTATCTTTCATTCTACTGAAGTGTATCCTTCTCCCTTAGAGTTGTTTTAACGTGAAAGATTATTTCTTTTTTCTTCTTTTTTTTTTCCTGGGGGGTTCTTCAGAGTGTTTCCTGCTGAAGCGTGTGAAACCATTGGAGGGGAAGCATGTTCGGCAGACATGTACCCTGAGGTGAAGCTGGAGCCCCAACCCAGCAATGACACTCCACGAACAGAGAACGTCGAAAGAGAGTATCTTGAGTATAGTGAAGCGAAGACGTAAGACTTGATTCGATTAGATTATATAATTAGTACCTGGCTAGTGGATGAATACAATGTAGGTGTTATAATCTAATTAATATCGATATGTTTTGCAGGGTTTTCCGAGGAGAAGCTTGTGATGATCTTGGAGGAATTTTCTGCGAGCGTGAGTATCAGAGGGGGGTCTACTAGGGAATAAAAATGCATCCTATTAACCCGAATCCAGCTAGATCTCAACCGGATGTAATGGTTATGTTTGTATATAGTATAGACCTCTTCTTAAACTATGTCCCATTTTCTTTATAATGAAATAGTACGCTTAAATTTGTAAGCTCTTGTTTTACTTCCCGCTATGATGGTCTAGTTTACTTGCAACAAGGGCAAAAGATAATGATGGGCAAAGAAAACAGAAAATGGCAAGAGAGGAAGGGAGCACGCGCACGCTGTGACTAATTAGAATGTGATCATCCCAAATATGGGTTTCATTTTGATTGGCTTTAAAGGACAAGCAATAAAAGATGGTCTGAGTGTTGGCCCCAAAAAAAAAAAAAAAAAAGATGGTCTGAGTACATCTGGAAACAGAGAAACAGCTTATTTCCCACCATCAAAACCTAATCTTGATTATTGAACCCTTGAATATTCACAAAAGCAAGTCATCTAACAACAGATTTCTTACGCTATTAAGATATCAAACTCCTGAACATCTATCTATAGAATTAATACTCAAACCATACCGGTGCTTCTGTTCTTACGTCGACAACAGTTGGTCAGAACAAGTTGCTTACCTTTCTTTATCAAAAAGTTGGAACATCAGAGCATCGTATTCATGCTTATAGACGTCGCCTTTGAAACACTGCTATACAAGTTCCTAACAACTCACAACGCATAAAAGGGAGAATCGATCTCTCCCACCCCAAAAAAAAAAAACCCCAACCCCACCCCAAAAAAAAATCCTCTGACTACATCACATTATTAGCATCAACGATCACCGAAGTAAATACTTATGCCAGGCAATTAATCAATCTCAAGGCGGCTAATTTACTTTTCCAGATATCAGAGAATCGGCCATTGCCTCTGCACTAGTTGGAGCACTCCAATCACATTCAAGTGGATTCCATCATTTGAAAAATGGAATTTGCTTGTGGCTAAGCCTGCTGGTCGGCATTGTTCTAAAGAGATAGCCTCTGATTCCAGAAGATAGAACAGAAAAACCTTCAAACCGATTTCGTTTGCAGGGTCGGATCCCATCTTTTCTAACTTCATTTAAACCAACTGACGGAAAGCAAAATAAATGGCCAAAAAGAACAGATTATCTTGGTGTGATGTTATACTGAAATAATAGCATGTTGGACTCATCGAACTTCAATTGATTATAATGCTTCTAACAGGATGCATTGCAGCCATCAAAGCTCCGAATGGGCCACTCCAATAACTCACCATAGAACTTCCAAACAGCAATTATCAGAATTGCAATAAACAGAAACTTAAAAGCAAAATTTCCCTGAGATAATACACCATTTTAATCACTGCTCAACAATTATAGGATCCAAATCACTATCCCGAGCAAAATTTCGTTTATAACAGAAACTACAGACGTAGGATTATGAGCTACATCCCCCTATGGCAACAAAAGAAAAGCAGGCTACTTCTTGAGCATATCATCAGAAACAACTTTGAGCTGCTTCCTCTGCTTGGACTTGGCGATCTTCTTCAACGTCTTGGGATTGGAAATCACCTGAAGTTTTGTACCAGATTTCAAAATATTCTCTTGCTTCTTCTTCTCCCTCTCTTCCCTCTTCTTCCTCTTCTCAATCTTGTTCAACCTAATCTCTTCCTTCAACTCTGTCATCCTTTCCTTATAGGCTCTCTTCAACTGTTTCTCTCTCTCCCTCTGCTCAAATGTCGTGCCCTTCCGAGTCACATGTACCGCCGACGCCCTATTCTTCTTAGGCTGCTTCCACTTACGACCTGAAACCCTCCCTGCTATCACGCCGTCGTAGCTGGGCTTGCCGAACACCGGCTTGTTAGGGTCATCGGCGGACGGCAAAGCCGATCTCTTTGCTGGCGGAGGACAAGTGTCGTCGACATCCATCGAAGCACCGGCGCCATCTCCGTTGTCAACTTCGGCGACGTCGTTTGCCTTAGCCTCTCTTTTGCGTTTGTAGGTTTTCCCGCCAAACCCCTCGTCAAGGCAGCGAAAGTCTATTGTGCAAGCCATGGTTTGCTATGCGCGATCGGGCAGAGACGACGCCAAACCCTAGAGTCGGGTTTGAGAAAGCTTGGACAGGTGGGATTTATATACGACATGGATTTTACAGAATCACAGGGCCGAGAAGGGAGTTGATAATAATAAGGGAAAATCGAAAAAAAAAAAAACCTAAAAATTGAAAAATTGCATATAAAGAGTATTCACAAAAATTGTTCTCATTTGTCTAGTATTTTCAAAACTAATATCAATGTTGTAACAAGTCTCTATTTATAATTTTTTTTATTTCTATGGTCTTTTTTATGATTTTTTCAAAACCAATATTAATGTTGTAATGGATCTCTATTTATAATTTTTTTATTTCTATAGTTTTTTTAATGATTTTCCTTAATAATAAATTGGTCCCTATATTTTATGTAATTTTCTATTGACTATAGAGTATAAACTTATGGACCGATTGTTACAGGAGAAATGAAGAGGAAGAGAAGAGGGGGGGGATTTAATGAGCTCAAATTAAAAATTTTAAAAAATAAGATTAAAAGCTCTTAATTAATTTTTAATACTCTTTTATATTACTTATTCTCTTTATTATAATTTTAAAGTCCCACTTTTCTAATTTTTTAAATGAAATTTATTAAAAAAATTTCCTTCCTTTTTTTCTCTTTATTTTCCTCATACCAAACAATACCTGAAGGCAATTTAATATGTACAGTTTTGTGAAATCTTCAAATAAATTCCTTTGTGTTTAAGGAGGTATTATTTTTGGTTCTTAACATAAAAACTAGTTTGGTATTTAATTTGGTCATGAACACAAGACATCAATCTATTTTATCTCTCATATTTATTCATTTTTCCTGATATACTCTTTGTAGTAATTACATATATTAAATATTTCATCAAATGGTAATTCTAACTAATACATATTATTAGCAAAAGTATTTTAAGGAAGACAACACATATTTATTACAAATAACTAACTTAATTATTTTCTTAATCCACTCAAACAAGTCAACTAGCTTTTATATTAAGGACCGGTAATAATTAACTAAGACAAGCTAAAAATCCATGCAGTAAACAATTTTATTCACTTATTATCATATGTTTTTCTTCTTTAGTAAAATTTTGTTTTTTCAAGGTTGTTTTCACACACCTCACACCGTAATTTTGGACCCACAACATAATTCTAAGACTTACAGTTGGCCCAGTATCTTAAAATGTTTTTTAAAAAATGAGTCTAGTCTCTTAAAGTATTTCTTAAGAACAATTTTACTTTAGCTATTAACTCTGAGTAAGGTGCATCTAATATTTGGGGCAATTTTTCTCATAAAATGTCTTAATAATCAGTTTTTCGATCTTTCTACTATACAACAGGCTTCCTCATAAAATCAGCTTTTTAATTGTGCCTAAGCTGTGCCTTGAAGATGACATTTCATCACTTGACGCACTATGAAAGTGTCCAAAAGATTATTGGCATCCTCTGGAAATGAATTGGCTCAACTTGATATTGAGTCAGCCAATTGTTTAGGAGAGGCTTCTTATGAAGGTTTGATGCGTGATTCTCACAGCAATTGCATTACGGTTTTATGAGGAAGTATCTCAACAAGTCAAGTGACTTGTTAAAGATACTCCTCCGGTCCTAAATATAGGGGTAGGAGGAGCAGAACATCAAATTTGATCATGTTTATCCCGGAGCCAGCAAATGCGCGAACTAACTTGCTAAAGATACTCAGTCTTAATGTTCGCTTGTTATCCTCTTTTAAATTGCAAGAGGTTGATCGATTCGAATAAACAAAACATGTAAGTTGTGCTATTCTGTTAAAAAAAGTATAGTGTTGCTTCTCTTTCATATAGAATTCTCAAGAGAGTGGAATAACTCTCAAGGTCCCCAAGATTTATCATACCCCCCATTTCCAATGACGTGTAAGTGAAATACATCCAAATTTTCTAATAATACTGCTTATATATATCAATCCCAAGGATCGCATATAATCCTGACATATCCTACAAAGATTTTCCGAAAAAAAGTCTAAAAAAATCTGATACATGAGAACTCGAATTCTCCACTTTGATTGATGATTACTGCCGACAAGAGCTTGATCAAAAATATACCCTATCCCACATTGGTTCAGATCCGTATCAATGACATGAAGCATATTTGAATCTTGCAGGAGATGTTATCCAACAAAATAGGAAATTATTGCAGCCCTTCAACTCCTTTGCAGACGACTAATAAAGAATAAATACGTCTACTCTAACAATTCCAGAACAAGTACCCACTTCACTGATTCCACCCAACTGAAGACTTCCTTCTCACCACACACTCCCTTTTCAGCTACATCTCAATCATCCATGGGGAGGGCTGAAAATGCGGGATTGATATAATTTAAGAGTGAATTACATTGCCGTAACAGCAATTACGGCCCCAAAGTGTTCCTATGTAATGCGGAAACAGAACCATTTCCAAAGGCATATTCTTCACTCTCAAAGAAGGTCGAGTGTAAAGCCTTTACACACTGCTCAGCTTCACTGTCATTTACTACCAACGAAATATTCACCTGGCCCCAAATAAACCAAGAATGATCAGGCACATAATTAAAGGAAAACCCAAGTTCCTTGATTCTATGAACGAGTTCCCAGTTCAAGTCAAATATGTGGATATAACAGACCTACACAAGTCCTTTCCACGAGATATGTTAATGAAGACGCAAACGTACTTGCGCTTCACAGATCAGCCAATACTATACCAGTGTGTATAATAAATTATGCATATATAAGCTACATGTCCGATCACATATGCAAAGCTTCAATTTCCTATGGAAAAGAAAGGGCTGATAATTCCTAAGAGCACATACAGTGCAGGAAAATATGAATTTGACCAGGTTAATACCTTAGATGCACCCTGAGAGATCATCTGAACAGTGACACCAAGGGTTCGAAGAACACGAAATGCCTGCACCAATGTGCCCATAAATCATTTTTTAATGGTAGAGAACTAAAAATAGACTGACTACAGAAGAATAGAAGCTGGCAAATAGATGACCATGTGTCTGAAAAATGCAGTATACAAGCTTCATGCCATTAGAAGATAGAACATTCATTGAAAAAAGATACTCCCTAGTCGCAACGTAGAACAAAAGGACGGACCCCGTCACCCAGATACTGGCATTACCAAAAAGCAATTAACATGGAAACAGTTAAAAAAGAAAAAAAAAATCCTTGAGGATTTAAGGAACTATATTTAAATCAAGAAAGGATAATAGGAAACCTTCTCCAATATCAGTGATGACCTCTGAACGTTTCCAATAAGAGAGATGATGGATCTGTTCTGTAGAAGATTTACCACAGCGATTTTCTCCAGTTCTTCAACAACATAGTCAAGTTCCTGTTCCAAGAAGATAAAGTACGCCAGCCAATTACAACGGCAGGGACACAGAAATCCCATCAAGTAAGCATGTATTTAAGTGAAAATCAGAAGACCCCTAGTTAAAGAATGGACACTTCAAACACCAAAATAATAAATTAATAAAATTAAAGAGAGAACATATAGTATTACACATGCCTGCTGAATTAGTTCTCTGCTCCATAATTTTGATGGATCCAATGTCAAGGAAATACTGACTTCACTAGTAGCTACAACATCTACTGATATGCCTAAATCTTCAAAGATTGAAAAGACCTGCATTAAATATGAAAGTATGAAGTCTGAGAAGGATTTAGTCACTACAACTCACACCAGGCATTAGTTTTCTCACCTTAGCAAGGAAGCCATACTGACCAAGCATGCGGGTGCTTACAATATCCAACATGGTCACGTTACGTTTCAGAACAATGCTAGTTAATACTACCTGAAGGTGGAAAAGGGAACACGTAATGTCCACAGTTTCCTATAACATAATGTTATTTAGTATAAATATCAGGACTCAATCGATAGAAAACCTTGCTCATATCTCTCGTCTTTGCAATAAGAGTGCCTGGAGCTTTCGGGTTATAAGAATTTTTAACCCTAACAGGAATGTCACTTTCCCTAGCAGGTCTCATAGACTGTGGGTGTAGGACCTGCAAAAGGACCGCAAGAGAGATAATTTACTCTGAATTCGTCATTCTTAATCCATGGCCCAAGACCTTTCAATCGAACATAACAACCAAGTTGCTCACAACAGCATTGAGGGTGATAGCACACCTGACACTAAGCTTAATAAAAAATTGAGTAAATAAGACAGAAATATTAAGCTAACCAAGATTCTCAAAAATATGAATACGAGATTATTTGAAGAAGCTAGTGAAAGCCCGAAAGAGTCTTTTAACAATTTGAGGTGAAAATAGTAGTAAAATATGCAATTAAAAGCTTTCTGCAGAAAACAGAGATCTCATTTCAACAATTTTCAGCAGATGAAGCATCAATCCCATACTCCTATGTAGTTCCATTTTGATTTGAACAACAGTAAAACGGTGGGATGGGGTGGCTAGCAGCAACATGAATGTCACTCGATCGGATTCATATGAAGGCAAAGAGAAGAATCGGTTCAATGCTAAACCAGAACAACAAATACAAGGTAAAATTTAAAAATTGTAAGCCCGGATGGTTATGCATTATCCATAAACTGCATAAGCTATAATGAAGATACCTGAGCACCAAAGTAAGCAAGTTCTGCAGCCTCATCAAATGTCAAAAATGGCACCGGCTCTGCTTGAGGGCATATATTTGGATCACAGGTTAGAACGCCATCAACATCTTTCCATACCTGTCCAGAGGAATGAAATTAATTTGTTTCTTTCTAGCCTCCATTTAGTCTTTAACATTTCGTGGTGATAGTGCAGAGATGTTGCAGTGAACAATTATAATAATTCACAAACTTTGAAGTCAGTCCCTCATCATCAAGCTCAGACACACGCCATTCCATATGCAAAGGTTGTCTACTGAATAGCGTTTTATACCAACAATTAGGTGTCTTGTTTACATACTAACCCAGTGTCTTGTTTACGTACTAACCTGTATCTCTGGCAACCCTAGAGCTTTCCCAATTGTTGTTGCAGTCAAATCACTGCCCCCTCTTCCCAGTGTTGTCACTGCGCATGATTTCCGGGCCTGCTAGGATAAATAAAAGTCACATCATCTTTCTGATTTGAGAATACTCATTTTAATGAAATAAAAATTTGGAGAAAAAAGATTAGGAAAAATTGTTGGAAAAGTCTTTTTCATAGTGACCTTTCCGAGGAAGCCTGTAACAACTGGAATTGCAGGATCTGAAAACCAATCACCGTGTAACCTCTTTGCAACAGCTGGATAAGTTGCTTCCAGAATATCCGCATTTGTGAAGTCATCAGTTGTTATAAAACCCATCTCAAATGCATCATACTGCCATACATAAAATTAGCAAGAAATATTAAAAACACTATGGTCACAGGGTACGAATAGAAAAAACACATATATCCTGAATCGGACAATCTTCATTGGCAAAACAGGAAAACATACTTGACGAGCTTTAACACCCATTCTATTAAGATAGGCAGCAAAGATCCTGGTAGACATGCACTCTCCAAATGAAACTAGATAGTCTTGAGTTCTTGGAGTCAATTCTTTCATCATAGAAATCCCCTTCAGAAGTTGCTCTAGCTCTTCTAGATGCTCTGAAATTTTTTCAACAGAGTAGGAACATGTGAAAATTATTAAATGGCCATACTGACAAGACAGGAAAGAAAAACGTGGTAGAAGTAGTTCAATTCATGAGTTGACAAAATGAAATTGAAGAACTTGCATCAGTTATATATTATTAGAACACAATGCATGATGATTAGAATTCGAATAAAAAAACAAAACAAAGAGTTTAGGGTTTAAAATAGTTTATCCGCTTTATTCTGAAAGGAGTTACCGAATAAAAGCAACAGACTAAAATTGTTTGCAAAACCTGGAGAGATTACAGTCTTATGTCTGCACTTGCTCATCATTACAGGAGAGTAAGAGTTAAAATAACATTATTTTTAATCAAAAAAATGACTATTTGATCAATTACCCCCTTAATGCATAGACATAATCAACGTTATAATCCCCCACTATCCATAGAAATGAAATCCATTTTTCTAAATTTAAGTAATGAACAATTACTGGATCATGTGGTGTTTGAAGGATGTAACAAGCTCGAATTGTAATATGCCTGTATTCTTCTGTGACATAAATAGCAGTTACCGGTATTAGGTATGAAATTTTCAACATGCTCTTGTGAAGGCCAATTTTACAGTCTCATATAACCATACAAAGACGTGCACAAGTGATTTAAAGACAGCTTCAGTTAAAGAGGATAACTGCCAGTCCTGAGGACAACAATCTTCTGTGAAACTGGTCACGTGAAAATTTAATCACGAACAATAATTTATATGCAAATTATGCAATCAAAACAATAACTGATCCCCCCGGGGGGGGGGGGTAACTCACTTGCAATGACAGACCTGTCCACCCCAAGCTCATCAACGGTCCTGGACAAAATAACAACACGCAATGAGAATGTGCTTTTGTTTTTAACACTGTTATTACAAATGGAAAGTCAAAAAGAAAACTCATTGCTCTTGCCTGATATGTAGGTCTTTTATAAAATTAAGTTCATCAATACTAGAGGCATTTGTGACCCCACAACTTACTGCTTTCTCTCCAGCCTAGCAAAAGGAAAAGGCATTTCTTTCTTAATGTTTCTTGATAAGTAGAAATGAGAAAGAGTATTGACGTGAAACAAAATGAAAAGCAGTACCAGCAAAAGTTTGTTAGTTGTCTTTCCCATCGCAGAGAGAACAATTATAGGCCTCTCCTCTGGAAAGCTCAGTATAAGGCTAGCAATCTCTCTCATCCTGTCAGCAGTAGCCACCGATGAGCCACCAAACTTCATGACGCAGGTGAATGGTTTCTCAGTTCCACTAAGGCCCTCATCTTCATTTTCATTCTTCTCGAGTATATCACTGTCTATGGCCTTGCAGCTGACACTGAATGCTAACTTTTCCCTTGTAAAACTTCCTTTACAGCACAACCCAGAAACAGAAGCAACCGACGTTACAAAACCAATTCTTTGGGACAATAGTGGCTGGTTCTGCAGACTTCCCCACTTACTCACAGGGAAGGCATTTCTAATACCATTAAACTGCAACACACTAGCCATGCCTGTTGACAAGTGGGAAGCAAGGCACTGAGCTTATAATGGCGTATTCCAATAAGTTGTTTCGACAAATAAGTCAAATGCCAAATGAACTCTCAGAGTCGGAGATCAGGATCGATCATCAGTCAACCGCTTCAACTTCATAAAACTAGATCTGCAAATTGTCCATCGCTTGGTTGATTCACAATATCGTGATGGATACGAGATAACTCGTAATAATAGGAAAAACTTCAGATTTTTTACCGTATGTTCCCCCATTGGAGCAAAAGCGATACCAATATGGACCCAAAAACGAATAACCAAAAGAAACTGAAAATAATTATACCTTGTCAGAAAGAGCTTTAGCAGGTGAAGATGCAGAGGTGGTTCCTTTTAGACAAGCTCCAAAGGTGGGAAAATGAGCAACCGTCAGGTTTTCGACACAATGAGATTCCTTCGAAGAGAGAAGAAGAAGCTCAACGGCGCTTCAGTTTGGAACGCGAGCCCCCAGCCTCTGAAGGAGGAGCAAGAAGAAGGAGGTACCACTACGGCGGCTCGCCGCTGCTGAAAGTCCCACAGGAAAATGCCAAAACGCGTCTCTACTTTCGGTGCGCCTTCGGTTTCGGCTGGAAAGTCCTACCGAAGATTCAGTTGAACCCGGAAACAAACGGCGAGGATCGCGTTTGGTACTTTGGTTACTGTAATAATTTTTACACGTGCATGAGAATTAAAAAAATTCGGAATTAAATAAAATTCGGAGGGAGAATTAGAGAGAAGAACTAATAGAGAATGATATTTAAGGGAGAGGACCATAAAAATTAAAATTATTTAAAAAGACCAAATATTCAAATATAAATTTAAAAATACTACATTATTTCTATTCAGGCCTCCTACATTTTCTCCTATATTTTATTTTTAAAACAAATGTGAATTAATAAATTTCACTAAATTAAACATGGTTTCTCTCAAAATTTACAACTTACATAAAAATCAATTAAAACAAACTCAAATATCGTTCAATCATGTAAAAATTAAGGTTTTATTTTCTGTATCAAAAGTTAAAATTTTCTTTATAAAACCATCACAGACTTTCATTGAAAATAAAAGTTATATAATTTTATTAAAATTTAGATTATTGTATAATTTATTATATAAATAAATTTAAAATTTTAAAGAAAATGATTTCATTAAATTTCTTAACACTACATGTATTTTTTATTTTAAAATCTGATATAAATTTCTTATAAAATAAAAATCATAAGTAATAAAAATTTTCTATGGATTTTTTAAAACCATGTATATAATAAATTATATAATAATCTAAATTTTAATAAAATTATATCATTTTTTCAATTTTAAAAATAAATTAATTTTTACAAGGAAAATAAAAATTTAATTTTTACATAAATAAACAATGTTTGCATATTTTTTAGATTGGTTTTAACGTAGGTTGAAAACTTTGAGAGAAATCAGGTTTAATTTAGTGAAATTTGTTGATAATGTAGGAGGGAATATAGGAGAAAATGTAGGAGTTTTGGATAGAGACAATATGGTATTTTTAAATTTATGTTTGAATATTTGGTCCTTATAAACAATTTTAATTGTTATAGTCCTCTCCCATAAATATCACTCGCTATTGGTCTTTTTTTCTAATTCTCCCTATAAAATACTATCTCTAGTTCTTAATATAAAATCTTATTTAATTTTTATTTTGATCTTAACTATAAGATTCCAGTCCACTTTGTCTCTAATATTTATACTTTTTTTTCAAGAAAGTTTTTCTACTAATAATAATTCTAGCCAATACACTTAATTAACAAGGATATGTTAGGAAATACAACATATATTTATTACAAATAACTAATTTAACTTATTTTCTTAATCTTATCAAATTAGTCAACTAGCTCTTATAATTAGAACCAGAGATGATATAAAAAGTGTCATAAATTATCAGAAAATCGTAAAAAACCGTAAAAATTATAAAATTATAAATAAGGTATTTTGTAAAAACTGTGTTTTCATTTCCAGTCTAATTATTGTGAAAATCTATAAAAATGTTGTCACAAATCCCAATTCCCGATTTGTAATTTTTATAATTTTTTTCACAATTTTCCTAAATTATTGACTCATAAATACTCCTTCAATCCTAAATTTAAGGTCTATTTTATAATATAAATTATATTATTAAATAGATTTTGTGTTTAAGACTCGAGGAGTCAATGAGTACATGAGATTCTTTTCTTTTGTGTTTTTAACCTGAAGACATCCAATTTAGTTAAAATATCATATGAAATATTCATATTAATTATCAATATAAAATTGAAATAAATAATATTCTTTTAGAAGATTCATTTACATTATAAAATAAGTCTTATATTTAAAACAGAAAGAAATATTACTTTTTATCAAAATAAATAGTACTCCTTCGGTACTTAATATAGAACCTACTTGTTGAGTTGGTTTTGGTCTTAAATATAAGACCTTTTTCTCATATGTATCAATTTTCTCTAAATTACTCCTATGGATATTTTCTTAACCATAATCAAGTAGAAGAGGGAGACGAGGTATTAAGAAAGATGATTATGGTGTTTTAAGAAAAATGTGTCATATTTCTTATAATTAACTAACTTACTTAACTTTCTTAATCTAATCAAATTAATTAAATGGATCTTATATCAAGGATCAGAGGAGTAGTATTTATCAGCCATGAGTGTAATAAAATACTAAATTCTATTTAAAAAATCTTCAGTTTTGCGCAAAATATAATGAAAATCACTTGCTGCAATTACAAGATGCGCAATGTTATAACCATGATCATGCCCGCGGGATATTATATTTATAGTTATAAAAAAGGGGGAAATTAATTTATTGGTTCTGTGATTTTGAGTTGACTATAACTCAATATTTATAGTTTTAGTCATCTAAAATTTTGATCCCTATATTTTTAAAAAATAAAATTATATATTTCATAAAATTTAAAAACTAGAGTTTTAAATTATCAAAATTAAGATTATGGAGAATGAGCTGTGATGAGTCAAAATTTAAGAATCGAGTCAGAACGAGTTAAAATACTGCACAAGTTAAAACAGCATGAATCAAAAGATTAAATTTTCTTTAACAATAGCAGTGATAGAGAAGCATGGGTTTAAGAAAATTACAAAAATGGTTACACCGGAAAATGCTATTCTTGTTTTTTTTTTTTCCTTTTTTTTCCGTGGATTGGTTTATGTATATGCGCGCGAGGGCTCATGGTTTAGAAAAATGGCGGGTAGTGGATAAATATTTTAGACGACAAGAAATAAAGTAATAAACCATAAAAGCCCCGTAGAAGAGCAGTACCCTGAATCAAGAGTTTACTCCCTTTCTTTCTTTCTTGGCGATCGACTAACAGGGATCTCCCCCCCCCGGGGGGACGAGAGTAGGATGGACTTGGAATTTACTTTTTGATAATGAGTGTGTTGGCCATTGAGTTTGTTTTCAATATTATAGGTGTTTGGATAGAAACTAAACCATAGTTTCAGAAGTGTTTTTACGGTTTACGAAATAAATATATGAAGGGATTTGTCTCGTTTTACGAAAAAATGATTCTAAAAAGCATTTTTGAACGTTACAAACACCCCCTTAATTGTAATGAAATCAAAGAAAACGCCGAACGAGTGTCACTTCCATATTAGTATTTTGCGGGAACAAATGGTCTTGACCAGTCTTATTTTATATTACCTCCGCTAGACCACTACTAATTATAAGAGCCAGTTAACTAATTTAAAAAGATTAAGAAAATAAGTTAAGTTAGTTATTTATAATAAATAGATGTTATCTTTCTAAAATATTCTTGCTAATTAAGTGTATTGGTTAAAATTATCATTGTTAGAATGATTAGCTCAGAAAAAAAGTATAAATATGAAAGACAAAATGGATTGAGGTCTTATATTTAGAATCAAAATAAACGTCAAATAAGGTCTTATATTAAGGAGCGGAGGTAGTATTACACAGTATGAATTAAAAAGTTAATTTATAAAATCAAAAATAAACTTGATATAATTCGTCTTAATATTGGATTATTTTAGTACTTCCCAGCATTACCAGGTTCTATCTTTTGTTGTCAAATACCAAATTTAAACGCTGTTTACTGGAGTACAACTTTGTTATTAAACTTCTTAATAAGAGCAGATACATTATCCGTATGCCCGGTAAATCATTCTCCTTTTCACAGACTAAGCGGATCCAGAGCCCATGAAATTCAAAATTGAATAATACTCACAGAGGAAGAGAATATAAACACTTAGGAAACAAAGAGGTCATTCCATGATTATTCAAGATAAAGGCACAAGTCTGATCCGATCAAAAACATAATTGAGAAAAATGCTGAACCTAACCCCTCAACCTACAAATCTATTAGCCAAACCATCTGATCGTGACCTTCACAGAGGACAAGATCCGGCATTTAACCGCCTGGAGTTCCGCAACACAGCCGGTGCCTCTGTTGGCAAGACGACCATCTCTCGTGAACTTCACTCACACCATTCCATGGCAAGCCGCTGAATCCAACAATACTGCTCTAATTTGCTCGGGGGCAACATCCTGGCCTTCCCTGCATTGCTGGTTAAAGGCAAGGAAGAAAGAAAAGTTATAAACACTTGATGGTATATGTTGGCATGAAGCTGCTAGTTGATAAGCTTCAGGTCCAAAAATGAACAGTCAGTTATTATTAAACTAATATATTTTCTGTTACTATCTGCAGTGCCACTTGTTCATTAACGGCAATGAATGACTTGTTCAGATACTTCACAAGGATCCTTCCAAATTTTTTTCCTGTACCATTACTGGTAACAAGAACTCATACTGGCTTTAGTTTCCATCAACCGTTAAGTTTTTTGGCAAAACAAGCAAGGCTCAAATGCTTTAGTTCCAGCCAAAGGGAAGGGAAGCTAGAGAGAACCGGAGACCACTTGAGCTTGTGGCTTGGCTCAATAAACTTGTTCTTCAAAAGGTCACAAGAGAAACCTGTTAACTCTCCTGTAAATAATAACGGGCATGGGGATTCTTCTGTTAGGCATCTAGTAGTTTAGAGAAGTTTGGGTTCTAGGATTCCGATATCATGCCTTAATTTTCCTTGGGTGAGAACCTTCTCACATAATCTGGAAAACTGCATGTCAAATTATGAAAGACAACAATATACGACATGTGTTATCGAATCATAGAAGCCCCAGATACCAAGAATTCATATACCATATCATATGAAAAAAATTTTAGCCAGCAATATCATATGAAAATTTACAGATCCAAATTATCGCTAAAAGGATTGACACTGGAGAAAGAAGTATACCTCAGCTCGGAACACATCTAAAGCAAAGCCATTGAAACAACTGATAACAGCCTGCTGAATGTCCAATCCAAGGCTGTCCAAAGCCTTCAAGGTCGTAAGAAGAAGTCCTGGTCTGCGGGCACAAAACATATGGATGTTCACAGCTCTCCCTTCCCTTAACCTAACCTCTACCTGTAAATTCAGAAACACAAGTCAGAGCAATTTCTTCAACTACCTCACAAACGGACTTTGCAAACAAATATATTCTTTTAAATTCTACTTGATGATCAATGGTCTGCACTAATAAATATTGGGGATGTATAGTCTAGACAAAGCCACCGCAGTACTGCGCAGCATCTAGCAATTTTTTTTAAATATATATAAAAAATCTCTAGATACAGAGTAGGTGATTTTGTCAGCTCCATTGTTTATTTACCACATAGGACTTTGAAAGACATGACATGTCTGATGCACCAAGTCGTCAGATCATATTTCATTTCAAAAAAAAAGAGAGAGAGAACCTCATTGTTTATGCTTTGACAACTCGTAATTAATTTTGTAATTTTTTAAAATGTGATATGTAGCAGTGCAGCACAAATTACTGAATTAGCAGCAAAAAAAACACAGCTTTACAGCATTAGGTGGAGCTGGCTATATGAATCACATGACGTCATTGTAATCTATTAATGGCCAAATCTTTGGATAGGTGCAGCACAATTAGCAAAAGGTTAATTTCATATTCTCTATATTAGCCCCAAAATAAAATTAGCCCTCATGAAATATGCAGACCCTGCGCATAAATGCAGATATCTATCCAAACCCAGTGGTGTAGACCATCACCAACTAGTCATCCCTGTACATCCTAGTTAGGGGACGGGACCAAAAATAGGCATACGAATCAATTGCGCGTTATCAACATTCTCTTCAAGCAAAAAGCTACCATAATGTGAAGAATAACAACACGAGATGAATGTGAACAAAAACTAATTACTCGCGAGGGTTGGTTCTTAGGGCTCGCCAGGGAAGTAGGGCAAAGTTCTTCCTTAACCCTGCAGGGAAGGGTTGGGAGAGTGGGCGTCAAAGGGTGGAAATTTGCAGAAGGTGGTGGCAGTGAACCAGTTGGGGTTGACTCCAGCTCATTATGAAGATCGTTGATCCGCTGAAGCAGCTCCTTCAAGTAGTCAATTGCATCCCCAAGTATGGAAGCCCTATCCATCTGTGAATTAAATCAAGGAAGGTGAGAGATTAGACTTGCATTTCAAGAACTAGTCTAGCGACTAAAATTTGTCACGAATACGATAACTAATCAGGTCTTTCAAACATAAGAGATCGCGCATCATTTCTCATTGCATGAACTAAACATGCTTCGAACTTCTGTAGATGAATTTTTCTGGAAAATAAAGAAGCCAAAGGCATCCGCGTAGTTTATCATTTTTAAAATCCAATTGTTTGCTCCTTTAGGCATAAACTTATGAAAAGCGTCGAAATCATCAATAAATTCATGGTTCTAGGCAGCTCTAAAAATCGTTCAGGACAAATCATAAGGTAAATGCATACTTATTATAGTGATATAAATTGATGTCCTCAAAAATATATGGGAAAACGATGGAGGAGCTATTAACATGCTTTTAAACATTTTTATTAGAAGAAAATGCTTCCGATCAAGTTTTGATACCTTACTAATCTTCGGCACAACCGAGCGAAGCATGTATAGCCTATCATTTAGTTTCTTCCTGCGCCTTCTCTCGGCCATGAGATTTTTCGCAGGTAACCCCTTCTTCTTCCCCTTCTGATCTCCCCCCGTAACAGTACTGTTTGCATTAGAATTGCTTCCGCCGTTATTCCCATTCTCCTCCGCCTTATTACTCTCATTAAAGTCGTCAGAATCATAATTTAGGCCAGATGCATCGATGCTGGCTTCTTCGATTTCGCCGTCTTCTTGCTTCCTCTTCTTCTCCATGTTTGAATAATCATTAAATACAGACGGCAAAATTTCTAAAGAACCCAATTTATCAGCTCCGCCAGAGGTTTGGCGAAGCGCAGCTCGCTTCTGAAAGAGAGTGGGTTGAGCACCAACAGGAGGGAAAACGTCAAGTGGTCTTAGAACCTTAGCCTTGTTAGAAAACAGAGCATTTCCGGAACCATCGTATCCTTCCAAGCCCATTGGACTAAATCCTCCACCAACTGTGATGCCATTGTCAGCAGCAGGCAATAGCCTAGTTGCTGGGAATTCATTGCTTGAACTGATCTCGAGGTTGCCCATCTGGGGTTGAGTATTCAGGCCCGAAAATCCCATCAGAACATGGGAACTCAAAGTCTGGTTTCCCTGGAAGTGACCGAGAAAGCCACTTTCAGAGCCCAAATCGAAGCCATTATTCTCAAAAGGGTTGTTGCAAACAGCATTGAAGAGAGAAGGGAAGCACGATTTGGGTGGTAAATATGGCTGTGACTGCGCCGGGTCGATAGTGAATGACGGTGAACAAGAAGATGAATCTATAGGCTGCAACAGGAAATTGTCATTTGGATTCGAACAAAAACCAATATCTCTGGTTTCTTGGTGAACTGGGAGACCAGGGAGATTGTGATGAGATGAATTGATAGCAGAATCCATGTACCATTCACTTTCGAGCATGGATTTGAAGGACGTTAGTGGACCTCCCAAGGCAATGTCCTGGTCCTTGGACTCACCTTCGTTGTTAGTTCTGGTCCAAGATGCTGCGTCTTCAACTTCTTCTATCCAAGGGACGCCGGGAGCTCGTGGTAGCATGTGTCTCTCCATAGCGCTAGAGTGGGAGTATGAGAGAGTTTCAGTTAGAAAGGCAGAGAGAAAAAGGCAGGAAGCTTTTCTCTCATAGCCTAATATTTTAAGAATTTAACAGAAAGGGGATTCGAAGTCTGAACGTTATGTGATGTACCGAAGATGAATGGTGAGGACACCGCTGTGCAGTGTGTGGTTTTTATCTTCGTGTGCTCTGTTGGTTAGAAGACCCGCCCTGAATAGACGAGATGACCCTTCTTGTGTTGGGATAATTACACCTGCTCTATTTAGGGTGTATTTGGAATCACATCTGGGTCTTCAAACTGACTTCTCTATCAGTAAAAATAGTTTTTTTTATTTGGGATGTGTTTAGAATCACATTTTTGCAATCTGACTTCTGTCACTGAAACATATTTATACAATAAGCTCAAAGAAGCTGCTTTTATCTAATCTGACTTATGTAAAAGTCATATTGAAAAAAAAGTTACTTCTCCACCGCTAATCCAAACACACCCTTAATTTAAAAAACAAAACAACAAATTTCTTATAAGAATGTACTGTGCAGAGTTTGTTTTGCTTTTCACTCCTTTTTTTTTGGCCGGGATTTTTCACTGAGGACGACTTAAATATATGCATTCGTAATAAGTTAATACTTTTTAATTATCTTCAGTTTTAAAAATAAATCAAGACCATCATTATAATTATATTGACTAAAACTTAACAAATACATTTTTAATTTATCCCGGTTACAAATTTAAAATTTTGGAGTTCAAACGAAAAATTGGAAAGTAATTTTATGCTAAAAATATTTAAAACAACTTTCAATATAAGAAATTGATTGATTTATTAATATGTATAAAAATTATTTTGAAAATTTTTAGGATTCGAAAGTTACTATTTGAGGCATAAATGAAGAAGTAATTATTGACAATTTAAACAAAAATAAACAGGAGCGCCAGTTGCTTGATTTTTTAAATAACCATAGTGATTAATATCGGGAATTCAGGATTTACTGAAACTCAAAATGGCGATTTATTGGGAGGCTTTATCAGCTGCATAGAAATTAGAAGCCACCACGGCTTTGGTAGTAAGTCTTGAGATAACAAGTAATCATGATCTGGTCAATACTTTTTTTGGGACTCATCTGGTCAAAGATTCGACCCAGTAATTCTCCTTAATTAAGGAGTATTGGGCTGGAATTAATATCATAATTTTAAAATTGCTTTTAGAGTATATGAGATAAAAATATTGAGAAATTTATATCGATTTGCAAAAATATACCCAAACACTCTTATCACGTTGAAATGCGTGATTATGAATGTTAAAGATATATGGGTGCAATTTTATTTCTAATCTCATATTTCAAGTGTAAATCATTTTAATAGTAAAATTGCACAGCTAAAAATATCGGTAAAATTACTCCTAAAAATCAGGAATAGAATTACTTTTTTACCCAATATTCAATAAGTCAACTTATTCAATATATATGTGGTCAATTCTGAAACGCTTCACTAATCATTTGTAGCCATAGTTCACCGAGAAATGGTCAGTCTGCAGTCTTAGATGCATGTCACAATGGCTTGATTATAAGTTATCTGTTTTACAGGCTCTTGATATTTTAATTTATGAAATATTAGGTGTAAATATGAAATTCACATGTTCAATAGACATGCCACGTACGATTTGTAAATACTATAAGTCAATGTATGCTAAGCGATATGCATTACATGAAATTAAATTTGATTAAAAAAAAAGATGAAATAATATGTAGTATAATAACATTGTACTACGCTATGAACAACGTAGCCAGTTTTTCATACGTTACATGATGTGCATCCATTATAAGTTGCATTACTTATTATGAGGAAAAAAGGACGTGGTCGTGATATTTTTTTTAATATAAAAATAGCAAGCTAATTAACGTTAATTTAGGCCAAAAATGTTAATTAGTGTGATATCCACATTAAAATTAAAACATCCAGCAAGTTACGCCACGTGCTCATCATAAATCAGGGGTAGTGATTTTTGTTTTTTTGGTCCAAAAAATGTCATACACATTGTCTATGATTTCAAATGTAAAAATTGTGATGAGATGGGTTATCTATAAACAACTAGCTATAGTGAGGTGACACATTTGGCGTCCTCATGTCTGCTGCTACAGTGCAATAGCGTGCGATGCAGACTAGAGAGGGCAACTTGGTTTGAACTTCTGGAGTTCTGAAGTTTGAAGAAAGAAGGGAAGTCAGAAAAGCGAGGGAGGGAGGAAAAGCAGAAGACGGCAGCCATAAATGAGATCACAGGCTTCAAACACGTCCTTGTAACTGCTTTCTTTTTCATTAGTTTATAATTTTGAATCTTGAAGGATCTCTCTGGCACTGGCGTGCATGCATTTGTACTTCCAATTACTCATGAGAGAGAATCAAACCCTTCCCGCAAGCAACATGCCCTCCCATAATTATTAAACTAATCCTTGGGAGTGGGGACCACATACGTGCCTCTTTTTTTTTAAAAAAAAAAATGACAAAAGGGTAAGTTATAAATTACTAAATTCTATGTCAGTGACAACATTTTATTTGGTGTTAACAATATTAAATTTGTAAATGATAACAAAATTTTTTGATATTTCTTATTTGATATTTAATAATTTCTTTTTTTTTGTTATTTTTTTCAATCACATGTACTGAGATTATTTTACCTTATTGATTATAAGTTGTAATCAGAATTTGGTTTACCCAAATATTTTACCTTAATTTGGGAAAGTCAACTCCCCCCCCCCCAAATTGGTAAGAATTCAGCTTATTTTGAAATTTGAACGAGGTCATGCGTGATGCCACAGTAAAGATGGTAGTGTGATAAGATATACTAGTAATATAGCAGCATTAGATAATGATTTAACATGTCATATTATAGAATCTATAGTTATGATGGTGTTTGGTATCTCAAAAAATCATTTTTAATAAGTGATTTCATGCAAATCAAGACAAAAACTCCTCTCACATACTTATTTCATATATTATAAAAGTATTTTTAAAATCATAATTTGGTTTTTACTCAAATATCTCTATATGTGTTTTTTAAATTCTCAATTTTTGCATGGTAAGCAGCTATGTAATTCATGTTACTTTTCACTTTCTGGACCTGAAAAACTTCACAGCTGTGGCCAAGAAAACGCGACTCCATAAACTCAAATAATTAATCACCTTTGCGAGCAGTGTTACGCAAAAAAAAAAAATGAAAATATAATTAAAAACGGATACTTTGCTTTTTGCTCCCAATATTAGTGTAGATGTCATGAAGATACAAGGGTATTATTGGTGATTGAGAAGAAGTGCAGCTTCAGCGTGTAACATGAAGCGGCATGATGCTTTTTGACGGTAACTGATCATCATTCGGACTCTATTACTTAAAACGTGAGATCAGGCGTTGTTTCGTAACAGGACTGCTTTGTAATTAACGATATATAAAGTACTCCCTCGTATCATTTAAGATATCATGATACTCATGAAGAAACTTTTGCGCGGCATATGAGTTAAACACTCGCCATTTACATCATACCCTAAGATTCATGATTTATTTCCCACGCCATATAAAAGAAAGTATACAGTGTTTGTCATTTGATGATGCGTATTTAGAACATGTCCAAATTTTTCATTAGAGGTCACAAGTTCAACATCACTACAAATATTATGTCTGGTTCTTATTATAAAACTCAGTAGATTAGTTTTGAGAGATTAATAATGAAGTTACTTAATCATTTAATTATAACATATGTCACGTGAATCATGATTCCTCTAAAATATTTATATGGATTATCAGATCACATATCAATTTGTAAGTGATGCAAAATAATTTAGACAAAAACAATAGATATCTTAATTTTCCTAAAATAATTAACTGCATCTTATATTAAGGATAAAAAAAACATTAAAAGTTTCATACTACAAGAATTCCATCAAATCTCAACACGACAGAATAACAATTACTGCCCCATTTTTTAGAACCAATGGAATTATGTCAGGGTAGTAATTCATCAAAGAGTCATCAATCAATTGCAAATCGGTTTTCTCTTCCACTCCTCCATTTTCTTCCCAGGCGGATGAGTCTGCAGGCAAATTGCGGGAGAAATTATGAATCCTCCTTATTAGAACGGTTGTGTCCAAATTACTGAAAGAAGACAGTGTTCTAACCTTGAATTGTTAGTGCATTGAATCAAAGTCTAGTGACTGAATAGGTTGATTTTGATTCAATTGGTATAATTTATAAAATATTTATAAAAAATATAATCATCTCAGACAATATGTATTCATATTTATTTCAGGCATACTATACGAATTTACAATCGATCACCCACTATAAAGAGCATTTGTTCTCTGTTATAAAAGACCAAAATAATCAAATATACGAGTTAATTAACCAACTATACTGACACAAACTTTCATGATTAATCAGAATAAATCATCAAATATAGAGTATAAGACCAAAGAAAAATCGACCAAAAGTCTAATAAAAACGCAAAATAATATGGTTTTGCTTTTTCCTCCCTCAATAAAACGGCTGTGATGAGTTTTTTCCACCAGTTTATCTTATTACCTTTGATCCTAATTATAAAATATCATTTATAGTTTACAAACGATATTTTATAATTAGAACCAAAAGTAGTATTTTATTTTTGGGTGTGCGCGTTGGTTTTAGGGTTTTTTTTGGGTATAGTCAGCCCGTTTCTGACGACACTGCTTCTCACTAGAGAAAAAGTAAACACATTGGAAATTTGGTCTAGTCTGTAGCACTGGAAATTAGTTGATTAATTGATAAGGTGGGGCTGGCTAAATTGAACGGAGAAGCAGAATGCAAGTTGGTGATTTGAACCATACAATTTGAAAAGGCAAGCGTTTTGGAATAAATTTAGCAGAAGAAGAGCCAAGCTTCTCGTGACCACTTTTCCTCCTTTCACCGCTCCTACTTCCCCCTCAATCAATCTTGAAACTACTCATCCCCAAACTTTTCAATTCCCCCCTCCTCAACGCTTCCTCTCTCCCTCTTCCACTTGTCACCCCTCCCTCTCTCTCTACAGCACTCCACCCCATACTCCCACACCTTAGAAAATTTTAATATTACGAGCTACTTAAGCTTCTCTTTTTTAAAAATACTACTGTCCATATATGACTAGTCTAGTCGTATGAAAGTTTTCTTGTAAGTGAAACGTTGCCGATTTTTCATCATGTAGGTATCATTTTTTGGCGTTTTATCTTGTCACTAAAAAATACTCATTCAATCCTAAATATAATATCTATTTTATAGTATAATTTATATTACAGAATAGTTACCCTATAAAGTAGATTTTATATTTAGTAGCGAAGGAGTATTTTATTATACGCTGGGCAAGCAATGAAACAAAAAGCACCTATACTTTTTAACTGACTCTGGAATTGATTACAATCGCATCCTTGTCAGCTTCAAGAAGAAACTTAATTTTTTTATGGGTTTCAGGAAAAACCTCCAACCTTGAACAGAAACCGATATCTCACTCTCACTGATGATGATTGCCGACGCAGATATTTCTGGGTCCTTCTTCATCTATAATGCTCCCCAAAACCAGAAAACCCCCATAATTAGCAGCATTTCAAAGATAATCCCAGGTCACGTGACATCGCATATTGGGCGTCAGGGATGGCACACGTGGCACACATGCAACTGATGGGGGGAGAGAGAGGGGGATTTTGAAACTAATCGATGTGGGACCCCGGGTTCTTTCTAGGGTAAAGGCGTGCTCATCAGCTCATGGTTGTCCTCGCCGTCTCTGGTAGGGCTTTTTTTTCATTTAAAGCGCTAGCGGTGTTGTGCATGGCATGTGAATTTGAAGACGACGAGCCATTTTATCTCTCTCCTGCTGACAAAACTTGTTGTCTGCAAGCCATTGATGTGATGCCTGGTAATGGTAAGTATTAGGTAACTTGTTGAGACGATCGATCTTATTGGAGGAATCTTCTGATGAGGATTGAGCGAAGCAGAGAAGAAGGTAGCTCACGCAGCCACAATCATAATGTTCTTGGATAATAAGGAGGAGGTTACAGACGCTCTTATAAACATACCAATGACGATTGAAAATTCTTGGCTTGGCCAATAAATTATATACTTAATAATTTCACTGTCTTTAAAGGTTCAACATGTACAGTGCAATACAAAAATTATTACGTCAAATAAATTTGAGTTGTTAAAATGGTAAAATATGACACAATATATCATTTCATACTTTAAAAAAAAAATTTAAAATATTGTATTCCATGAAATGTGAGGTGATCTCACCAGAAACAACCAAAATTAACATTCCTCCACAAGCTCTATCCACCCTCCTACCCGGAAATTGTAATCTTTTTATTCTTGGTGCGTTTGATTGCAGGTGTAGTTATGGAATTTTATGCTTTCGCAGAAGCACGTATTATCCATAAAAGTTCGTTTTATGGGAAGTTTTAGGGTAGGTTTTTTTTTGTTGGTTGTAAGTTTTAGGGTAGGTTTTTGAACTGGCATGGGCATAAAATGTTTTGTGAGCTAATTAAGGATAAAAAGTACTCCTAATTAATCAATTTAAGTAGATTAAAAATGTTAGTTAAATTAGTTAAAATATTATAATTATCTTTTTTAATTTCTTCCATCTCTCTTCTACTTGATTATTGTTGAGAAAATATCACTATAAGTAATTAAAAAAATTGATAAATACCTGAAATATATCTTACATATAGGACCAACATTCTAGAAGAGTATTATTTATCTTTTTTTTAGGACAAAAAGTTATTATTCGTCCCAGCTAACGACTGATTAGTGTAATTCGCTTTTCTTCGTAATTAAAAAAATCTATAGTAAAAAATCGATGAAGTATACCACGAGATGCCATGCCGACATGGGTGAATAAAAGCAAAATTATTTTTTAATAAAAATAGTATTAAATTATCTCAAATAAATTCATTATTCTTAGCCCCAGTTATACATTGTTATATTTAATTTACATTTAAATATGTAATTTTTACATTTTTGAGAAACCAAGCCACCTTAAGGGCTTATTTAGTTTGAGGGGAGGGTAGGGCAGGGAAGGGGAGGAGGGGTTCTATCCTCATCTTGTCTGGTTTGATTAAAAAGGAAGGGAGATGAGGATATTTAATGATCCCTTGTTTGGTTCAAGGAGGGGAGGAGAGAGATAGTAATAATCAATTTACCATTTTATCATTACATATTAGTTTATATTTTTTATTGATATATTATATAAATTAATTTACATCTTAATTTAAATTATATAATTTAATAAAAATTCAGTCTTATTATCTTAATATGTGCATTAAAAAATTGTTACAGTAAATTTTTATTTTAATTAATATAATAATATATTTAAAATAATCAAATTAACAAATTTTATATGCTCTAAGAAAAATGAAATTTTATTCTCTTTAGCCTATTCTTTTTTTTTCATCTTTAAAATATATTTAATAAATAATATATTTATAAAAAGCAATTAATTTTATAATATTATAAGTTTCTATTTAAATAATTTTTTTATAATATATTTTTTAATTATAATAATTTATATTTTTTATTTGAAATAAATATTATAATAATATATTTTATGGGTAGAAGTGAAATATTAAAAAACTATAAGAGTATAATAGTCTAAAAATTTAGCTCCTCTCCAAAAATCCCCAATTTGAAAGGGAGCTAAAATGAGAGAAGGAGGGGAGAGGATATTTTGGCTTCCTTCCCTTCCAAAATTTTTAACTAAATGAGAATAGGGGTTCATTTTTCCTCCCCTCTCCTACCCGACTACCCTTCCCTCCAACCAAACAAACCCTAAATTTCCAGCATCATATATAATTTCTTTTTGATTTTGTTTTTGGGCACAATCTATTTTATTTTCAATAGAGCATAGAGGAAACGGAGCTTCCCTTTTATGCTGGCCCACAGGCCCAGAATATAACTCAAAGGGCCTCTTTTATTTTGGGCCTACTGAGCTGGACTCAAACTTCGACAAGGATGTCCACAATTTTTGCAAGAAAAAAAGGACTGCCATGGGCCGCTGGTTAGGGTTCGATACTCGAACCAAGTCCAGCCACTGTTGAATGTTGGAACTTAAACCCAGTAAACCCCCATATTCTTTCAGAAGCGATTTTGCGTTGTCGGAATCGGATTTCTGTTCTCCGTCTTTCTTTGCATCAGCTCCTGCTCAACAACTCCATCACTCTTGCGGAGTAGGAGACCATGAGCAGCTGGAAAAGTCTTCTTCTACGAATTGGCGATAAATGCCCCGAATATGGAACCTCCGACTTCAAAGACCACATTGTTCGTAAACATAATCTCTCTCTCTCTCTCTCTGTGCCTCTTCTTCTTACGTTTTCTCTTATGAGGAGATACATGCCTTTTGTTTTAATTTCCAGGAAACATGTTTTGGTGCCCTTCGACGAGAGCTAGAGCACTCTGAAAGTGACGTATTGCAAGTAAAGTTCACTCTGTCTGTTCATTTTTTCAACCCCAAATTTGTGTTTTAGATGCATTCTTCGTGGCTACGTTTAATTGTTAGGCGAAAAGTTTAGAATTTTCTTTTCTTTTTCCTTTGATCATTTAGCGAGGTGGTTACTCATGGGCACTGCTGAGATCTTAGAGGTGTATAATTCTTGGAAATTGAAAGTCTTCCTCGTGTTTGAAGAATCTGCTTGGTCACTGGACCTTCTATATATGTTTCCATCCTGCTTTATTTAAGGCTCTGATTTTTTTTTTTGGGATGCATTTAGGACTCTGATCGTAATTGTTAATTTTTATTCATTATCTGTAATCTGTAAATAATCAGGGGCAGTCTTCATGTGACTGACTGTGGGCCTATTTGTTGGCAGTCAATCTAAACAAATTTAACTGAATTATAATATAATTCAAGCACACGATTTTACGAAATATGCTATCAAAAACATGCTAACAAACTCTACCGCGGGATAAGATACCGCTGGCTTAGCCCAAACCAAAGATTTTCATTTGAACCGTAAATAGTTGATATAGATAATTGAACTCTAAATTACCCCAAATTATGACTTACAAATCCTGAATACCAATTAGATCGAGAATTAATACAGGATGCATAGCCTTCTCTCAGATTACGTTGCTGTGACTTCCAGTATTGTTGTAGACAAAGAAACCAACATTCAGTCTGCAAATTTAAACTAATTATTACTTCGTGCTGTGCTTACTTTGAAAATTCATGCCTTGCGATTGGAACTGTAAATAACAATGTGTTGGTTAATTGTACTATTTGTGTCTTTGCCATTTGTTCTGCTGGTTCAAATTCTTCTATTAGAATCTCTTTTTCACGTCTTGACTCCTAAATATGATAACTTGATTAGAACAATAGTATATGAAATATGGCCCCTTTTAATTGCTACATGGTATTTTTCTTCCATCATTTGAATATTTTGGATGATATAGACTTGAATCTTTAATGTCTGCTAGATGAACATATTCAATATCATTAGGCGTTTACTTAAATGTATTAATGCAGTTCCTTCTGGATTGTGCTGAGCAACTTCCTCACAAGATCTCTTTATATGGAACTGTGGTATGGACTCTCTGCCTTTCTCTTTCTCTTGAATTGCTAATGCCTCTCATTAGTTATTTTTACCATGTTGCAATTTATGTTTCTGTGCGACATACATGCATCTGCATGTTTGCAGAAGTATGTTTTGCAGATATGTTTTCTTTTCCCTTATTTTTGTTTTCCTTTTAACCTTAGCTTACTTTGTTCTTGATTTTGATTATCTGCTGCGTCCAACTTTTTTAATTACATCTTGTCTATCCTTTTTTCTTTTTTAAATAAACTTTTCAACGAGCTGCTGTTTGCTGATATCTTATTTCAAAATATTTATTTTATCAAGAAAGTTTTTAAGAAGCTAGAGGCTGGTATAGATGATTACCTGGTCCCACTTTTTGTCCTTTTGTATTGTTCAAATGCAACCTGAATAAACTCTGTCTTGCATATGTTTGCCACTTGTCAGCTTGTAAATTTCAAGGATTTTTCGCATCATAGGTTTTATACAATTGGGCAAACTTATAGCGTTAAGGGCTCCTAAATACCTTGGCACACATACTTATAGCGTTAAGGGCTCCTAAATACCTTGGCACATTGTCTTGCATAAAATATATGAACATGAAGCACGGAATTTTCTGTACTATTAAATTTTAAAAATTAATTTATAATGATTAAGACATATAAAAAATCAAACTCATTAATGAAAAAAGCCTATAACCATCCATAAATCACAAGATCAAGTAGTTGAATCATGATGAAAATAGTCTTGTCTGTGTCCCAATATGTATAAACCAATTCCTTCTCTTTGCCAAAGGCAACATCATGATAATGATCATTATTAAGAAATCCTTCAATTTCTTCACCATCTCCTGGCCTGAGGTTTCCATTTGTTCATAAATCATCTCTGCAGCATGATAAGAGAAGGCTTCTTATATTTATATGGTTAATGAATACAAGATTACACATTATTGATTGTCCAAGGATGGGCTGAACGAATCTCAAGTGATAACCTCTATAAATCACTTATATGGCTGTTTTTGCGTTACTTATATGTAGCTTATATGCAACAGTTCCTATCGCAGAGCTAAAGCTGAGCCATATGAAAGTTGCAAAGTGACTTATGATGCGTAACACTTGGAGCTATTGCATTGAGTTAATTATGTCTTAGTCTGAAGTACTTCTGTTGTTTTTGTACTTGTATTTATATACTGTTAAATAAATGTGTACTATGTTTATTGAATTTTTTATTTTTGAAGTTTTTTCTGGCTTCCTAATTTTACATTTGCTCTCAGATCGGCTTGATTAACTTAGAAAATGAGGACTTTGTAAGGAAACTAGTGGAGAAAACTCAAATTGATTTTCAGGTAATCCATTTAGCCCCTTAATCGAGCTGCTAGATTTTTTTTTACTATTATATTCATGCTTCCTCTTTTACATTGGCTGGCGTTGGCAGGATAGGATTTATTCCGTGTGAATATGTTTTGTGTATTCTGTTTAACATTGACTGGAAATTTCCTGACTTCATGATTAGAAGGGACTTCATGACTAGAAGGGAAATTGCCCGAGTTACTGTGGGTTTGCTGGACTCCAAATAAAAAAATAGTATCTTCCCATTGTACTTAACTAGAGAGACTCATACATGGTTTCTTATTTTGGAAAAGTAAAAGTATTTACTGAGCTGAGTTGATACTGGCTACCTCAAGGCCCATAGAACATCATATGGAGGGAGTGAGTAACTAAGCCACATTATTCACGGTTTGTGAACAATGCAGCTTCCTTAAACTTCTATAAATGTATTCGTGATGTGATTCACTTCTAAGTTGTCTGGCTTTATTGAAAGTAGAACTCTTATACTCTTATTTATACGATAAGCTCTATTTAAGTAGTTTGGTAAATAATTCCTTGTTAGGAAAATCTTGAAAGGAATGAAAAATAAAGCTTTGCCATGCTGTAGGATTGTGTGTGTCAGATGCAAGAAGCCATTCAGAGGATTTTTTTTCTCCTTTGGATGGAAAGATGACATTCAAAGTTTAATTTGATATCTGAGTACCTCTGTACACTCTCTTTTCCTTCACTATATCTTAATTGTTTCTCATCTCATGTTTCTTTTTCCCCTAAAATTAGGATGCCTTAGATTCTGGAAACTGCAACAGGGTTCGCATTTTTCTGCGGCTTATGACTGTCCTGGTACGTGTACTGTTGTTATTTATTGTCAATGAAAGCAGTTTACCCATAATGACATAGTGGTTGTTTTCTAGTATTTTTGTACTATATGGGTAGATACGAATTGCTTTAGGCCTCGTTTGGATTGCCGTTACAGATGGTAAAAGCATACAGGGAAGCGTAAAACTGAGGTTTGTGGCTTATTGTGACTCAGAAGATTGTTTGGATAGGGCTTCTTTTCTAACTGATTTATAAGAAAAAGTAACTTTTTTAACTGACTTATCCAACGCAATCTGGATCAACTTTTCTAACTGACTTATAGGAAAATTGTGCAAAGCTTACAATCTAGGCAGTTATGTGATTCCATTTATTTTAATTAGAGACCAAATGAATTTTAATTTATATTCATGTTTGTCTATTATGTATATTTAATTAATTATTTACAATGTGTTTTCAAATCTTTTTCCGTGACAAATATTTTTATTTTATAATTTTACAAATAAACTATATATATTTTATCACAATAATTTTATGTGTTTTTTTAAACTATTATCACATTAAAAACATAAAATTTCAAACACTATTTCATGTCTTTTCAATCATTTTACAACTAAACTAACTTTTCTATCAATTATCCAAACAACTTTTAACTTTTTCAACTGACTTTTTAAAAGCACCTATCCAAACATAAATCGTATTACACCAACTGACTTTTACTCTAATTTCAGTTACAAAAGTTAGTTGGGTTAGAAGACAGTTTTGCCCAATGCCAATCCAAACATACCCTTAATTATTCACAAATTATATTGTTACAATTCATTCATCATTCTACATCAAATCACTGTCCTGTGTGGAGTATGATTTCCTTGGGCACACTGTTTCACACTTTTCTTTCTTCCCCATGCGACCTCTTCCTTTGATAATTTATTCTCATGTGATTTAATGTATTTTTTGAAAGAAAATTTATGCTTTCCTGTATTCCTTAGATGTGCAGTAAGGTTCTTCAACCAAGTTCTTTGGTGGTTGTCTTTGAAACATTGTTATCATCAGCTGCCACAACAGTCGATGACGAAAAAGGGAATCCCTCCTGGCAACCATGTGCTGACTTTTACATAACTTGCATTTTATCATGTCTCCCGTGGGGTGGAGCAGAACTTGTGGAGGTAATATTTCTATTCTTGGCCCAAAAAAAAAATCATGATTTTTTTGAACTTCAGAAAACTCACACAGGCCAGGATCAAATAGTTGTTTTATATTGTGATCTTATTTTTACATATTTTAATGTGTTTTGATCTGATTTAACTGTTTTTATCTCTATTGAGAAATCTATTTCCCTTTTTGGACCTCACTTTGGGTGGGGAAAAAATTGGAAGGCACAATTTTTTTTTTTTCAAAGGACGGGACCATGTTTTTCATTCTCCTGTGTGGATGAAGAGAACATATGGATAAAGAAAACCATACACGATTCTATTTTCTCGGAAACTATATAATTCTGTTGACACTTTTACCTTGAAAATTATTTGATTGTAGGTTTTGTTATAAATAATTTGTAACCCAAATTTTGAATACATATAAACTAGTTATCCGCCAAACAAACTCCAAGAGTAACATATCAGTGCCCATTTTTTGATATAACGCTTGCTGGCTATATGTTCCCAACTATGCCATGGTTGCAGCTTGCCACTACACAGCAAGATCTGAAGAACACACACAATCTCGCATAGTCAATTGATACCTTGGCTCTGTAGTTGGGCGATTTTGATAGTATTGAATTGAAAGGCAATTATGACATTTAACTAATTTGTGCAGCTGTTTAAGAAGTTCTCTTTCTGTGTGTGGTGTAGAAAAGTTTTAGCTAAGGCTGTGGATACTCTTACATCTTCTTTTGCACGTCTATTTGCAGCAAGTTCCTGAGGAGATTGAGAGAGTAATGGTTGGCATAGAAGCTTATTTGAGCATCAGAAGGCACACTTCTGACACTGGTTTATCCTGTTTTGACAGTAATTATGAAACTGAGAGAAGTCTTGGTGACAAGGTTGGCTTATTCTTAGCTATTAATCGAGATTTATTTATTGACCATATCATCTCGTATTTCCCTTCCATTTTGTATGATTGGAGTCTTACTGTCGGTTCATAATGTACCAAGGAATTGCAGTACTTCCAAGTTTTAAAGTTTATTATACACTTAACCGTTGAAAATTACTTGTTCAAGTGGGAGGCAAAGATTAGGAATTGAAATATGTTAGTGCTAGATGGAAGGTAACATATGCCCAGACTTGAGCTTGCAGAACAAAGTGCTTTCTGTATTAGATTATATAGAATTTGGGGAAAAATGGGGCAGAACTTGAGAGATTTTACTGAAACCTTGATTTACATTTTCTGATGAAACTTTTAGTTAACAAAAAGGTATTTGTTACCCTTTTTAAGTATTTTTTTTCCTTTTCAATTTCCATACTTGAGTTTTTTAGGGTCATTTCTTGTCTAAATGTCTTGATAGATTCTCACTTCTGGTTTATTATTGTTCTATGCCTTAGCACTCTCTTCTTGGTCAGAACCTAATTTGTTGGGATGGGTCTACTCCGTGTCTGAAAAAGTGTAATATTCTAACTACTGTAGATGTGCTCTTAAATTAGAATGGAAGGGTCCACTTTCTGAAGTCAATGCTGTAGTAGGCAGTTTTTTAGGGGTAGATATGCCTTGGGCATTGACTATTCAAATTTTTATATCAATGATTTCTTGTTCTCTTTTTAGGGAAAGATGTGATATTGTCGACTTTGTTGAGGCCCAAAAGCAAATATTACTGTATTTTATGTTAATATCTTGATTCTTCGACCTAAAATTTGTTATATAGGCTTTACAAGCGTTTATATTTCTAATCTTCTCAAGGCAATTATGCAGGACTTCTTGGAAGATTTATGGGATAGAGTACAATCTTTATCTAACAATGGATGGAAAGTTGACAGCGGTAATCTTCTTGGAGAAAATAGATTAGAGATGCTATCTTTGCTGTTGAACTACATGAGAAAAAGCCATTATTGTTTTTGCTGATATATAGGTCGCATCTAAGTTTTGCCCTTTATTTTATGGATCCACACTGTCACTATAGATATGTTTTGAATGATTTGATAAGGTTTAGCTAATCAAACTTAACTATTTCTTAAATTATCTATAGAATTTTATGAAGCTATGAAAAAGTAACTCAAGATTTGCTGCTCATTGGATTCTTATCTTCAAATCTTGGTTCCATTTAAAAGTTGATGCGTGCTCACGAACCTGGATTACATATTTGGAACAGACAATTGATGCTTGGATACCCTCTAATAGAGTTCATAGCACTTATGTTTTATTAGAACCTCTGACAGGTTTGATTATCATAAATTCGGTGGAGGGTTTGGTTGGATTGAAGGACTCCCAGTCTCCCCTAAAGGGCCGCATGTATTGATAGATATCCTTCCTAGTACTTATTTCTGGGGATGCAGGAAAATGGGTTATCACTTGGGTCCCCCCCCCCCCCCCCGGGCGGGGTCTTATTGGCATTTCACCATCTAAGTAGATGCCTATTTTCAAGCCCTAAAGGGCAGCATGTATTGATAGATATCCTTCCTAGTACTTATTTCTGGGGATGCAGGAAAATGGGTTATCACTTGGGTCCCCCCCCCCCGGGGTCTTGTTGGCATTTTACCATCTAAGTAGATGCCTATTTTCAAGTTTTGCTTTCTTACTGTTTCACATTTTTCTTTTTGATTGTAACTCTCACTATGGTAATGTGAAGCAAGTATGACCAAATTATGTCTTTCATACTTTGCACCAGCAAGTTGGAAAGTGTGTCAGGTAGGAAAATATAATTGGGGGCTTATAATGCGTAATGAGTGACGCTATGTAGCATTGTTATTTTTGATTCCCTCATTTGGTTATACTTAATGATTTATCACTTTTGATCACCTTGACTTTCCTTGTCCGGTTTAGAGTTTGATTTCATGTAATGTTTCTGTTGCCAGTTCCAAGGCCTCATCTTCCATTTGAAGCCCAGCTGGTTGCTGGAAAGTCCCATGAATTGGGACCGATAAGCTGCCCAGACATACCGAACCCACCTCCAATCCCTTCTGGCGTAGCTTATGGTAAACAAAAGCATGAAGCTGAATTAAAATATCCTCAAAGAATACGACGGCTTAACATATTTCCTCCTAGTAAAACTGAGGTCTGTTTGCCATAGTAAACAAAGTTTATCAGCTTATACGTATATTGCATTTTGTTCATAAGCTAGCTCTTGAGGTTTTAATAATATGGATTTCCAAATTTGCCGAAATCATTTATGTAGATTCAATGGGAAAACTAACTAAATCTTATGGGTGGCAGGATCTACAGCCGATAGATCGATTTGTTATGGAAGAGTATCTCCTAGATGTGCTTCTGTTCTTCAATGGCTGGTTTGTACTTGCTATCTTTTATTTGATCAATTTTGTTGCCTGTGCTCTATTATTATGCTTCACCTAAGTCTACAACCACTTGTTTTTATGTGTTTCTCAGCATAATGGTATTTAGTAAATAAATCATTTGATATCTTGGAGTTGATAAATCACAGATCTTAGCTAAAACAGGCATAGTTTTGTTCATTTTGCCGTTTGGGAGAGTATAGATCTGCTCTCCAGCTTGTGATGACTGATGAGCCTCTGACAGTTTATGCAAGTTAGGTTGTTGATGGTTATTATTGACCATGTTGTGGATATATTAGTTTTTTGTGCGATGCTCTGCTGATGGTCCTTTTATGGCAGCCTGGGCATCAGAGCTTTGCTACACCTTTGAGTTTGTTTGTCGTAATTAAAAGTTACATTTTCACTATCTTTGCAATTTAGCATATCTATTCTTGTTGGAGCAAAAAAAATAAAAATAGTATATCTATTCTTCATCCAAAAAATAAAATCGAGCAGGTGACTTCAATTGTTAAGCATTGTAATGGCGGTGTAAGGACTAGTGTTTTACTTTTGTTTGACTAAAGTTTAACTGTCCTCATATTTGGGTTCATGCAAAGCTAGTCGAAAGGAATGTGCTTCTTTCATGGCTGGCCTGCCAGTGCCCTTCAGATATGAGTATCTTATGGCAGAGACAATTCTCTCTCAGGTATGACACTGTCAATTAAAAATTTTCTTCTATATACGTGTTCCGATGCAGATACTCTAAACCTTAGCATTGCAAAATTATCTGTTGAGGTTTCCTAATTATACTACTTCTGAAAGATGATTTGAGTAACATCTAATGTTTATGGAATCATAAAATGAAATCATTTCCACCTGTTCTTGATAGCTGATGTTTTAGTAGGAAGAGAATGAAATCACTTATTCAACAGTCAATTAACCATCCTCAACATAATGAATTACTCTGCCTTAGAACTTCAACATGCTTTTCAATGATATTTGTTTTTCTTGCAGTTGCTGATGCTACCCCAGCCCCCTTTCAAGCCAATATATTACACACTGGTCATTATTGACTTATGTAAGGTACTATTAAACTGACTCAATCATGCTTGCTTCTTTCTTTAGTTGCTGAGTGATTATTGTTTGCCCTGATAAGCGTTTTTTTAATGGATGTTTGACTTTTATCTCTGCTTCAATGCTTTATAATCACATGGCTACACCAAAAGGCTCTTCCTGGAGCTTTCCCTGCAGTTGTAGCTGGAGCAGTTCGTGCTCTGTTTGAGAAGATTGCTGATTTGGACATGGAGTGTCGGATCCGCCTCATTCTTTGGTTCTCTCACCATTTGTGAGTTTGAAATCTTTAAATCAATTTGGGTAATTATGTATCTTGGTCCAACATTCAAGATGATATGACTTTTTTCATGAGTTTGTTGAGTCTATTTGTTGAATAAGGAATGCAAAATTTGAGGAGTAATTGGTTTGATATATTTCTGGTAGTCCACATTATTTGGCGCTGTTTAGCAAATGGTGGAGGATTTTGCTCTAGCATTTTGATCAAGTTAAAATGGGTCTTGAGGAAAAAATAATCTGTTGTCATGTTAATATGCAAGTTCATATAGACTAAGTGAACTCTTAGTCCTTTAACTTTAGACAAGATTTTAATTTAGTCTCTTGACTTTAAAAAGTATATTTTTGGTTTTTTAATCTTAGAATCATTAACAAAAAATGATATTGAAACCTTGAATGTTGATCAAACATTCTCAAATACTAACATATTTATTTTCAAAAGAACCATGTTTGTTCCAAAAAATCATCATTTAAGACTAACAGTTTTAGGATTAAGAGATTGAAAATACACTTTTTAAAGTTAAGGGACTAAACTGAAATCTAAGTTAGAGGACCAAATATTTTACCTCTATATATTTATTTGTATGGGTTGTTTGATGGTACATCGCTGGAAAATTATTAGCCCATCACTTGCTAGTAGGTCATTGATGCAATCTAAGTGCTGGTCTTGCCACTGGGAAACCACGACATGCCAGCTATTTTTTCTGCCTGTCTTTAGAAACAAACTTATGTTTTGTTTTCCACAAATTAGTGTTAAAAACTTACCCTTGAAGTAGACTTATTGAATGAGGAGCAGTGCCATCTGGTTACTCTTTTTTCTTTACAATCTTCCCCCCTTTGCAAATAGGCTTAACAATTTACTTATATAAATAGTAAGACGGGAAACATTAACATTAAGTATTAACTTTTGATTTCATTGATGGTTTCTGTTATGCAGATCAAACTTTCAGTTCATATGGCCGTGGGAAGAGTGGGCTTACGTCCTAGACCTCCCTAAGTGGGCTCCACAACGTGTGTTTGTTCAGGAAGTTTTGGATAGAGAAGTTAGGCTGTCTTATTGGGACAAAGTTAAGCAGGTACAGCAATGTAGCTGGGTTATACCGTGTTCTGGTTTTGCCTCAAACTAAAAGAAAATGGTAACTAATACAAGTATCGCAATATTAAGTCTGGATGTCCATAACCTTGCAAGAGTTTTTTGGGTCAAATAACCTTCCAAGAATTGTCTTCTGAAAATCTACACTTAGAGCTATGTAACCTACAACATGAATGGCTTCTTGGGAGTTTTACATGATCAATACACATAACCTCCAACTGTTATATCCTGCAATTATGTAGATTTTTTCTTTTGTTGTAACTCTTGAAATAGAATTTAAGGACTTGTGGCCTAAGAAATAGTGGACTGGTATCAAGTGATTGTAAGCTTGAAATGAATGAGAATCACTCCCTATTTTTTTCTCCAATTTTCTATTATCTTCTCCATCTCCCTCATCTCAATCTCTTGTGTTCTCCTTATTTTCTTAACAGTAACATTGTTTTATGTTCTTGTTGACCGTGTGCTCTCTTTCTATCTTATCAATTAATTGAATTTCTTTATTAATAGTTGGAAATTTTGGAGTTTATGATATATTTTCTTTTATGGTATTTTGCATAGAGCATTGAGAATGCACCTGGCTTAGAAGAGTTGCTTCCTCCAAAGGGTGGACCAAACTTCAAATATGGTGCGGAAGATGATAAAGAGAACACTGAACATGTACTTTCTGGAGAACTGAACAACATGGTTAAAGGGAGGGTGCCTATCCGTGAAATGATTGCATGGATTGATGAACATGTTCTCCCCAATAATGGCCTAGAAGTTACCCTCAGAGTGACCGTACAAACTCTTCTAAATATTGGATCCAAGAGCTTCACTCATTTAATAACAGTCTTAGAGAGATATGGACAAGTCATTGCAAAAGTGTGTCCTGATCAGGATAAACAAGTCATGTTGATAGCTGAAGTGAGCTCTCTCTGGAAGAGCAATACTCAAATGACTGCTATAGCAATTGACAGGATGATGGGTTATAGGCTTGTATCAAATTTAGCCATTGTCAGATGGGTCTTCTCTCAAGAAAATATTGAGCAATTTCATACCTCAGATCGTCCATGGGAGGTATTCTCAATAATTTGACACAGATGATATTTCTTCTATGCTTTTTCCTATTGATTTTCTTTCTTTTAGCTTTTAAACTATAATTTGACATGATTGGCTTTAGACGTCTTTTTTTTTTTTTAAAACATTAGAATGCCAGAGACTTGGCATTTTGTTATAGCTGGCATTATTATCACTGTAGACAGATCAGAATATCTTTTTGTATCTTGGTTACATTTGGTCTATATCATGCATGCCTCATACTATGGTTTAATAACCCCTCCTCCCTTTTTGTTTTGCCACTTACAGATTCTTCGAAATGCAGTAAGCAAGACATTTAACCGTATTTCTGATCTAAGGAAAGAGATATTATCTGTTAAGAAGAGTATCGCTCCAGCTGAAGAAGCTGCCAAGGAGGCAAAAGCAGAGTTAGATGCTGCAGAGTCAAAACTTACCCTAGTAGATGGTGAACCAGTTCTTGGTGAAAATCCTGTGCGGGTGAACCGATTGAAATCTCGAGCTGAGAAAGCAAAGGAGGAAGTGGTGTCCCTTCAAGAATCTTTAGAAGCTAAGGAAGCTCTTCTTGCCCGGGCAGCTGATGAAAATGAGGTAGATTATGAAATGCTATAATACTTATTTTGTGCTTTGTCTAATCCTACATAATATCCTGACTTGATTACCTTTCATTTGCTTTTCTGTTTCTCCTTGTATTTTCTTGACATTTGCTGTTCACATGCACAGGCATTATTTCTCTCATTGTACAAAAGCTTTTCGAATGTGTTGATGGAGCGTCTTCCGGAAGCATCAGCAGCTCGAACACTTAATGAATTAAAGTCTATGCATGTTGATGAGATGGCTGTTGACCCTGAAGAGAAATCAGCTATGGACTTGGACAATGAAAATCAGGCACATCAAACGAGGTTTCAGCACCTCCATGAAATAATAGCTCAATTCTTCTTTATGTGAAATATCTGGATGATAATATGGCAATTCGGATATCTTATTTTTAATTATCTTTTCTACAGTCAGTCGAATGGTGGGAGGACAAAGAATGCTTATAATGTTGGTGAGAAAGAGCAGTGGTGTATCACCACTTTAGGATATGTAAAGGCCTTTTCTAGGCAGTATGCTGCTGAGGTATTGCGCAATTTCCAGTTCTGATGTCTGACTGAGCTTTGTAGTATTGAACAGCCTGCTATCTTTTGATGTTGCTGCTGCGCGTTTGTCTGTTTCTTGGCGTGCCATGATTTATGACTCTCACTCCCGAAATAATATTTCTGAGCCTTGCGTGTTCTGTGGAAAATGCATTAAAGCATATCAGTTTTTAATTCATTTGTAATCGTGCATTTGTAGTAACGTGGTATTTTTATTCCTTTAATAAGAATGGATATCATTGTTAGCAGATACTACTAATTTGCTTATTGCGCTGCTGTATAGTTGTCAGTTGACATCTTGTCTGACAATGTGGTTTTTGTTGGCAGATATGGCCCCATATTGAAAAGTTGGATGCCGCGGTATTGACAGAAGATGCGCACCCTCTTTTTCAGGAAGCCGTCTATTCTGGTCTTCGAAGACCAACTAACGAGGCTTAATCTATTTTTCATTTTCCCTGTTTTTCACTATTTTTTTTATAAAAATAATCCATTTAGGTTGATGGGTTAGGATCCTCACTCTAGTGATAGAAAGGGTTAAGTCTGTATCCTGTTGTAATATAAAAGACTAGCATTTCTTGGTAGATGAGTAGTAGCGGTTCAATGCTGAATGAGACTTGACCATTGCGGGTTAATATGTTTTCTTTCTATCTTGGCCGTCTTGCCTTGGAAGTTTAAGCACGCATACTCTCTGGAGCCTGATAAGGCACGTAATGGAAGGGCTGCTTCGTAGATTTTATACCATTTGCCATCTTGTTGATGTACGTGATGAATACGCATATTGAGTCGACTAGGCTATTCCATTCTGTGTGCTGTGTGAATTTTTTACTACTCCTCCGGTCTTTAATATAAGATTTAATTGTTGAGTTGGTTTTGGTTTTAAATATAAAATTTATTTATCATATTTATCAATTTTTTTAAAATTATCCTTATAGATACTCTCTCAATCATAATCAAGTAGAAGAAGGAGAGATGGATTAAAGAAGATGATTATGGTATTTTAGAAAAAACGTGTCACATTTCTTATAATTAACTGACTTATTTAATTTTTTTAATCTAATCAAATTAGTTAAATGGATCTTATATTAAGAATTAGAGTATTTTGATTAGACACGTGATTGTGAACATGTTATGTGTAAATTTTCTTTATTCTTACATTTTGTATATTATGGGTTTGTCACATTGAAAGTTTATTGTACTGTTGCGACCATTGCCGGAGGGTAATATTATGCGAGTTCCTGTCTTCCACCAACGACGTAAATTGATGGGTTTAGGCAGTGTAAATTTTGGAAGTTCCCCCTAGGTATGCTCTTGCCTTCGGATGTTGATTGTCGTCAATGTTCCTCGAACGGAAGCCATGCTGCCTTATGTCGTACAAATCCTCAGATGTTCACTTCTTTCTTCATTGTTCAATTCAAGCCCAGAGAGAGTCACAAGTTGAAAGGCATTGTTTACCCCAATTCAACGCATGAACTCGCATGGTCGTGCATTTAATTTTACATCTTGAAGTCTAACCTATTTTCTCTCCTGTTGTAAAACTCATGAGCAGCGGAATGTCTTTAACGGCTAAACAAGCTTTTAGTACTAGCAGTGTAGTAGAACCGTAGGGCACAATTGTCAAAGCAATAATTGTGTTGGAAAATGAACGTTCAAAAGATCTTCCATTACGCGTGGGCCGCTTTTAGATTATTACACTTGATTTTTTTTTTTTAATGCTTTGGTTACTCGACCTTTGTTTTGTTTTGCTGAGGTTAATAACTTGCAATGCTACATGCATAAACTGTAACAGCCTTCCTACACACATTTACTATGAAAAAGTGAGGTACCTAAAATCTAAATAGAAAAGATATGGGAAAATACGCAAGCATGACGCATGTTGTACGTTTCTAAACATTACTAATTCAGGATACAATCAATTATTTCAAGATGTTTTTCTTTTCGAACTGACAATTATGCTTGAGATATTTGAAGGCCTTCAACTGGCACTGCACTGTTGAATTATTCCCGTTATAGCGTAGTTCTCGTCTGCCTGATTCTTTCGAAGTGCCTCTGTTCTTTTCATCTTTTCTGTTTTATCGTTTTACCTGCACTGACTTTTCTTTTTGCCAACTTTTACCTGTACTGACCTCGAAGTTTGCCGTAAATTATTATTATAATACATGCATGCCACACATATCAATGTACTAATTTGTGTTTATATTTAAATTCTCTTAAAATTGGAAGTTGTAGCAGATGGATCGAGACAATGGAAGGGGGTGATCGAAAACTCTCTAACTCGTAACGAACTGGAACAAATCGAAGCGGCTTGTCATTAATAGCTATTTATGTTCATTAGAAGTTTCCGAGACGATTCTGAGATATTTTCTCTGATGTGAATGTACCTTGCTATTCTGGGGCTCTTCGGAACTGTAACTTCCAACCAGACGTTACAATGTCGTGAATGGGCGTACAATAATAATATTCATCTTGAGAATAGTGCGTGGTACGATATGAAGCATTACCTGGGTTTAATTCTCATAATTGTTGGGGCTGGTATTCTTTTACCAAGTACTACTCATAAAACATCAAGAATATAATACAACATAATATAATATGTGCTGCAGTCTTCTCCGCTTATAGCTGTGTAACCTGCAATATAATCTTGCTTCATCCAAGTTAACCCGAACAAAGAGACGGAAAGTAATTGGCTAAGGCCGAAGCTTGAATTCGAAATGAAAAGTATTGTCGATGGAACGGAACAGCTAAAGTTGTATGGCAGTGACCTAAAGATTGCGAGAAAGGTGATAATGCTGAAGCATTTACTCTCTCTCTCCCTCACACACACGCACACACTTAAAAGATGAATACTTTCTTACCAAGAAAATCTGATGAACTTTTTTATGGAAGATCATGTAATATGTAATTTAGGTTCCTTCAATTTAAGAAAGGCAAAATTTTGCAATTTGTTACGTCGTGATGATTGGCGTTTTTGAGTTCTTTAAGGGTAATCTAGATCCAGTAATTGGAAGGCAGCAAGAAATAGAGAAAGTTCTACAAATACTGTGCAAAAAGAAGAAAAACAATCCCTGCCTCGTTGGGGATCCGGGTCAGGAAAGACAGTTATTATAGAAGGACTTGCACAGTGCCTCTCAAATGCTACTGTTCCATTAAAACCCCAAGGGAAGCTGGTAATCATAATTACATGCTCATCAAGAATTTATTTATGTTTGAAAAGTCTACAGTAGAATGATATATACTGTGTTTGATTATGAACATGATATAGGTGTTTGCCCTTGATATGGCACATGTCATCACTGCCTGTTCATCGAACCCAGGGGAGCACTTGAATGACATAATGACACGGATCGTGGAGGAAGTTAAAGAGAGCGATGGAGAAATTATTCTCTTCATTGATGATATTCCAGCAGTACTGAGAGCTGTGTCTATTGGTGAAGCCCTTGATGGATCTGACGCTATAAAACTTTTCCTGGCTAGAGGAGAAATTAAGGTTGCATTTTCATATACTACCTCCGGTCCTATCTACAGGACCTCATCTGTAGACTACAAACGAGATCTTATAATTAGGACCGAAAGTAGTATTGTCTAATATAATCTACTCTAATAGTGATCCCCTGAAGATTAAGTTGAACTGATTGAACTGAATGAATGACAGTGCGTGGCAACAGCCACCCCAGATGAATACAGCAAGTACATAGAGAAGGATTCGTCTTTGAGGAGTCGTTTCCAAGCCGTTAATGTGCCTGAATCAACAGTAGATGAAACTATAGAGATTTTGAAAGGATTAAGCAGCAAATATGAGCAATATCACGGTGTTACGTATGAACACAATGCTTTGGTTGCTGCCGCTCGATTGTCCATGAAATATTCAAGGTTAAAACGCAGAGCTAAACGATTCTTTTAATCTTTTGTTCTTATTACTGGTTAATTATCGGATTGCCATATACTTTAGTTGGGTTTTTTCCCCTGATTTAGCGACTGCGTCCTGCCTGGCAAGGCGGTAGACCTAATTGATGAGGCGGGTTCCAGAGCTAAACTTCACAATCAAATGTTGGTAACAGAGAACGACATGAAACAAGTTCTGTCAATGAGGACAGTAAAAACTTTCCCTCAAAACATGAACATGCCCACTGCGAGGATCTATTCCAAGGCTAACCCAAATTACTGCATTACCATTCGTGACGGCAAGGTCATTCTGGCCCGATCCGATCCTGCAGATGAATATCAGGTTTTATTTTCCTCCTTTTATCATAAGAATTTAGCGCTGTTAGCTTATATTGGACAAAGCTGCTGCTTCTTTTTTTCTAAATTGCAGTTAGACCTTCTTGTTCATGGCCAAGCCTACCTGTTATTTATTGCAGCATTGGTACAAGTACGTGAGTTCATGGACGAAGGATGAACTTGGATCTGCGTTTTCTTTGGTGAACAAAGCTTCTGGTGAGGCCGTGGAGAATTCAATGGGTCACACTCGTCCAGTAAGTGTAACCAAAAGTGATCAATAATTGATATATGCAACATGTGCTTTAGGCACTGAAGGCTTTCATGATTACGTTGTGTACAGGTGGGGCTCATACCTTTCAACCCCGATTATAATGGCGTCCCTGTTCTGTGGGTTGAGGGCGAAGATAGAAGCGATGGTTACAGAACTATGAGAATGGTTAATAACACTGATACTTGTTTGGATGCCTATCAAGGTGTTCCGGAATATGGGGGTGTGCATGATGGAACGATTGTAGGGCTCTGGGAATGGAATGGGGGTGATAATCAGCATTGGAAGATCGTACCCTGCTAATAGCAGTGTTGGGACAACTTTTAAGATACCATTAATTAATGTTTTAAGATGATTCCAAATGGCATGTATGTACGTACTATTCTCTGTTTTTTTGTGCTTTAACTGTGATGTGATGAACAAACTCTATTATCATAGAAATTATAGAATGTGGTTCGTTGCAGTATATGTTTTATTCAATTTTTTAGGATCATGCACTGGGCAACAAATTCTGAAATAAGGAGAATAAGCTGATCATATTTTAATTTGAAGGAGGTGAAAAATTAGAAAGTTATTTACAATTTTTAAAATGCATAAGGGCAACTCGTTGCAAGATAAAGGTTGTTGCTTGGAGTTTTTGGAGTTTTTCTTTTCTTTTGTTTTTTTCTCTAAGTGGCAAGTGGCAAGTGGCAACTGTCCACTTCGCAAGTGAGTATGAGGGCAGCCATTTTGTGAGGTATTGGATCAGATCTTGCTGGAAAAGGAAAAAGGTACATTAAGTGGCTTGTTGATATAAAGGTGAACGACTTGCATTTTTTTTTTTTTGGCAAATGAGCAAACGCCATTTATTTGTCATTTTTGCCTTATAGAAATTAAATATCGCAAGACAATATTGGTCCATAAAAAAAAAGGAGGCAGCGGGACCATATCTCGCTAAAACATCGGTGTCTCATCTTCGTTCGCAGCATGCATCCCCTTGCGGAGATACGCAGATTCTGATTTCTTCTCTTGGTGATCAAGTCCCGAATTAATGAAAATTCACCACAAGAAGACATTGGAAAAGAACTTTGTTTACCTTTCTCATTCTGCAGCGAAACCCCACTTCTTATCTCCAATCATTGTGCCAATAACGTCCCGAGTCGGTTTCAAATTTCTCATTTTCGCGGTGGATCTTATCTTCGTCCCTTTCGTTGAGTTCACCTTCTATTTCAAATGTGATTCTTCAGGATTTGCAATTTTGAAGAGATAAAGTTAGCTCTCTCTGCCTGTACAATGCCTTGCATTCCGAAGCTTAACATTATATATTTTGTCTTTCATTAGTTATCGGTTAGTTCATTGAATTAGCTGAATGGGTTCGAACCAATCGGGGCAAGTGATCGAAGGGAGCGACGAGGAAGATGAAGAAGAAGAAGATGAAGGAAACATCGACGATGAGAGGAGTAGGTCTGGATCGGATTCTCATTTGTTGAAAAGGGTTTTGGAGCAAGAGCCGGAGATGCTACCGTTGCATTCATCAGCGTTGCCGCTCTCTCCACAGCCTTCTTCCCTGGGAACGCCGCGGCATTGGCCCGCCATCAAGATGTGGGATCCTTACAATGTCCTGGCTCCTCCGCCGTGGCCGTTGTTCTCAAGGAGCTTCTCTGCGAACGCGTTGTACGATGATCGGACGGTGACGGAGGTGTTTCTGATCAGCCATGGGGAGTGCGAATTAAATTTGAGGCCGGATTTGATATGGGGTCGTTGCCCAGAAGCGGCTTTAACGCTAAATGGGAAGCGACAAGCGAGGGCTATGGCCGTGTTTTTGAAGTCTCAAGGTATTCTGTTCAATGCTGTGTATTCGTCGCCATTGGATCGGGCACGCTTAACGGCTGTCGCTGTCTGCAAGGTACTTCACATTTTGCCTACGCTCAGTTTGGTAATTATTTTGAAGCTCTTTCGAAAAGCAGTTAAGAGGCCCACAACATGATGAAGTCTAGAATAAAGCTCCAAGGAGTTTGGATAACGCCTAGTGATAAGCCTGTGATCACTGTTAGATGATTTAATATGTTGGAGTTTGAATGCGAGAAAATGACACTAAATTGATAATTATGGATATACTCAGGATAGAGAATTATTCATCACCATCCTTGAATGGTCTTAAATATAGACAGCATCTTAGCTGACGGTTATAGCTTCCTGAACATTGAACGTGCCAGTTATTTATTACATTAACATGATGATTTGGTTCCTTTAAACATTTTTAACGCGAACAGGATTGGCATCTTCTTATTTGTAACTGTATGCGAAGATACCATGTTCATTCTATAATAAGGGTGGTGATAATGGGTGCGCTGACCTTCAAGACCCCGGGGCGAAGTGGTCTTTTGAGAATTTCTCTTGTGATGCTTGCTGGTCTTCACTTTTGTTACATGTTGCAACAAAAATTGAAGCTCCAATCTCGTGTCAATATATTTTTAATCCTTAGGTTTTGGAGGTTCTGACTTAATGAATAGTAGGCATAATTGTTCACGAGGGAAAATTAACTGAAACTCCTACTTGATGCCTGCGATACTTGGATAAGTATGCCAATTCTTAAGTTTATTTTTAAAAGCCATGTTGAATACTCGCAATCTAAGAACTGTTGTTAGGCAAGTCTGCGGCAGAAGAGACGGAACACTTTTGTCAAATTAGGGGCCTGTATGGAAAAGATTAGCCAAAGTTACAACTCTTGACTCTTGCTGTTGTTTTGTGCTGATTGATCACTTGGTTGAATACATCATACAAGTTGATGTCCTTTTAAGAAGTCTGGATAATGTCTCCAAGAAAAGTAAATTAAAAAAAGAAGGCCGTATAAAGGTGGAAATATTAAAAACTTAAAGATATATATTTTTTGTGTTCAAGGTTAAGCACTGAATAAAGTTGGCTAGAAAGTGTGGTTGAATGCATTGAATGACTTTGACCCACGGGGAAATAAAATAGCCATAAAAGAAATGCACTTGAATCTTGTAATGAATGTCAAGAAGGAAATTTTGCTTCGTAGCCATGTTCTACTCAAGAACAAGGGGTGCATATTTGACTTTGACATGCTAGTTTAGTGACACATGCGACATGACTGTGTTGTAGATTATATGATGGTTTTACTCTGAATTTACGAACCTTTAGAACTCTCATTCTGAGAGATGCAACAATGGTTTTGAGAAAAGGACATGTTCTCTAACGGAATCTAGTGGTCGAATTCTCATCCTCTATAGCTTCAATTGACAGGAAGTTAATTTTTCAGAGGAACAGATTCAATCCTCAGACGCAATTGCAGATATGAGTCAAGGGAGTTGGGAGGGTTGCCTTTGCTCAGAAATATACACACCTGAAATTCTGAGTATCATTGACAGGTTTCAGCCAGATTTTACCGCCCCATCTGGGGAGTCACTTAGACAAGTGGAATTCCGAATGATTCACTTCTTAAATGAAACTGTATATGGACTTTCTGAGAGATTGAGATCAGATTTCTCCTCTCATCAAAATGAGAACCAGGCATTTGCGCAGCACAGTTCCCAAATTACGGGTAACCCAATCGATCAACAAGATGAAACTTCTCTCCATCCAAACCAATTGGATTCAGTCAAAGGTCATAGACTGGCACCCTTGAGGAAAAAATCTGGTAAGAGTAGGCTACAGGTTGTGACAACCACCGGAGATGAGATTGAAGATGAACTTTCTCCCTGTGAAGTCAACCGCCAGAACTTCCTGCGGAATTTGAGTTTCAGCAGCCATTCGGCGTCTGTTTCCTGTATAGGTGTTTTTAGTCATTCTGTGCCCATCAAGTGTCTTCTGACTGGACTTCTTGGATGCAGCCCACTGATGTCGCACATGATATGCATAGATGATTCTTCAGTGACGGTATTGCAGCATTCTTTGAGAACCGGTTGGCAGATAAAGAGGCTGAATGATACAGCACATCTTAGGCTTCTCTAATCACTAAAGCTATATACTCACAGAAATTCGAGTTTAGCACTGGTTGGATTAAAAATTTTAGCTTGCCTGGTGCTATCTACCAATTCGCATGAATTGGTCCATTGCAATCATTTATACTTGCCGCAGTCGACTCCGAGTGAGAGATCAGGACGTAGTTAGATTGTTGTATCAATTCTTTTGACTTTTATCTCAACTGGTGGTATCACGCCTATGTATTTTATGTACTTAAAGGGGTAATATTGTTTGAAATTGAGAAATGAGAAATTCAAGAGCCTGGAAGATACGCAATTTTTTTTTTTGGAAAAATATTCTCAACGCCAGATAAGACAACTATTAGACCTCGTTCCTAATTGGATTTCTCAAATGCATTGCGAATGGGACAATAGGCGAGGGGTGTTTGTAAGGCAGTCAAGCTTATCTGCATGAAGCTCTTAGGCCGTGTAAAATTATCAGCAGGTGCCAGGACGTCTCCGATATTACCTTAATTAAGATGAAGTTTTGAAAATAGAATGGGTTAATACGCACGTTTATAATTTGATTAAATTTTGATTTTGTGATTTCATTACTTTTTGGTTTGAATTTAATGAATGGTAGCTAGGTTTTTAATGAATTTTGATTTACTCCTTATATGTAAATTCAAACCAAATTTTTAGAAAACAATAGGAACCAAAATTACAGATTTATAGGGTGTTTGGGTAAAAACAAAACTATAGTTTCAAAAATATTTTTTACAATATACGAAATAAATATGTAGAGAAATTTATCTTGATTTGTGAAAAAATACTTATGAAAAGTGATTTTGGAGTTATTTAAACACTCCTTAAGAGGTGTTTAGTAACCCTCAAAAGTATTTTTTAGAAGTACTTTTTCGACAAACTCTTCTATATATTTACTTCGTAAACCGTAAAAATACTTTTAAAATTATGATTTGGTTTCTATCCCACCATCTGCTTAAGTCCAGGACCATCAATGATGTGTGTGTGTCACTGTTTGTTCTGCGCACAAGCAGTCATGGAACATGCACAAGATTTCTGTCGTACAAATATCTACGCAAAGAGACAACAGAAACACTATGACTCCAGCAAGACCCGTGATCCTCAGCACTGACACATAAAAACTGTCTCAGGTATACTTGGGTGCCGCAGTTACCGCTTATCCCCAAGAAACCCACATTCCCCGATCCTTTCTCTATTTGCTTCCTTCCAAGTTCAGCTCAGGTTCTCAGGAGTTCATGGCTACCACCATTAAGTTATCTGCCTCTGCCTTTCTGATTCTCTTGTTAGCCAATTCACTGGCTCTGAGTTCAACTACTAAGCCTAGGATTTCAGCTTCTCCAGTAGTTTTACCATACGCCGCCGCGCCAGAGGCCTCTTCGTTCTTCCCCATTCCGACGGCAGATCGACCTTTGAGCTCGACAGGCCAGGCAGATTCATCGGCGGTATTGGCGCCAAGTTCCGGTGAATTTCTCGGTAAGAAGAGTTCTGGTTCAACTAGGTTGGATTCTGAAGCTGCCATTGTTGGGCTCCTGCTCTGTAATCTCTTGGTAACAAGCTTACTTGCGGCTTGAGGCTCTCCTTATTTAGGGGAGGTTCTGGTTTCCACCTACTAATTTCCCTTCAATTTTAATCCATGTTTAGTGAGATGCCTGCTTAATTACGTGATGAAACAGCTTGTCCCATGTCCTAACCTTTGCATCGGTAATTTGAATAATATCTCTTGCTATGAAAAGATCATACAGTTGAATTGCTTTCCTTTTCAATTTGTGAAGATTCTCGGAGACTGTTCCTTTGATGAATCAATGTGATTTAACGCCGAAATAAAACCTTACGGCCCAGAGACTGTTCATAGTGATAGCGGTGGCTTCATTTGAATATACTCGATGTGCAATTAGTAACCCTCTATGGGTTTAAGAATTCAGATAACTGGTCATCACGCTACCGAAGAGAAAGGCCGGCCCGGCCCCTGACCACGGCTCCTTGATGTTTTCAAGACATAGAGCGCGAATTACGAAAGAGAAGGAAGAATAAAGCGCTTAAGCGTCTGGAACTATTGCCATTGACCTTTGATATATTAACGGATAAACCCTCGTGGTTGCTGGCGAGAGAATACGTCAGACTTCTCTTCAAAGAAGGTTACGCTACTTGACTAGTTGACTTGCTAATTAAAATTGTGTATAACAATATTTAAAATTTTACGCGATGAAATAAATTTGATAGATGTTCTTGCCAGCCACTATTTATTGATTAAATTTAAAGAATTGTTTGAGTAATTGAAGTTTGAATCTAACCATTTGATACATTTGATCTTATTCTGGGATTAAATTACTATAATAATAATTTTTTATTATTATTTTTCTTTCTTAATGAATAAAAACAATTCAGTTGTTCATGAGTAGAATTGTTAAGTTGCACTTGATATAAATCATAACTACTGCACCTAATTTATAAGATGTCATACCATGCATCAAATGAACCTCTAGTTTTTCTTTTCTTTTATCAGAGTTTATATCGAGTACCTACGACATTCGACCAAAAAAAATATAAGAGAGCATTAACTTTTGTGAGTGATTTGCTGTTTTGTTAACCAAAGCGGCTTGCTTGGATGTAACTAATAATAGAAAGATATTTTTCTCCAAGTATTAAAAATAAATCATGAACATAGCCCAAAAAAACAGAATATGAGCGTTATTTTGCCTTGATTATTATTACTCAGTCTTTTATTATTGTTTTAAAAAATATGAACATTATTTTTTAATATAAAACTGGGTATCACCTCCATTCGTTGATACAAAGTTTAAAATAATCATACTACTCAACACTCATAACATACTCAAAAGATGTATAATTATATTTGTTGGAAAGTTTTATTTATTACTAGAAATTTTATTTTTGGTTCATTTCATTGCCGCAAGAGTCGCGCGGGGTGCAAAAGCCCGCGAGGCCTTTTTCGGTTTTTCCGTTCGGAGCCCGCACGGCTGCTGGAAGCAGCTACAGTATTGTCAGGCGGGACGAGACGTTAGGAAGCGGGAGAGACCCTTCTCCTTCTCTCCTCCCGCTTTCATTTCCCGCTTAGCACTTTCCTTTGCCTCGTCCTTCTTCGCACTGCAACTATGGACTCTTCAGATGCCAAACGCCGCCAATCTCTGATCCCGAACTTCCTCTTCTCCTCTGCTTTGTCTGAGAAATATCTGCCTCTGTGGAAAATGCTCGACTCCTCCTTCATCCGTGACTCTTCTCCTTCGAATCTTGAAACAGGATCGTCGAGCAAGAGCTTCATGTTTCCGTCTCCGAGTGAACCTGGCAAGATTGAGCTTTACTCACCAACATACTTTGTCACTTGTACCGTTGGTGGAATCCTCAGTTGTGGACTCACTCACATGGCAGTCACTCCTCTTGACTTAGTCAAATGTAATATGCAGGTAGGATTTCTCTCTTGATCTTATGCTTCGGATGGAATTCGACTTAAACTGATTTTCTCTTGATCCTCGGATGGAATTCGACTTATTCTTTTTTTTTTTTTTTTAAATTATAGCATTGTGGTCTATTAGTCATAATTTCGCTGTAATTTAGATCTGCGCCTTTTTTCAAACTTTATTACTAATGTCAAACTGGCATGCTCATTAAAGAGATCTGCGAGTTATGATCGCTGTGATGAATGTGAGGAATCTTTTCATTTTTCTAAGATTTATGACTGAATTTCGTTTTTCTTTTCTTAAGCTTCAGAGGTATGTTCAAGATTGCTGATCTTGGCCTTTTTTTTTGCGATTCGCATTAAGATTTTCACAATTTTTATATGTATCACGGCGTTTTGCTTGGTTCCTGTGATTGTTAATTTTATTCTGTAAAGACGTTGATGTGGAATCAGTAGGAAGATTCGAGAAAAGCGGAGAGAAGGTAGGAGAGGGAAAGAAGGAGTAGCGTCACGAATCCACATCCGTTTAAACACTAATTAGCGTAGAGAATTTTATTATAATCGGTTCAGGCTGTCATTACTCGTTAGTGAGCACTTGATATACGAGTCGGAACCAGTTTCGGTATGACTCATAATAAATTCAATTTATTCGGAAAACAAAATACTGGTATAATGAACGAAAGGATAATGTGAACCTAGCAAAGGTATGATTAAATTAAATTCAAAATAAAGCCCCTTAGATTATTTCTAATTGTTAACCTTATTTTTAACTCTTAATTCTTAATTCAAAAATAATTAAAAATTAATAATACCTCCCTTCATATTCCTTTCCCATTCTTCATTAAGAAGCATCCTCCGTGGGGGACACTTTGATACGAGAGGACCTTGATTTTTCTGTTTATCTTTGTCTTGTTGTGGAGCTTCTTAAAGTATTGCGTCGCAATTGAGTAGTCATGGTGTAAGTAATAGTTAAATACTAATAACTCGGGTTTCTTAAGTGAAATTTAGCCATTTTGGTTTGTCGCGTGTTATGCATCTGTGCTGTGAACTATCACCTTTGGCATCCTCCCGAAGCACCAGGTTTTCAGCTTAGATTTTATTATTCGCTTACGAAATATGGCATTTTATTTATGTACTCAAGCTCGAAGCATTGAATTTCATTTATTCATGGCAGAACAAACAGATTTATGTAATCAGATTTAAATCTTGGCTCTGATTTATTGCTAATTCAGATTGACCCTACAAAGTACAAGAGTATCTCATCTGGATTTGGAGTTTTGCTCACGGAGCAAGGGTTAAGGGGCTTTTTCCGGGGCTGGGTGCCGACCTTGCTTGGTTACAGTTCTCAGGGCGCCTTCAAATTCGGATTCTATGAGTTCTTCAAAAAATGCTATTCTGATATTGCTGGCCCAGTGTATGCCGCCAAATACAAGACCTTGATCTACCTTGCTGGTTCAGCATCTGCTGAGGTTATCGCAGATGTTGCACTTTGCCCATTTGAGGCAGTAAAGGTTCGGGTTCAAACTCAGCCTGGTTTTGCTAGAGGACTTGCGGAGGGGCTTCCAAAACTTGTGAAATCTGAAGGAACTTTAGGGTATGGTTATAAATAAGTTAGTACTGTTGCGGTAGATGGTAGTGTGGCGTTGTGTATATCATTACTGCAATCTAAGATGCATAAATGATGAAATGCCTCATGCCTGGTAATTTCAGGCTGTACAAAGGCATAGTTCCTCTTTGGGGACGTCAGATCCCATGTGAGTTCATTTTGTGCTTCGCAGATTTTAGACTCTCCATTGTAGTTTTCTTAAAACTATGAGGATAACTTTTCTTGGGGCTCAAAAATGTTGCATCTGATATGAGAGTTCTCAAACAGAACTTTGTTTTTGCAGATACTATGATGAAGTTTGCTTCGTTCGAGACCGTTGTTGAGATGATCTACAAATTCGTCATTCCCAAATCAAAGAATGAGTGCAGCAAAAGTCTGCAACTTGGTGTGAGTTTTGCTGGAGGATATCTAGCGGGCATGTTGTGTGCAATAGTGTCCCATCCTGCTGACAACCTTGTCTCCTTCTTGAACAATGCGAAAGGGGCAACTGTTGGTGATGTGAGTACCAGTCCTGGTGAAGGTTTATTTTGAGGTGTGAAGGACCATTTTTGTGGTTTAAAATAATACTACCTCCGCTCCTTAATATAAGACCCCGTTTGACTTTTATTTTGATCCTAAATATAAGACCCCAATCGACTTTGTCTCTCATATTTATACATTTTTTTTCAAAATAGCCCTTCTAACAATAATAGTTCTAGCCAATACACTTGATTAGCAAGGATATTTTAGTAAAAACAACATCTATTTAGGATAAATAACTAACTCAACTTACTTCTTTAATCTCTTCAAATTAGTCAACTGGTTTTTATAATTAAAACCGGAGATAGTATTTAAATATATTCATGCATCCCCACGTGCATCTAGTGGTGGAAGCCGGAAGGCTTGAGCTAGTTGCATAGTTTCACCCTATGTTTTCGACTCCCTAATGCAGGCTGTGAGGAAGCTTGGTTGGTGGGGTCTCTTTACCCGTGGTCTCCCTCTCCGTATTGTTATGATCGGAACTCTCACTGGTGCTCAATGGGGAATATATGATGCATTTAAAGTCTCCGTGGGGCTGTAAGTAATATAACTGCAAGTCGGTTTATTTCATGATCTTTATTTAAACGTGGTAATAATATTTTTGTTCCCTAACCAGGCCCACCACCGGTGGTGATGCTCCGTCTTCTGCCCCTTCTTCTCCAACAGCCGAGCTTACGAAATACGAAGGGGCAGCGTCCAAAAAATGAGTCAAGTTTTGTCCGATGAAAATTATAAATCCAGATCAAAGGGATTGGAGACCATGAATAAACAGAAATAGTAAAGCTGCGCGAGTCCACTCAAGCACCGTGGATGAATTTCTTTTCGGTATTTGGACTCTGATTCCATTTTTCTTAGTTACAAATTTTTTGAAGGATGGTTTTGCTCTCATCCTTTCAATTGATGTAACTTTTTGCATATCAGGTCATATGGTAATACATATTTTCATGTCTACACAAAAGCATGGCCCATATTCAATTTTATGTTCTTTCATGTTGTAGAGAGGCCATATGTTTGGTTGGTACCTAGGAGGTTTAAGGACCCATTTTTCAGTTAACCCTCCTGGTCGTATTCTTTAACTTGAAATTGTTAATTGCTAATGTCTTGGTCCGCAGAGAAAAGATACTGTGTATAGTTTATGGTGCAAAATTTGCCCAAGCTGCAGCTGCAGCCTGATAAGAAAATTTTTAATGAATTTGAGTCTGATATTGAAAATATATTGGTATAGGCTAAATGTTGGAAATATGAAGTTTTCTTTCTTTGGGGGAGGGGTTTGATTCCATTTAAATCAACAGACCCCAAAAGCCAAATTAAATTAATTGGTTTTGCCATCATAAAAACTTATCTAACATTATTTGCGATCAGTTTTGTTCAATTTCTTCCGAATGATTTATTTATTCAACTTAATAAATTATGTTAAGTTTTGAAATCATTAGACAATGTATGTGTGAAAAACTAAAAACTGATCTGAAATTTTATTTAATTGAATTAATCTAGATCAATCTGATTTTTCTTTTCAATGGTATTTCAACGTAAGATTGTTTATTATTAGTTATTATTTAAGAAAAAAACGCTGTAGGGCATTCCTATGTGATTGCACCAACGGATCCTACTTATCAAACCTTTGCAATACTTTCAGGTGAATGCTTAAATATAATGATAAAAAATTAAGTAAATGATCATAATATTTTATTGCTTCTAATATTTTTATGATGGTAACTATGGTGACAGCAACAACGGTAGGAAATAGGAATAACAGCAACGATGATAATTCTGGCCCGGGGGTGTAAAAAAAAAAAAAAAGCTGCGATGATAATTATGGCTTCTGTCGGCTCATTCTCACGCATGACAAAATGGAATCTAATCTCCCGGCTATTATGGGGGGAAAAGGGATGGAATAATCTGCCAACCGGAAGAATAAAACATGATCTTTCCAACAGCCGCACATTCGTAATAGAATGACCTTATGTAACGCGTTCTTCAGGCCCAAAGCAGACCCTTCCCTTTTTGAGGTTCAGCAAAATAAGACGACTTTGAATTCAGGTCACCCATCAGTTGATTTAAAACTGATTGCATTATAAGAATGAAAAAAAAAAAAAAGTATCTACTATCTTAAGGACAGAACTCAAGGAGTTTACGAATAGACGCAGAAAACAGGGACTAAGTTCCTACTATCCACTGCAACTGAATAGAAACTCCCCCAAAAGAACACGAGGATTCATTTGTGTCAAAGAACAACCCCATAAAAATGACGGCATTACACCATGAAGCATACCATACAGTCCAAATCAAGTGGGCTCTTATTGTAAGTATGAGCTTGAGCAACATGCCTTCTCTCTCAATCTAACTTGGTTCTTCCCCCCTGCTGCAGCTTCGCCGGTTCAGCAGGGAAGTATTTTACACCCACCAGATCACCAACTTTACTGATAACCTATCAAAGAAGAACAAAATTTCATGGAAGTAATATTATTTTAACAAAATTTCAAAAAATTGCGTGGGGCATCAAATAATTTGAAGATTAAGCGGTTTTTTTTTTTTTTAATTCCCCGCCGGTGAACTAAGATATAGCAAACAAAAAGGAAATAATGGCGCAACAAACTCAATGATTAACCACTTCAAAGATGCATCTCTAAGTTAACCGTCGAATGGAAGTCAAAATCTCATGATCTTACCTCATAAGCTCTAATAAGGTATACTTTTTAGATAAAAAACACGTAAATGATGCCTTTTCATTAGTCACTTATTAAATAAAAAACACGTAAATGATGCCTTTTCATTAGTCATTTTTTAAATAAAAAACACAAATGAAGCCTTTTCATTAGAGTCACTTTTGAAATAAAAAACACTTAAATGATGCCTTTTCATCAGAGTCATTGAATGAAAGTCAAAATATATACCTCCAAGGCTTTGATAAGGTCTTCTCTTGAATGAGCAGCAGATATGCATATGCGGGCTCTTGCCAACAATAGTGGGGTTGCTGGAAAAGCCACAGTCACAACAGCAACCTGAAGCAATTGCAGGAATTAATTGAAAAAGGAAATTGCTTATCCGAATTGGGGGTCATTAACAAGGATATTAAATGCTTGAATGTCCTCACATTCTGCTTTAGGCACTCCCTAGAGAAGGCAGGGATTTTGGCTGGGTTGTAAAGCATGATGGGCATTACAGGGGAATCATTATCCCCAAGAACCTCAAATCCCATCTTCTGCAATTCTGACCTGAAAAAATTGCTATTCTCACGAATTTGTGCAAGTTTTTGGGCACCTATGAGGAAGCAAGTCAAACAAGAAATTTTAGTATTGCAAAGACGAAGCAAGATGTACAGAATTTGGAACAATTCAAATGAAGAAAGTAAAAAGCCAGGGGGCAGCAAAGTGCCAGACAGACCTCTATTGGAACCATCCTCTCCGAGAATAACCTTTATGGAAGATATAATTTGTTGCGCGGCTGGAGGTGAAATTGAAGTAGCATAAAGATGAGCAGGGCAAGTGTACTTCAGGTACTGGATAAGCTCCTAATAGTTTACCACATATTCAACAATACAATTAGACTTCAAATAATTGGCGGCCCCAGCATTCAATAGCACAGTGTACAAAACTGCGGAAACATAATATGAAACACTAACCAAAGAAAAACAACTTTCAAACTCAAAAGTTGTGCCACAAGTAACATTAATAGCACCACAATACTACTTTGGTTGCACGAAATGGAATAAGAACCTCTCGATTTCCTCACATCCTAAACCCTTCTCTTCTATATGTTTTTTACTTACTTCTTATACAATTAAGGCACATTATAAATAAACTAAATAACATTCGAACACAAAAAATTGCCAACCTTAGACCCTGCAATATAGCCTCCACATGATCCAAACGACTTGGTGAATGTCCCCATCATGATGTCAACATCAGCAGTATCCACACCTAAGAGCTCACAGACACCTCTTCCAGTTTTGCCCACGGCCCCAATGCTGTGTGCCTCATCCAAATATGTGTACGCCTATAAAGAAATGAAAAAATGAGGAAAGCAAAACTAAATCCAAACAAAACTTGATGAGAACAAGTTGACCTTGAACTTCTTTAGATTACCAACACAAAATCCTCATGTCAAAAACTACATATGTAAAAGTTAAGCTCATCAATTATGATCCAGACCAAGGAGTTTCTTACAACAACTCATGACTTGCTAAATTGAGTTGTTCGGTTAAATTTTGAAGATCCAGGGCTCTTTGCATTTTACAGGTGAAAAATTTATGAATTGATGCAGACAAGAATCATTACGGATGAACAATTTATGGGAGGCCCCATCAAGTTTATGAAGATTATTCATGAGTTAAAGATATTAAACTGAAGTTGGCTTACTAAAAGCACCCATAAGATAAACGGACACAAAGTACGGAAATACTTTGGCACCACATCAGATCTATCATTATAAGTTATAACTTACCTTGTATTTTTTGCAGATAGCTATGATCTCTGGAAGTTTACATATCTCTCCTTCCATGCTGTATATCCCCTCCACAATAACAATTATCTTCTTCCAGGGCCTGTGGGTCCTTGGCTGTCCCTCAGCAATTAGTTCTCTCAAAACCTCTTCAAGATGAGATGGAGCTGCAGATAACATGACCAAGAAAATAGTAAATAAATAAAATAGTCATCTTTGGAAGGATCATAATACTTAAAAAAAAGCATCGAGAAAGGAAAGGAAACACAAGAATTCAAAGTGCAACACCCACAGAAATCCTTCAAAGTATGTGAAGTCGAAGAACAACAATCAAAGTAATTCAGTGACATCTACATCTACAAACATATCAGGAAATTAAAAACCAGAGAGATATCATGAAATGATCTCCATTTGGCATGCGGGAGAAATACTCACTATTGTGCTGGAAAACACGAATAGTAGCTCCAGAACCACGTGCACCATTAACAATGGAGTTGTGGTTCAATGAATCACTGATGATCAAACTTCCCTGCGAAGAAAAGTTACATCAATAATAAAAGAACAATCCAATTGCCTAGCATCTGTAAATGGTACAATTACATCATCTTTTGCAGACCTTCCCCATCAGAACTGGAAGAACAGCAGAGTTGGTGGCATAGCCCATTCCAAAAACTATAGCAGCTGGCTTACAAACAAAGTTGGCGACACATGTCTCCAATTCATTGTGCAGTGCAGTAGTGCCTGTTAGAGTAGCCATATTTTATGAATATCTCGGCAAGCAAACTTTTTTTTTTTTTGGGTTGTGGGAATTAGACTACAACTAATACACATACCCCCATCCACCCGACTACTGCATGTGCTTGCAGAATACTTTTTCAGTGACTCAATTGCTCTGGGTGTACAATATTCATCTGACGCAGCAAAACCAAGATAGTTGTACGATCCCAAGTTAAGGCATCTGCTTACTTTTGTCGTTCGTCTACATAAGAATAACTGGGTTATACAAAATTCGAGAGCAAATAACTCGAGTAATAAATTTTTCGCAAAGAAAAATTGAACATCCAAATAAATCCCAAAAAAATCCCAGTAATTCAAGAAATTAATACTTCAGGGTCTTGTTATTATCGTTGGAGTAGCGCTCCACTACATCAAACCACGCATCAGGAGCACTAGATATTGGTCTTCCAAAGCAATCCTACCAGAGAAAAAAAAAATGAAAATATCAATACTTTCTGAATTAAATAAACATATGATTGAATATGAACCACCGCAAGTATGCAGTGTTTGTATTTGTTAGTTATATAGCAATTTATTTTGCATTTAAGAATCAAATGTTCTGCAAATGCAAGATAAGAACAAAAATATCTAACAAGTATACAAGAACTGATCAAACAATCGTCGCACAGCTCAATGATTTTCCATATATAACTAGCTTGACACCAATGTCAGCACACGAACTCAATTTGAGTACAATCAAGCTTACAGGGGCACCAAAAAAAAAAAGTACAGTATAAATGAAAAACGAACCAGTAAAGTTGTTAATTATATACCTGAATACGAAGATACAGTCGACGAATATAAAAATCTTCGAGTCCTAAACATATCGGCGCGTAACCCTGCTTGCCAGAATCAATGTGTTGAAAAAACCAAAAAGGCATAAGGCAAAAGCATTATCCAGAATAAAAGGAGAGACGGGAGAAACCTGAAGGTTGTTAGAGCTGCACCAGTCCAAAAGTTTCCTGAAGAAATCTCTGATTTGACCGAAGGCAAAGAGCAGACCATAGCTAAAGTAGGTGCTCAATGCCGTCAAGTATGGAATTGCAATCATCTTTAATCTCCACCAGAAGAGAAACCAAAGCTAGAATCAAGGACGAACACACGGATCTGGTTTGAAAATCAGGAAATTATAAAAGAGGTGAGTAAAATTGACCCGGCGATCCAATCAATAAAAGCATTGGAGCATGGACCAGTCGGCGGAATGAAAACGACAAGGGAGTGTTAATGCTGCTAGCAGCAGGTAGGCGTAGTAGGAGAAGGAAGAAAAGGATGAGCTCACTCCAACCAAACCAACCCCCGAATGAATCTGGTGAGCACGTTTATTTGAATCGTACCAACTCCAAAATAATTCATTCAGGAAGCCTTGCGTTGTTTACTTTGATCCACAAAATCGAAAAATCGGATGCGAGACGAGTATCGTGAGGCTTCAATGGGTCGATTTGGTTTTTCTTTTAAATAATTAAAAAGGGGCTGAGCCCCACGATTTCCGATTATACAGAACACGAGGAGCTAAAGCCCCAGACCATTCCTTCTCAGTTGACAGTCCTCACCAACCATTCTACTTCCTTGAGGGGTGGTGCTGGTAGCTCTTGAAGAACCTTCACCTCGAAGGCCAGGTAGAGCAAAAGCATCGGCAGCTTCATTTGTTTCTCGTCTGCCTTGCTATACGTTGATTCCTTTGTTCCATCCATCATCGGCCCCTTAATTCTTTGGTCCAAATTACGTTTCAGTACCCTGTCTTCTTAAAATTTATCAGGAAGGTTTTTTAATCTCTTTTACCGGCAAAAAAATTTGTCTCGATTTTCATAAAAATATTTTTCTCTCAGACACTCTCTTAACGGTGCAATCAGCTTTTATATAACATTTCTTTTTCTTTTGTTAAAAAAATAGCAAATAAAGACTCCCGATATATAAAATTATGATTTAGAACTCTTAATTTGAAAAATAACAAATAAAGACCTAATCTCATATTGTAAATATAAAATTTTGATGAAATATCTGAAATGCTTTTTAGTAAGTCGTGATTTGATCTATTGAAATTGTCATTCACTAAAGTAAACTTGTCATTTTCCATAATTAACTTGTCATTTGACATACTCTCAACCAAGTTGTGATTTGATCTACTGAAATTGTCATTCACTAAAGTGAACTTGTCATTTTTCATAATCAACTTGTCACTTGGTCGAGCAGTATTTCAGACATTTTACCAAAATTTCATATTTATAATATGGAATTGGGTTTTTACTTGATATTTTTTAAATTAAAAGTCCCAAATCATAATTTATATATTAGGGGGTTTTTATTTGCTATTTTCCCAAAAAAATTTCGATTTCAATCGCTGACATTCCACGCTGGATTGTAGGGGCTCATGGGCCCATAATTTAAAAGGGTGGCCCTCTTTGTGATTTTCATACAATGATTTTTTTTCCCCCAAAAGACGGACCAGATTCGTTTTCCCTGTGGGGCCCTACGTGCAAAATGAGTCATTTATTTAAATAAAATCCTCTTTTCTCAGGCCAAAAAATAAATAAAATCCTTTTTTATAACGCATTAAATAATATAAATTAAACACATCTTCCTATATATTATGAAAGAATTTAGGATAAATTATACTTTTTTTTTTTGCCAACTAAATTATGCTTTATTTATAGTTTAAAAATAACGCAACTTGCTATGAATTTTAGAAATAACGCCACTCCGTATTAATTTTATTTCTAGTGGGAAGGATCAATTATTTGAATAGAGCGGATAATAACTCACACAGTACTGCTGATTACGATTTATGAATAAAATATGCAACGAGAGCATTCCAAAACTTTGTTTGGTATTATGATGGATATATGTCTTACAGATACTGCATGTTAGATTTCTTTGCTCAGAAATGGCCACAGACACTTGAGGGATCCTCCAGAAGAGATATTTCAAAATTATTTTTCCTCGCGGATGTGTAAGGTTATATACGAAGAATAGATCTAGCTAGTTCCAATTCTACTGCAACTTGCCACATTAATTAGTCCGACAAATTTACCAGTAGGAACTCCGCCAAACGAACGGGAAGATTCATTTGTGTTTAGGAACAACCCTATAAGAATGACAACAAGAGCATGAGCAATATATTTATGTTTCTACTTCCCCTGCTTCACAGGAAGGTATTTTATGCCCACCAGATCACCCACCTTGCTGATGACATATCAAACAAGACCAATCTCAGCAAGCAATAACACTACACAGAATTTCACAGAAATATGTGGGGCATCAAATGATTTGAACTTATATAAAACGGCATGTTTGGCTCCCTGCCTCAGATATAGCAGTCAAAAGGAAATAAAGGTGCGACAAGCTCAATAATTGACATTTCGAAGGTAAAGTGACACATAACATTTCACGGCCGCTAAAAAGATGCATCTATAACAATTAAGTGAGGGTCAAAATCCCATGATCTTACCTCCAAGGCTTTGATAAGGTCTTCTTTTGAATGAGCAGCAGATATGCATATGCCTGCTCTGGCCAACAATAATGGGGTTGCTGGAAATGCCACCGCTACAACAGCTACCTGGAAATGCGATGCATCAACAGAAGGAATTAATTAAAAATAAATAAATTACATATCCAGATTGGAGAATATCAACTAACAATGATCTAATATATATTCATGTGCTCACATTTCGCTTGAGGCGCTCCCTTGAGAAGGCAGGGATTTTTGCTATGTTGTAAACCATGATTGGTATGATAGGGGAGTTATTGTCCCCAAGAACTTCAAAACCCATCTTCTCAAGTTCTGACCTGAAAACATTATGAATTCATGCACAAATGGATCATTACTCATGACATTATCATATGAAAAATTTATGGGAAGCCCCATCGTGTTTATATACGAAGATTTTTCACGAGTTAAAGACTTTAAACCATTATACCTGATATTTTTTGCAGATAGCTATGATCCCTGGAAGTTTGCAAAGCTCTCCTTCCATGCTGTATATCCCCTCCACATCAACAATTATCTTCTTCCAGCTACTATGGGTCCTTGCCCGTCCCTCGGCAATTTGTTCTCTCAAAACCTCTTCAAGATGAGATGGCGCTGCAGATAACATGTTCAAAAAAATAGTAAATGAACGAAATATTGTTATCTTTAATTCGTAAGCATCATGAAAAGGAAAAAAAAACACAGCACGGAGGGAGAAAAGGAAACACTAGAATTAAAAACCAGATAGATATGATCATGATAATGATCTTCATTTGGCACGGGGGAAAAATACTAACTATTGTGCCGGAAAACACGAATAGTAGCTCCAGAACCTCTTGCACCGTTAACAATGGAGTTGTGGTTCAATGAATCACTGATGATCAAACTTCCCTGCAACTTAAAGGGAAGTTATATCAGTGATAAATAAAAAGCAAGCTAATTGCCTAACGTCTGTAAATGAGCTATTTTGCAGACCTCGCCCATGAGAACTGGAAGAACAGCAGAGTTGGTGACATAGCCCATTCCAAAAACTATAGCAGCTGGCTTACCAACAAAGTTGGCGACACATGTCTCCAATTCATTGTGCAGAGCAGTAGTGCCTGTTAGAGTAGCCATATCATATTTTATGAATATATCTAGACAAACTTTGGTGGTAATTAAGCTACAACTAATAATACACATATATATACATATATACCCCCATCCACCCGGCTACTGCATGTGCTTGCAGAATACTTCCTCAGTGACTCAATTGCTCTGGGTGTACAATATTCATCTGACGCGGCAAAACCAAGATAGTTGTACGATCCCTCGTTTTTCTGCATAAGAGTGATTGGGTTATGCATAATGTGAGAGCCAATAACTCGAGTAATAAAGTTTTTTGTGAAGAAAAATTAAACATTCAAATACAGCCTGGAAAATAGATCAAGCCCATAACACCGATCCATTTAAGCTCGAGAGTCGCAAGAATCAGGCCTCAGATTTAAACCTTCAAACAACAAGCATGCTTTGGTTTGTTTATTTAAAATCAAATTTTATATAATGATTTGGTTTGTTTAGTTTTGAACTATGGTTTATTCATTGGAACTTCAAACGATAGGTTAATATAGACCTTAGATAATGATTTGATTTTTGTTATATGTGTTAATGTTTTCGAAAAGAAAGGACTTTTATAATTGGACTAACTTGTGATTTATTTGAAAAAAAAAATTAAAAAGAATGTGTAAAAGGGCCTAGGCGCGCAGGGCCAACTTTGGACCCGCAAGTTGGATGGCTGAGCTTTGCCAACACTATCCGTTTTGCAAAAGTAGGCTGTTTAAGGCTGGGCCAACTCGTTTTGGAGCCCTACATCCAAATAAATAAATAAATAGAAACCCTGTAATTCAATAAATTAGCACTTGAGGGTCCTGTTATTATCGTTAGTGTAGCGCTCCACCACATCAAACCAGGCATCAGGGGCACTTGATATGGGTCTTCCAAAGCAATCCTATAACGGAAATTAAACAGAAAAAAGGAAAAAGAAAAAGTTGAAAACATCAACGCTTTGCGAATTTAATTTGTTAAGCATATAATTGAATACTACCTCTAGTTTTTAATGTAAGAACTAGTTGATGAATTTGATTAGATTAAAAAAGTTTATTAAATTAGTTATTTATAATAAATAGATGTTATCTTTTCTATAATACTCTTACTAAACATATATATTACTTAGAACTATCATTTAATAAAATACTTAATATATATAACTGCTATAAGAATTATTTTGAAAAGAAATAAATAAATATGAGAGATAAAGTAGATTAGGAATTGTATTTCGGATCAAACTCAAAACCAAACAAATTCTTATATTATGAACCGGTGGTGGTGGTATAATAGATGGAGGGATAAATGAAAATCGGAGCAAAGGCCCTAATTATAAACCTGAACGCGAAGATACAAGCGGCGCATATAAAAATCTTCCAATCCTAAACACGTGCGCAACCCTGCTTGCACGAATTAATGTGTTAAAACAAAAAAACAAAAGGCATATCGCAAAAGCAAGCATGCATATGACAGGAGAAACCTGAAGGTTGTTAGAACTGCTTGCTTATGACAGGAGAAACTGAAGGTTGTTAGAACACCAGTCCATAAGTTTCCTAAACCAATCTCTGATTTTACCGAAGGCAAAGTGCAAACTGTAGCTAAAGTAGGTGCTCAATGCCGCCAAGTATGGAATTGCAATCATCTTTAAGAGAAACCCAGAGCTGGAATCAAACACACACACACACACACACACACACGGTTTCAAAACCTGGAAATTCTGAAGATGTGAGTAAAACTTCGCCGGCGATCCAATATAATTACAAGCATTGGAGCATGGACCTGTACGTCGGAGGAGTGGTAGGGGTAAGCATGAGAAGAAAGAAGAGGCTGAGATCATACCGGAACCGAACCAACCGTACCCCAAAATGATTGGGCTAATTTAGCACGTTTGTTTGAATCGTACCATCTCTAAAATGATTCAGGAAGCTCCCTTGTTTTGATCCACAAAATCCTTGTCGAACTGTAAAACCCACAGCCATGGAACTCGTTTAATTTGCACATTATGGCGCCCCAGATGGAAAACGAATTTCTCCGGCTCCAGAAAAATAATCTTCGCATGAAAATCGACGACCACGTACACTTCACAATTATGAAGCCTATGAGCAGCTCTACCCAGCGTGGGAATTCCCCCCCCCCCGGGCCAACCCCCCCATATGATGGACCCAGAAAAGGTATTTCAATTGCTATTTTTCTTTACACAACTTGGTAATTAATGGGTAGCACGGTCTACCATTTTGAAAATGTGCAGATTTATTAAGATTAATCAATATTAAAGTGAAATGTTGATGTTAACCTATGATACTGTCTTTTGTGGCAATTGTTTGATAATTTATTTGTGGGCGGGCCCTCCAATGGTATTGACATTTTTGGGCTAAATAAATTCCATTTTATGATATTAATATAAAATGTATTTTTTATATGCAAAAAAATTATTATAAAGTAATGTTGGCACTTTTCTTATATTTTATGCAATTTACGAATATATATATATCCATAGCATTTTTTCGGGGGAAAAAAACTTTTTGAGTATAATTCCTTTTAAAGCTAGCAAGACTAATTAATATTTGTTTGAAATAACTTATAAGTAATTTATAAGGAATTTTTCAATTGTAATTTATGAAATACAGGATAAGCATATGAAATAAATTTTGTCTCGACTTACATGAATGTGTTTATTGACCGTGAATACAAACAAGTCGTAAACAGTCAGCTCTCAATCCTTACTAATGAGTTGTATTTTTTTTTTGACCAAGTACTAATGAGTTGTATTTGGTGCATAGGTTTTCGTTTTTAAAAATAAAGCTGTGATCTGCGATGCTTGTGCGCCATTTGTGCATATGATCTTCTGTGCATTTTCGTGCATCATTAATATCATACAATGTCATACTTAATTTTAATATTATCACTAATCCTAAATGCAAGACTTTTTTTGTATACTACAAAGGAGTTATTATATTTAGGAATAGAGGTAATATATTCATATTATTCAGTTTGAAACGAAAGCAAACATAAAATTTAGAGATGCGAGAACCAAATTTACTATATAGTATGTGCCTCACACATAGCAATTTGAGCATGAGTACTATCCAGCAATAAGGAGTAATACATGATAATAGTAGCCGTGTATTGAGGTCAAAGAAACACAAAGTGGTCTGGAGATCGACGACTACTCATTTATTCTACACATTTCAACACCAAAATCAGCACACTCTTATAAGTTTCCCTCATTACCAGCATGAAGAAACCCATACACTCACCATTCAAAATAATGTTTTGTCTTCGTCTTCATGATACCATATGTTAATCAGTGTCTTGATAGTAGTATATAATCAAAATACAGCAGAAATCGATCCAAACTTAATAGAAGTCATCGAGCGACAAATTCTCGACCGAGCCGAAGGTCTCGACTGATCCAATTCTCGAGAAACTGGTCATTGATCCTCCCAAAAAGTCAAGTGGAGAATCATTTGAGAATGTGGTTTCATAGATGAATGACATGTGATCTGTGTCATTCATTGTGGGATAGGCCATCACACTTAGACTGTTTGACTTGTTAACCTCATAGTCCTGTAGAAAGAGATCGTTGATGTTATCATCACTAGATATGCCCATAAAATCGTCCTGCTCAGAAGCCTTCTTAGCTTGGATCACCTACAATGTTCTCACAAATTAAAACATTACATTATTAATTGAAACGAGATTACCTGCAATTAATAACTTCCTCCCACTAAGTTATGGTTAAAAATAGAAGAAATTATTTTCTGCTTTTCTGATATAATGAGAAAATTATTCGATTTGCGGCACATACATAATTAAGGGTTTGATTATCCTGATAAACCACTATGGAATCTCCAAGACGCAAGCCATGTGTGCTAACAAATTCCCCTGGAAAAAATATTCAACACTAGAGTCATAATCTTAATAAAGATATGTATTCTAGCATACAAGTTAGCACATAGAAGCTGAAATTGAAGGGGGAAAAACACGTCGAGCTAATTAAGGATGTACCGTATTTTCAAGTACATACATCCGACTGTTGTTGTTAGGCCAAAACCTGCATGTTTTATATTATAGAGAACTTTCACTACATTGGATGTCATACATATGTATCACTTTATATAAACAATCTTGAACTGTAAATCCAAATTATATCAATTTTTTGTTCAAGACATAAATGAATCTATGTTTTTTTTAGTCATCAAATTGAATAAATTAAAGGTATGCATAAGAGACCTGTATTTGAAGCTCCAGACATGAAGACCGTCTATATCATCCATGCTTATAACAATTCCTTCTTTAGACTCAAGGATGGGAAGGAAAGCCTCTGCTGCTTTCTGCAAATTTGGATTAGTTTGCCTTCTATTTATCAATTAGGCTCATTTAAGGCAATAAAATATAATCTCTACGTAATATAAAATCCTCGAAAAGCTATATATTATTTGCAAGTTGTCAACAATGTAACTCACTTCAAATTATGTCCATCATGCAGCTTACATGTTTCGCTAGTTTAAGACAACATCTCAGATAGGATTCAAAGTTCTCTCAATTCAAAATGAGAAAATATTCATTTTTACAAGTTGAACAATTTAAATTTATTTATATTGAAAATTAAAATAATAAGTTAACTGAATATTTAAAATTCATTCGAAATAATCATTTTCCTCCCACGATTTTCTTGAATACAGCTAAAGAAATTAATAATGCTAAAATGCTAAATCACAAGGAATTAAGCAATTGGAAAACCTATATACCTTTGGGAGCACCATCCTCCGGAGGGAGCTTACGTCACTGTTCTTGAGCTCCTTTTGGAAAAGGAATCTCAACCTACCCTGATCAATTTCCTGAGAACATATAGATATGAAGTTGTGAGAAATCAAGCATTATTCATCTTATAACTAGATACCAAACAAAAAGTAATAAATTTTGTAAAGCAACGTAGTTAAAGGCAAAGTTTTACTTTTTAGGTGAAGAGGACACATACGGAACCATGTTCACTTAGAAACCGACAACTAATTGTTACTTTTCGGCGAACCAAAGTTTGGAACCACATTATATTCAGCAAATACGTTACGATACAACATACTATATATAGCAATCCCGTCACCATACATGTATGATGTGATTCTAAATACGCTATTATAATACAAGATATACTTTGTATATAGCAAACAAGATTTTCGGGATTGAGAAGTAAAATGCCATCATGCCCAACATGTTTGGTCCTTTAGAGTTAATATTATGGCAATTCTGATAAAGTGGGCAGAGTGCCCAAGGTTACATCATGTCCAGCATGCTCTTATATCGCTGTCCTTAACACATTTTCCCAAATGCGTAAAGTAGACAGCATAAATATTTAACAGTGCACTTCAACACTACCAACGCTCTAATACATAAAATGCTCCATTAACAAATATTCAAAGCAGAGTCTATTTCACGTTCCCCTTTTTTTGTGTTTGTGAATAAATGGTACTGTATATTCCTTGCTTGCTCCACTCCACTTCAATAGATTCACACAAGCTTGAAACTCGAAATGCGCCTGACTTATGTCTGATTATCCACCTCGTTAACTGCGCGGTTCAATTAATGATAAAAGGAACTGCCCAATATACTATATATCTGTCTTTTCTTTTCATTCTTACCAAGAAACTATCTTTTATATTGGTGTGACCTCTGTTAATTTACTCTTGGGGTTTAATATGCCTGCGTTATATTCCGATTCTATATCGGAATCCTCCATTTATAAGTATGACGTGCGGTGACCCCTTCATTAATGTCGCAGCGTTTCTGCGAATTGGAGATTGCAAATAGCTATAAGGTGATTCTTAAAACTCGTATCACATATCCTGACTATATACTGGGGGAAAATAAAGACCTGCCCCTACAAGTTCGGACATAAAACTGATGGCTCAGTTTTGTGTGACCATCACGAGACAAATAAGCACACTTTTCTAAAGAAAAGACACAATGCAGATCAGGAAAACTAGAGCATTTGAGATCGGAGACGAGATCATATCAAAGGGAAAATATACATGAAGAGAGAGAATTAAGATGATCACAAAAGGCAAAGATAGAGATAGTGAATAAAAAGGGAATAATCAAGGTGCTAGACACTAGATCTCCATGCCAAAGCACAATAAAATAGCAATAAAAAGAAGAGAAACAGAGAGCTCACACGTGGAGGGGGGAGAGGATTGTTGTGAGATCGAAGCGGGGAGATTGGCACGTGCGAGGACGAGGAAGTAGGAGGAGGTGGCGGAGGGAGATTCATGGACACGGTGGAAGACCTCCTCTGCCTGGCCATCCTTTTCTTCCTGTGAACGGTCCCAAAAGCAGTGGTAACGGCAGCGACAAGGCCCAGGTCTCGGATCGGACGACGACCCGACCCGCGATTAATGGTGGTGTCTGCTGGGACGGTGACAAGGCCAAGCTCAGCGTCAACACCTGCCATCAAGGCACAGGCCTCGTTTTTGCGAAGCAGCTTCTCTCCCTGATCCATCATCATTAGCTTAGGGTTTTTCTCGCTCCCCTCAAACACCACAACTCACAGTGAGTGCTTTGGTTTCTGTGATACTGTAGCGCTATCTCTTTCTCTCTCAGTCTGAGTGTGTGTGCAGAACGCGGGGGCAATGGACGCTCGGCAAT